ATCGTAAGTATGTAGATAAATAACACATGATCAAGTGCCACCAGTTACGCTGTATTTTGATATATACCCCCGGTGCCACCGTGGAGGTTAGGCCTTTAATTGCTTGGATTAGCCGCAAGAAAATAACAGAACAATAAAATGCGTTTATAAATTACAACGCAATCGTCCTTAATGCATCTAAGTCATTTTTATATCGCATTGTCTGGTAATACTGTAACAAAAAATATGATTTAATATGATTTGACATTTTTTTTATTTACTTATTTTGCTAAAGAGCGACAGATGACGAAAAAATGCATGCATAACATTTGACTCAACACTGCATGCCCTTAAAATGTAATGAACATTTGAGCCGTGTCACGACAAAACCAACATAATGGGTTTGCGACCAGCATGGATCCAGACCAGCCTGCGCATCCGCGCAGTCTGATCAGGATCCATGCTGTTCGCTTTCAGTTTCTTTACTTGTTACAGGGTCTGTAAGCGAACAGCATGGATCCTGATCAGACTGCGTGGATGCGCAGGCTGGTCTGGATCCATGCTGGTCGCAAACCCATTATGTTGGTTTTGTCGTGACGCGGCTCATTTATTTCGTCACGCTAACTGAGCTACCACTATTAAGTAAATGTAGTCATTTTTTTCCATCTTCTTTTTATTCCACCATCAACTGCCTTATATCCGCTCATTGTATGTTATTTCACCACATGCGCCCATTTTGAAGAAGCCATGAAATCACGAGGCGCCGGCGACATATCGTCAAACATAATGTCTTTCAAACGATTTTAATAATTTTACTATACAAAACACGGTGGCTGAGCAAAATGAAAGCTTAGTTTCATCAAAGGGCGATTGGGGACTTCATTTTTGCAGCCCGATTAGGCAATTTGTTAACATGGCTTTGACAAGATTTATGTCGCTGGTTTATTAAGCGAAAATGTTGTTGGTTTATATGCTTATAAAGCAGTGAGTTTTATATTAGCCACCTAGGTCGATGCTGAATAGGTTTCCCGAGCTCAATGATGAGCGTTAATGGTTAACTGTACGTATATGAAAATGATGGTTTTAATGCGAATTTTAAAAGCGATTCACGATTCTTTTTTTTCTTTTTTGGCGTATTGCTGACTTTAAAAACGAGCTGAATATTTTAGATACAGTATTTGAGAAATAAAAAATTAAATATACATATGTATATATCACATTCTTATTTCAATGATGTTATTTTTTACATTTTTTTTATATAAGTCTTAAATGAAAAAGTGTAAAAGTGTTATTATTGTAAAATTGTGAACAATGTTAAGTTTAATGTTTTGCGGTAAAGTGTGGTTTTTGTGGGATAATTTTGACGCCAAAATGAATTGAAGAAATAAAACCATACAATTTTCAGCTATCATTTATCTCTAAAAAAGGTGTTCAATAAAATATATTTTCTATGTATTCGGACCCTATTTCGCAAATGTAGCAAAGTTTCGAATTTATTTCCATGTCGGTTCATGAAGTGGTAAGAGTGTTTCAAAAAATTGAAATTATAAGGATTACTTAAAACTAAAATTTTAGCATTTTATTCATTAAAAAGTAGGTAATAATAAGACAGTAGATATGTTTGAGTGCGGTCTTACCATTTCGATAATAACTAAATTTGTGTTACCATAACAACCGGCGTTACCACGGGGGAACTGATTTTAAAATATTTCTCTACATTTGAATCTGATTTGTTTTTTGTTTTTTTTTCTATTTTATAAGACAATTATAAATTAAAAGACTTTTCCTTATTAATTCTTATTACTACAAGGAATCGAATAGGACTGATATATGTTAACGCTTCTTCTTATAAAGTACCAATAATCATCGGCGTTATTAACCGAAATAGGGCGGAAACTGCCGACGATTGGGACTTAATCTTGTTGCCCATATATAAAAATTTAAATCTCGGAAATTAATAATAATAAATAATAATAATTACCACATTTCTATAGCGCCCTTCTCAAAAAATAAAATGTTCAAAGGCGCTTTACAATGGAATTATATACATTTACAATGACTTTATAAACAAAAAAAAGTAATAAAAATAATAACACACATTTATGTATACATTTAAAAAGTATAAAATATACCATGATTAATCTAAAAGTCTAAAACTCAGTCGATCAAATAAAAAAATGTATATGAAGAATAATCTAAGACTTGAAAATAAAATAAAGAGAAACGTTAAAACTATTAAAATTTAAAAAAAAACAAACACAAATCAAGATAAGACAACTGAAATCTAAATCCAATTTGATGAAAACAGTAATTAGTAATGGAAATGTGATTCAAAAATAGACTATTATATTTCAAATGGGTACCCAGATATCTCATAACAAAAGACAGCACGCCAATTCATAGTGATGACAAATACGGCACAGTTAGTTACTATAAATTTTCTGGGAAAAATGTGTTTTTAAAGATTTCTTAAAAACATTTACTGTTTTTGAGTCTCTGATACTGTCTGGGAGAGCATTCCACAGTTTAGGTGCCACCGAAGAGAAACTGCGTTCACCATATCTTACAGTCCTACTTTTGGCAACAACAAGTTGCTTTGAAGAGTTCTTTGATCTTAAGTTTCTTGTTGGTTGATATAGCGCCAGTAAATGTTTAAGGTAAATTGGTGACTGGTCATGTAGGGCTTTATAAGTTTGCATAAGGATTTTTAAATTAATAACGAATTCAAAACAACGGGGAACTTCGATCACCTACCATGAAATTTATAAAGTAAAGTGACGTCATTCGATTACTGCGGTCTTACCATTCCTGTGCTTCAAAGATGGCGACGAAAGGTAACATGTGTGCCAAATTGTAATGAATTTAGTTTGAGCACCGCCATGTTGCAAAACATAACCGATCAACTCCTTGACCAGACATGCGCTTTTCACTTCCGGTTCCGGACTTAAGTTCGTGATCGAAATACATGTTGCTCAACTATTAAACAAATCAGTAATCATTTCGCACCATTAGTCAGTCGTACCTTATCAATTCTCACCCCCTGTACTTGTTTACAGACGGGTTTTAAAAGTGTGCAAACACCCATGTCATTATGACTACCGAGGTACATTTATATCATTTTTGACACAATTGAGCAAACTTGAGGCGTAAATTATTCTAACTGTTCATTTTGTTTAGACAATGATTTCTTGTAGGGGTGACACTAAACTTATCGCGTAATTACATTTTATGGCAAAGTTTGGTGAAAATAGGTAAACATCGATCGAGAAACAAGATTAGCTGGCAAATAAACATGGCATAAGGTGTATATATCCGTGGATTTTAGTATTTCCTTAACAGGACGTTTTTCAATACCAGTAAATTCTTAAATTTACATCCCGTAATCTACTTTAATCCACGTTAATCCAGAAATCGGTTTCTAATAGACTGTATGTCTAGCACTGTCAAAATTCACACAATCAAGCACCATTCAGTTTTGTTTAAAGTAATATACATTGTATTACTTATCTGTAAGCAATAATTCAATGACTGTTTGCAATTTCGGAAGTTTTTCTTTCTTCTTTAAAAAACCGTACAACACTGTATATTGACCAAATAAAAATGGAACATAGTCAGTCATCATCTACACACCAGTTGCTTTGTTTATCATCATCATCATCATTATCATTATCATCATCATCATCATCATCATCATCGTCGTCATCATCATCGTCATCATCGTCATCATCATCATTATCATCATTGAGTGTAAACGTGTTTATGCTAAACATCACCTTTAAATAAAGACCACATGTGAAAAACTTGTCAATCAAAGTCAGATTTTCACGTTCCTCTTTGTACAATTATAATTCAAAGTTACCTTTTCCGAAAGATCACTTGTTAACAAAATAAAATATTTGTTCTGTTCTGTTCTGTTATTAAAGATCTCTAGACAAGGTCTTAATTGAGAAGAAATATTGTTGTTATTGAAATATTATTTTGAACTCGAAAACAATAAAGCTGCATGCTTCCAGATGAGGCAAAATGTTTTTAGAAAATCAACATTGAGAAAAATGGTAGGCAAAAGTAAAGAAAAGTAAAAAAATAATCACAGTTAAAGAAATAATTTATAAGTTATTTGCAATTCATTGCTGATTTTTTGCAGTATTATTCACTTTATTTCTACTTCGTGACTATCTCAGTGAGGGTTACTTTTGCATCTTCTGATTTATTTACTTTTTGTAATTTTCGTAGATTTTAAGTGCGTTAAGTGTGTGTAAATTACTTTCTTTGTTTTCTGACAATTTTTTACTTTTTAATACATTCGAAAATTATCACGAATCTGGATATAATGACTGGCAATACACATACAGTCAAAGTTGGGCGTGAGGCAACGTCAGAAGAAATAGCCATGTTAGGAAACATATGAGCCGCGTCACGACAAAACCACCATAGTGGGTTTGCGACCAGCATGGATCCAGACTAGCCTGCGCATCCGCGCAGTCTGATCAGGATCCATGCTGTTCGCTATCAGTTTCTCTGCTTGTAATAGAGATGGTAAGCGAACAGCATGGATCCTGATCAGACTGCGCGGATGCGCAGGCTGGTCTGGATCCATGCTGGTCGCAAACCCATTATGTTGGTTTTGTCGTGACACGGCTCATATCTCCTCAAGCCATGATTTTATTTCCTAATATGTATGTACATTTGCAGGACCAAAATGGAATCTTGTAAAAATCCGGAACTTTCTAATGATTTTATAATTCACACGTCCCTTGACATTGAGCCAGAGTTACAAAGTAGAAATATAATATAGTGATGAATACTGCCAAAAATCAATAATCAATCGCACAAAACATGTAAATTTTTACTTTAATTTTGAATCTTTTCACTTTTCTTAAAATCTTAATACATTTTAGTGTCAAATTTGATTTTCTTGAAACAGTTTGGCTCAACTAGAGGCATGCAGCTTTAAACATACAATGTCATTTCAAAACAAAACTGTACAAACATAACAACAAGCCAACACACAAACATTTCGACAATTGTTTTTTTTATTCAATCTGTAAGATACAAAATACTTAGCAATGAGTGATATTATTTCTAACAATGACTACAAAAATATATATATAAATATCATATCAGACAATTTGTGCAAATATTTTGGAAGACCTTTTTAACCTCTCTATAAAAGACAGAGACATATATTTAAACAGAGAATAATAAACGATTTATGATTAAAAATTAAACTAACAAACTCTTGTTTAAAGACCATCAATTAAACTAACACACCCTTGTTAAAAGACCATCAATTAAACTAACACACCCTTGTTTAAAAACTATCAATTAAACTAACAAACTCTTGTTTAAAGACCATCAATTAAACTAACAAACTCTTGTTTAAAGACCACCTTTAACACAACACAGCATCTATATTAGATTCCTCTATCAAAGACTGCTGATTCCTTTCACCATTTTGCAATGAACATAAATACATGTATGACGAATACCTCAACTGAAGGACCTCGTTCGAATATAGACAACAGCCTCGAATGTCGACCAAAGTGAATGGTCTTTGTACAGTTTTTGTTTTCCTGAATCGATGTTTGCATAGCACATTTATTATCACAAATAAAATGTTTTGAGTCACTTCAAATCACAAACACATCCTTTTCAATATAATGTAATGTTAGGTAGATCAATGTACACACGTTAAACATACAATTAATGAAATTTAAAATGTTGATCAAACAGATGTTTTTTCCTTCTCACTTTTTGGACTGATTATTTCTGAAATAGACCAGATTTTTGGTCTGGCTTGTGGTATATGCTGCCCGGAAGTGTTTCGCTCGCGTGACTGATTACGTAATTGGTCTACATCTAAACCGGAAGTAGTGGTACTGTTTTTCAGTGCTTTGACACTTGGTTCATTTGAGGTATCTTTTGTATCTACATTTCCATTAGTTATTTCATTTGAATATTTTTCAAAGTCTGAACCAACTCTTTGATCTGCAGGTAACATTCTCTGAATATAGTTCTTTGGCGCTATGTTATTCGTTGAAGATTCCTCCGCGTCTGAAATATCGGACAGATCGGTTGTTAGGTTGTGGCTGTCATCATCTTCACTAACAGAAAGGTGGGTCACATCCCGGTTACTCTCTGATTGGTCTAAAAAGTAATGAAAACAGCAATAAGATACAATATCAAATTTTCGAAGCATTGTCTATTTTTCAGGGAAGGACTTGCATTGTAATATTATGACGCACAACCCATAAGCTTAACTTTTAACTTAAAGGCACATAATGCCTAAGAAATCAGTTCTTTAGAAAGGTCAAATATGTGTTCAATACTGTTTTTGTGGTGGATTTAGAGCATTTGTTATGTTAAACAACTTAAAAGAGCAACACCGAATATGCAATAATGTAGTAATAAAGGTAGTAAAATGTAAAGAAAGTATAGCATTTTGACTTCCATTTAACATACTAAATTACTATAATTAAAAAATGCCAAGGAGAAAAGGAGCAAAAGATAAAAGAACAACTATTGAAAAGTCGCTTTTAAACATATTCATAGATTTTCAATTTTTCTTTTTTCTTCTTCATTGTCCATATTTTTTTTATTAGTTATATGTATACGTAGTTTTTCTTTTAATATACGTCAGAATCGCTCTTTATTTACAAATAACCTTTTTACAATATTTCTGACATCAAAATAGTTTCTTAACCCGAAGACGCTTGTGTCAGAGTTATTTCAAAAATTAAAAATGCAAGTGCGCGTTCTCTCTTCAAAAGCTATAGAAAAATACATATGTCATAATTATGTGGTAAGGAACGTTTCTTTTTTTGGCTGTATTAATTGAAGCTATCTAGCTAGTAAAAGATTTCCTGTTATACGCATTTCTTTATAATTATGAATCTGATTATAGTGTAATCATCAACAATTTCAAGCATCAGCTTTCATCGTATAGGATTAATTTAAAGGACCGCAGTTACGAATTCCTCTAGATAATTATTTTGAACTGAGTTTGAAATCAATTAATAACGCGACAACTGTTTCAAAAAGATCTTGCACGGCCCACACACCTATTTCATTATCTGTGGGAACTCTATATGTCAATATATGTCTTAAAAGTTGTTTTTACATTTTAAAACATGCTCTTTTTATCAATATTCTATTTGATGTTTTTTGTTGTGGGGTTAATGCCTTCAAACAGATTAGCGTACTGTACTTTCTACCAGAAAAGTGCAAACAACCTACCGTCAACATCGAGGTCACTTAGGTCAATATCTTTGTCGTCCATCTTTGATTCTTTCTTCAGCCTCCTTCTGGCATTGGCAAACCACGTGGATACTTGTGTCAAGGTCATTCTTGTAATAATGGCGAGCATTATTTTCTCGCCTTTGGTAGGATACGGGTTTTTACGATGTTCGTACAGCCATGCCTTCAGGGCACTTGTTGTCTCTCTGGTGGCGTTCTTTCTTCGAGCACTGTTTATGTCAAACCCTGAGTAACTGTGAACATAGAACAAAACTGACGTGTTGAATCAATAAAAAGGTACGAAAATTTTACTCCCATATAAAATAACTCGAAATCTAAATACTTATTGTAATCAATATGATTGTGTTTGAATAACACTTTTGAAGTAGTCCTTTGAATATTGATATACATGTAGCTAAAAATATTGATCTTTCTCCATAAAAATGAAACAAAAGCCGTAAAAGCTTGCAACAAATCCTTGATTACTTTTATACATAGGACTTTTCTTTTGATTATTTACTGTGTCCAGTGGGACTTTGAAAGAAAAGACTTACAATGCATTGTAAGGGTGTGCTGCCATCAGGTGCTCTAAGTAGTACGGTGAATTGACGCCAGGAGGCGCTGCTTTCAGACCGTCTGTTGCTCTCTCTGCCTTCAAACTATGCGCCTAAAAAAGCGGGAAATTCGTTACATTGGGTAAGAACAGTTTTTTACATGAACAATTCTTGGTGTATTTCCTTCACTCAGTGATTCAAAGTTTACAATATCAGCCGGAAATGACTTTTTTTTCAAAAGTAAATGTGTTTTTTTTTCAAGACATAAACAGGTTCAAACTATGATATTTGCATCAAAAACAACATATAGCCATTTAAGAATGGGCAAAGAAATAAGGCAAACATGTCAAACTGTGTTGAATTAAACATGCTGATTATTTGTTTTTTAGAAACTGCTTCATTTTGCTCCGAAGAAACCGATAGCTAATTTTTCTGACGTCTGTCTTGAATAATTCTTCAAAGTGCCAAATTAAAGCAAAAGGTTTGTGGACCTACTTCTCCCTATAGTACATGTAATTGCGTTAATATGTTGTAGATACTTTTTTTATTCTTTTTAATTAACTATGTTATACAGGCAAGTTCAGAAATTGATATTTTAAAATTGTTAGCATTATAATCATTGTTTATTGACGATCTCTTTATTTTGTATTCATACTCACCATTTGATAAAAGGCTGACGTTGCTTCGTTTCCCATGACGACATTTGGAGGATACTGTTGCCCGGCTGCAGCTCCGTAAACTGTTTCCGGTAAACTTGGTACCCTTGACAGGTAACTTGGTATTCCAGATTTTAACTGACAGGAACATATTGCGGCACCAGTCACTGGGTCCATCATCACCGGACGTCCGGTTTCACAGCATCGTGGTGACGTCATTTGACGCCCGACAGATGGATACACGACTTTTGGGGTCGATGTTCTGATATTCAAAGCTGATGTCGTCTGCAAAATAGATTTGCCAATAAAGCAGACGATTCTCAATTTTTTTATTGTATCGATTTCATTAAACAAATAAAGGAGATTCTATATTATACATGTACATAAAATATTTGAAGTTTTCAATCATTCGTATTGCATCGGCTCTTTTCTTACAATTCGGAGAAGAGTCTATTACGAAGCATAATAGCTGAGGAAATCAGGTCTGTCTTTACATAAAAATTATGCTAGTGTCTTTAATTCAATTTTATGCTGTAGAAAATGGCTTGCAGAAAGCAAATTTTTTATGTTAATTATATGTTCCTATACATGTATATAGTTTGCCAATCAAAATGATGATTCACACAATGTAGATCGTTGTTTCTGTCCTTTACTAAGTAAATATTTGAATATATTTGCAACCATTTACAATGTTAAAGTAAAGTGAGTTTTGACAATTCTATTGTCCCCCTAAACATTGGAATTTTCTTTATTTAATACCAGAGGCTTGTATAAAGGTGAAATTGACATTAGAATATTAATTTGAATTCTGTCACTACTGTTTTCGTCAAAAAAAAATCCGGAATTAAAAAAACGGTTAACTAGCATATAACTAAAGTGAAGAGTTGCAATTGTATCACTTATCCTTTATCAAATTTATTCATTTTTCTATTAAATTTCATTTACAGGTTACACTAGTAGTATCTTTAAAACTTCATCATTATCATTATTATCATTATTATTATTATTATTATTATTATTATTATTATCATTATTATTATTTTTTTATTATTATTATTATTATTATTATTATTATTATTATTATCATCATCATTATCATTTTCATTTTCAGGATTTTGTAAGTTATCTTTAAAGTCTGACCAGTGCATTAAAGCATTATCTAAATAAACTATATCACAAAAATCATTATTATTATTTAAAATTATTATTGAATATTTGCATCAGTCCGTATTTGTTGGAGATCAGTTGTCATATCATGTAGAATTGTTAATGAACAACCTCAAGAGACTTAAGTAAGCCTTCTCTTGGACGAGATGAATAAGATTATTTAAAATGACAGCAAAATGTAAGATTATTTCTACTTTTCTTCTTCTTTTTTTTCTTTTCTTCATAACAAAACTTAAAATGTTTAAATTAAATTAAATAATCATTGTTCAGACACGTTGCGCGTGTTTCTATTATGAACTGTATTGGTTTTAATTAATGACGTCACGACGTCATTTGACGCTGTCATATTACACTATGTTAATACAGAAACACGCACCGTGGTAATAATAATAATATTAAATGGGAAATAATTTTTTTCTTTCTTTAGAAAGGGCAGACATGAGTTATAATTTATAACTTTTAAATAATGGTTTTAGAACATGTCAATTAAATGCTTATTACCTAAAAGAAGTAGCGCTGAATTTGAAATATTTTGTCATAAAAATAGCAAAATGTAAACCTAAGTAGTATTTTGACTTCAATACAAAATTCATAATCACTAGACTTGTACTAATTGCCAAAAGGCAACAAAAACAAAAGATGGTAATAAGGTAATTGGCTAATGATCCTGATGTCATTGTAATTTTAGATTATAATTCCTATTGTTGTGTTTCTTTCTTGTTTTCGAAATGAATCGTTTTCAACATGTTTTATTTCTTTCTTTTATGCACGTACATGTATAACTAAAATAAAAGCAAATCATATTTAGACTAAATTACAATAAACTAATAAATGTTACACCACTAAAGATTCAACAAGAAGATCCATATTTTCATATTAACAACAAAACTGACCACAAAAATGTCTACATGGGGAGTGTGGTTTATCCCTATTAAGATGACATTGACATCTGATAGCCCCTTTTAACCTATCCTTCTTATCTCTAAGTTATGATACAAATATGTATAATTTATAATATAAAAATGTGTAACTTATAATGAAAAGACTTTCTAGTTTATAATATCATTATAACAAAAATGTGTAATTAATTCAAAAATGAGTAATTTGACATCTGATACCCTTTTAACTGATCATCCTTATATCTAAGTACTAAGTTATGATAAAAAAATGTATAATTTTATTATAAAACAATGTAATTTATAATAAAAACTCTCTAATTTATGATAAAATTATAATAATAAAATCATATAAAAATAGATCTAATTGCAAAGAATTTTGAATTTATATAAAAAATCGTGAATTAAAAAGGCATTAAAAGACAGATTTAAAATCAGCCTTTTATTGTAGATTCTAGCTCTGAAATATGAAAGATTTCCAATGCTTGTTTGTGTGAAGCATAAATCATATTAAAGTCTAATATAGTTATAACTTCTATATTTACATGTATTTATAGTTATAACATTTGTATAACCCATTTGAAATAATATTGTATTAATATTGTTTTCTTCTTTGAAAACGAATTATACAAAGTGTTTGGTGAAACAAAAAGGGGTAGCAAACAGAAAGTATATTTTGCTTTTGCTAGTATTCAAAATGTAATGTAACTATCATCTATTGATAATGTTATGTTCGTTAAAAGAGTATATTTTTGTGAAATTATGTATTTGAATAAATTTTAGAAAAGAACTTTCGAAGAGCTCAAGAAAACAATACAGTGGTGTAGAAATTTAATGTTAGCAACTGGTGAATAGTCGCTTGTCCTTTGTTCAATTAATGATTATTTTTTCTTATATTAAAATCCAGTCATATATATAAAAGAAGTCTAAGTTTGTATTGATGCTATACATGTATGTACCTGTGTGGTCACTGGTCGATGCATGGATACAGGCGATCCTTTGAACGACATCCCGCTTTATTGATGGTATCAGAATAAACTTCTATATAGGGATGCCAAAAAATCCTCAGATTTTGTAAATTTCTTTATATATCCTTAAAAATCGTATTTTATAATTAACCAAATTAACTGTTTTATCCGAAAAGGTGTTCACAATGCGATTTTCAAACGAAAGAAAAAAATCATCAATTTTTAACAAAACCACTAATACACTTCTCGGGTTATCAGAAGACTGTCATAGATGACTGTTAAATTAAGATAAATTCACATTTTTGAAAAATCTGTTTAAGAGATGATTTGACTTTAATTGAAAGCATCTTTAAATACTTGGGTATTAAAACAGATACCTTGACAAATGACTTCTCCCTTGTCATTGGTTGACGGGTATCTATTTGTCCCGTCTCGCCAAATCATATTATCTGTTAAATCTTTCAAACCCGCCCACGGGTAGATTACGCCGCCCAGGGTAAAGTATCCGTAGTTATCCAAATGGACATGCGAACAAAATAATTATATTTTAAAGTAAATCTGTAGAGACATTTATAAAACATGTTTGTACCCGAAGGATATATTTTCATACGAATTCAGCACTATTTAACAGTTGTTTTGGGGCGTTCAAACCATTTCAGTGATGTTCACAATGACATAATCATTTAATTGTGATGTGTAATTTATCATGAAACAATCGGAAAGCGACGGCTGATTTGGATTTTCGTTACAAGACAGTTAGATCTAACATCTTTATCGGTTCCGATCATCTATTGATATATCCCGTGTTACGGGGCACGGAAATAAGATATTGCACACTTAATGTGCCTTTAAGACATACTCTTGTATTTTTCTATATTCAACATCAAAAATAGAATGATATTGATAATGTATCACAAAAGATACGTATCAAATCATATAATAATCGATGTAAAGTATTGTTAAAACGACAGAAAGGGGGGTGACCGTATATTACTTAAACACGATGACGAAGAAGGTAAATTAATCACCGCATTGTTGTGGGAGATGTTTTCATATTTTACCATGCGTCTCACAGAAATAAGGAAAGAAAAGTATTTGTTATAAGATATGATACATTATATAAGTTCCTTCATGCGATTAATGTAATCAAATTTTATGACTTTATTCTCGGATTCATTTTGAATTGCAAATAAAAGCCATACATCCCTTTTATTCGTGTTAAACTTGTGTAATTTAATTCGTAAAAAATGAATTATTTTAGATTAGGAGACATTTCATTTGTATTGATGACGAATTAATAATAATAATAATAATAATAATAATAGTGATAATGATGATAATAAAATAATAATAATAATAATAATGACAATAATAGTAATAATAATAATAATAATAATAATAGTAATAATGATGATAATGAAATAATAATAATAATACTCTCCTGCATATCGGTCGAATGTTCCACTATCGCACACTGTCTGAAGTAACGTGAGTGTCTTCAATGAGCTGCGGAGGGAGCGTAATGGCCTGGATGCTGGCAGATGGATGGTTGGGGTGAGGAAATTTCTTCTGTGCGCAACTCAACATTTCTCAAGGGATTTTGACCAAACTTTCAAAAGAATCTGTCATCATTTTTGGTGAAATTATGACATTAAAAAAAACAACAGCAACAGAAAAAAAAATAACAGACAAACACTTCTGTTTTCAACTCCTACTACGTTTCTAAAGGAATTTTGGCTAAACTTTCATAGAAACTTTTTCATGAAGTGACCTGGCACATATTGTTCTGGCTTTATGATTCAAACTTTTGGTTGAATTACTGTCCTTTGTTTTTGTATCGTTTAAAAAAAGTAAACAGAGAAATACAGTTTCAACTTCTACTATATTTATCAAGCGCTTTTCAATAAACTTTTACAGAAGCATCATCGTCAAGTATCTTGGCTTTTTTGCATATTAGTAAATAATACACAGGGAAATCTCTTCTGTGTGCAACCCTTCTTTGATTTCAGTAAATGTTAAAGCTATTATATTAGATTGAAATTTTATACATATCTTTGATATATCACTGCACAAATTCCATAACACTGACCAACATAATTTTTGTATTTATCAGCCTAGAATTTTAAGTTATGGTCAAAGACGTGGCATAGGGGTAAATCGCTGTCACTTCTCTGTAATTCAGCTATAAAAACAAACTGATATATTGTAAATATTATAATGTTTCATTGGACAGAAGAATCATTTTAATAAGTTAAAAAAAACCAAAACCTTTGTGTAAAGAAAATATATATGTTTCGAGTGATCCAGAAGTACAACATGTACTTGAATGACAAGTTTTTTCAAATAACCTTTCTATTAAATGAAGGATTTAATATTATCAAATGATCATCTATTTAATTATTGTATAACGATTGTCTTATGTTGAGAAATAATCAATTAACAAAATTTTCAAGAAAACTAGAGTAAGCAATGTGACAAAGAAGAAATGATACCTGTTGCTTTTAGATTATGTCATATGAATGCCACAGCCAAAATAACTCCAAAAAAATGGTGCCAAAATTACGATTTTCATAAGGGATTCCAAATGTGTTCAAATGTTCTCAGTCTAATATCTCAAAAGGAAAGATAAATATTTATTACAATTTTTAAAGCTGAAGAAGTAAAGATGTAACCGAAATTTTACACTAATGTAAGGGAGACAAATCCGTTGGAATCAGTTTTATAAACTAGCGGCCCTTTGTTATCTACAAGTATGGATTCAACTTTATTAATCAAAGGGAGGTAACTGAATTCAAACCTGACGGCTGTAAAATGTCGGCCCAAACTGCCTAAATGACAATTTAAATAAAGTCGTGTTTGTATCTTTGGTTCAAATTATTTGTTTATGTCAATATTGTGGACTGCTTGTAGATAAAATAATGTTGCTCATTTGAGTCTCAATCTGTATAAATTTTAATGCATAATATATATTAAAAGCTCATAGAAACTATACTGATGACCATTCCTCAATAAGAATTTAAGAGACTGTCTAATCTAGGTATACTGAAACAAAAAAGAAACTTTCCCCAAGTTTGAATGTAGATATGATTGTACAGTTTTTCAATCCTTTTGAAACTCGATTTTTACGTTGAATAAAAATATCGGGCTTTTATACGGGGATTAGCTGACCGATTTTGCAAACAAAACGAGTTTTACAAGCTACTACATGTATATATGTGTGTACATCTAAGTGGTACCCTTGAACAACTGGCACATACTTTGCGAAAGTTTCTTTTTTGTTTCAGTATATATGTGTTTCATTTTGAAATTTACAGAAAAACAGATTGTACACATCAATAGCTATGCAATACGGTGGTTGACTTCATGTAGAGAAATGTTAAATCCAATTTTATGAAAATCTTATTGGACAAAGTGATCTCCACATCAATGAAAGGGAGGTAACTGTTTTTTAATACGACCAATAATGCTTTACTACTCAAGGGAGGTAATCGTTTTCAATGTAAAATGATAATGCATTATATATTTCAATAATCAACTCTTGACATTTGTGAAAATGAGCTTGCCCTGCTTTGAATTTAGAACGGTCCATTCCTGTAAGGATTTCAATCATGACCAAAATATAAAAATGAACACCAGTATAGTCTGAAACTGAACTTCTATTTTTAGTAACAGTGACCTTAATCACAGACACCTGGGTAGCAATCCCAAGCTGCCTCTTGATATAAGCTATCCATACACCAAGTTTGGTGTCAATAGGCCAAAGCAAACTAAAGTTATTGAGCTGAAACTGAATTTCTATTTTTAGTAACAGTGATCTTGACCTTGATTACAGACACCTGGGTAGCAATCCCAAGCTGCCATTTATATAACTTTCATAGAGTTTTACGTATGTTCATTCCTTTGAAGTTTCGTCAATATAAATAAAGTTGTTAGAGACATTTAAAGGGCAATTCTGCAAAATGACACATTTTAGATATTTTTCAAAAGTCCATCTCTTAAAACTTTGTGCTCTGTGGTCAGCTAAGATACAATAAGGAAAGTATAAAATCTAGAAATACTGTACACCTTAAATGCAGAAATACTGGGTTGGAAAGCTTAAAACAAAACATGAATTATTTTCATACATTCTTTAATATAAATCCGCATGATAATAAATCTAATTTCATAATCATTTACAGCATATTAAATACAAGCACAAAATAAAGTGTTTTATATTTATCACTAAACTAGAAATGAGCCGCGTCATGACAAAACAAACATAATGGATTTGCGACCAGCATGGATCCAGACCAGCCTGCGCATCCGCGCAGTCTGATCAGGATCCATGCTGTTCGCTATCAGTTTCTCTACTTGTTATAGCGTCTGTAATGCTGGTCGCAAACGCATTACGTTGGTTTTGTCATGACGCAGCTCAAATGGATAAATGTATGGAAGTTCAAGACAGAAAGGGACAACAGATAAGAATATAAAAACAAACCACGTTTTCAGAAAGAACAACACAAGGTGGAGATTTCAGTTGAACGAAACTTTGGGGTCAAGACAGCTGGAAATCTTAGTGAAGAAGTTGGAAATTTTATAGAAGTGAACAGAAAGGGAGAATCAAGACTGAAGTGTTGTAGATGTGAAGAGATAAGGGGAAAAAAAACACGCCTGAATGAGACAATGAGATGGATATTCTGAAGTATTACAAGAATATATAAATGTGGAGATGAAACAAATCATTTTCAGATTACAGCATAAAAGGCTTATTACCATACAAGTCTTTATAAAGAGCCAGTAGATAAGTGAGTTTAGATATTTCATATAGATAAATGAACACATTATGAAGGTGGTAGACAAAAATACATATCAAAATATAAAAGGTGAATTGTAACATGCCGGACAGAATCATTTTGTTGTTGCTGGGTTTAAAGTCAAACCAATAGGCGCTATTAAGAGGCTTTCTAGCTTTACTGGTGGAGAGAGATTTCAGGTAGCCTATCTGTGCCTTATTTCAGATATGAACAGGCACCTAAGTAGAACCACCAGCATTCTTTAAGCTACCTAGATAGCTTTCACACATGAAAAAATTTAAAAGTCCCTGAGCACTAACTTTCTCTCAGCTTGACAGTTTCCTCACATGAAAAAAAACTTCAATAGTCCTGTGCAGGATTCAAACTCAAGGCAGTGAAGGATTACAGATTCAAACTTAACCACTCAGCCACGGAGTACCCAAAGACAAAATCTATCCTTGTTTTTGAACTACTTGTGCATTACTATATCTATCTACACTTAAGAATTTTCTACATCTTCAAAACAAAAAAAACGATAGATAAAAAATACTTGTATATATACACAAAGGCTATCACAAGAAAGAAATACATGTATTCAGAATTACATCAAAAATTCAACACCTACTCAATGATACATTTTGATTTCTGTTCAATTGTGCTATATTTATAATACATATACTTCTGCAAAGTTCAGAATTATATTGTCAACATATACAATTCAATTTTAAAATACAAGCCCCGAGATACAGACATTCAGAGGGATCACCCTTTTACCAGATTTTTAGAATACAATTTGGATAAATATAATACGGATAATTATTGGTTAATGCACTAGACATGTTTATAGAAAACCCCCAAAAGCAAAGATAATTATTATAGTAAATATTTCCCTTATTTTCAAAGCACGATTGCACAGCATATTATAAAAAATACAAGTTAATAATTTAACATCACCTAGTATATAACTTACACAATGTGTTAATGTATAACGTTTAAAAAATAATATCACATACACAGCCAGTGTTATTCTCCACAATCGACAGACAACTGACACACCATTACAAAAACTGTACAGCTTGACTTCTTAATATGGCATCAACAAGTTTTACCAAGTCACAAATGTGAGTTATTTGGCACACTTTTTCTACTTATTCGATATAGAAATGAAGATGTTTGGCATTTTAAGTATACAGTATCATATGGCGAAGGAATTGTTTAACTCATACTTTCATCAAATCTTAAAGACCTATTATGTATAAATCGCACACAAAAAATTCTCTTAAAGCAAACTTGTTAAATTCTAGTACAAATGCATCAACTCCTATGCTCACAATATAATAATCCACTTATATTAGGGTTTTAAGATAATAAATTTTGTTGGTCTTCTAAATAAAGCCAATTATTGAACGTTGCTTTCGCATTTTAAAGATCTCTTTCTGATTTTCAATACAATACAAATGCTATCCTGGCATACACCTATTTGTAACAGTACATCAGCATTGTCATTGTCTCGGCTACAAGAGTCTATATTTAAGCTTAGTCTATATATGATGAAAGCACAGTAGTGTTTATTTCGGTGCCTTGATCGGCCTCATTGCGTCCGCGTGCCACGTGCGGAGATTGGCGAGGGCACGGTTGACCTTATTGCACCATACTATCCTCTCTTCTTTTGTATCGGCGGACAACATGAACCTATAAAACAGAATACATTTATATATAGATACAATTATTATAATAATTTTGCTAAAATATCACTTAAATTGTGGCAAAGACGTTATCATAAACCTAACAAATAAAAAAATTCATTCACCAGTGAAAAAACAATTGGATTTACATCACTTTTGTTATATAAACATAGTGTTAAAAGCATGCTATATGTTAGCTTTATGGCAGGAGAAAAGAACAATCATTGGCGATAACTCTTAATTTTTGGTTGTTTAGGGTCATTGAGTCTAACTGAACTGACAAAGAATAAGTATAACAATTACTTTCATGCAGAGCTGGCTTAGTTTTAAACATATCTATTTAAGCTCCATTGAGAAACAAGTTCTTGCAACTTATATTAAGCACTTTCAAGTCCACTTCCTGGAACCATCCAGTACTGGTGTCATATGAAGAAACATGGTTGTGACCCAAGTAGGACTCGAACCCATGATCTCTGGATTGAGAGGCAGACACCTTAACCACAAGACCACCGCTCCTCTTAAAATGCATAGTTTGGAAATGGTGAACACAGGAGGCAACTGTCTTCAATTGTTCAAACACATAGACCTTTCTGTAAGGTGACTTAATAACTTTTACTCTTGAAAGAATTAAGAAATATAAGAACTTTAAAACAGAGGGTTTTTATTTTGTGTATACCTTGTAGTAGTCATAGTGTTGTAGGTTTTGGTGACGAGCGTGTCTTGTTCACCTCTTCTTGGTGGACGGACAGACACCAACTCAAATGTGTGAGGTCGTGCACAGATATCTCGTGGTATCAAACCAATTTTCTCCGTAATTACCCTCTTCAAATCTATAATGCCCATAGGATCCTGAGGGGAAAGAAAAGAAACCAATTAACAAAGTCTGAAATCCTTGAAGCATAAATATTTCTAAATCAAATCACTTTATTTGTATACTTGACAATAGTGAAAAGTTTTAGAATTTGAACATTTCATAAATTTTCATAAAAATATGTATGAATCTGTAAGCATGCAGTTTTAAAAGACTTCCTTCATTGAAGGATCATTGTAGTACTAGATCATAGGTTAATGAGAAATAAATTATATATACATAAAGAAAGATTATCTAAGTCCTTATGACAGCAAAGTCAATATCAACATAGGCAAAGTTCATATGTCTTCGGTGTTGTAATATTTTTCTGGTCCTTCCGAGATTTTCAGTTCTTGAGGATCACCCCCTTTCCAGAATTTTGTGCATTATATAGAGGATATTGAATGAGTGTAAGTTCAATACTGAATTTATTGCACGAGTTGAATAAAATAATATTATGCGAGCCTCTGACGAGCATAATATTTTTTTATTCAACAAGTGCAATAAATTCAGTAATGAACTTACACGAATTTAATATTCTATTTATCACATACCCAAAATACAGATCGTTCAAAGTGAAATAAGAGTCATTTTTTATTGACATGCCGATAGTATAACGCTAACATTTAGCGCGTCTTTACACTATGTTTGTATACCGCTAATGATGTCACGTCAAAATATATGCACGGCCGTGCAATACCATTTTTACGGAGTCGTAAAATCGGCACGGGTGTGTGATAAAATACAGTAAAACACTTATAGCTATTCTAATTACAACCACCAAACATGCGTTCAAAACAAAAATCTTTATCTCATAAAAGCTTTCAAATTACCTTTCTCTGTTCATCATCGGGATATTTCCAGAAGCAGAGTTTGTTTCCAGCGAGTACAATCCATCGTCTATGCCAGGCTCCTAGACCGGACACGTCCTCAAACATGGTGAGGAATCCCCGCTCCTCCACATTCTGTTCCATCATACACTTAAGTCGCATGTAGATCATTCCGTGAAGTGGTGAGAGGAAAGGTATCTGAAGATAGCATATAGACAATTATATATATTAACCACCATGCAATCCTTATATAGCCAAAAAATTTCAATAAATGACGGAGGTATACAAGGTATACAGCATCTAAATTTAGACATATGTTGAGTTTTTCTTCTTCTTTAAATTGCAATTTATTTTGATTTGATGGCAAATCTTTTTTTTAAACTACACATAAGTCTGCTTACAGATAGACGCCAAGTGACAAAACATTTTTGCAACCCAAGTAGGACTCAAACTCACAATCTCTGGTTTGTGAGGCAGACAACTTAACAACTAGGCCACCATTTACAAATTTAATTTATAAAATCAAGATATAACATTTACCCTCTCAAGTGAAAAGCTGCTTTTGTCCAGTGATTTCATTGTGATAGGCAGTGACGTGATCAGGGTAAAACTGGTCGTTCTTACGGCTGTAGGACCGCCAGGGCTCTCCACTGAAATAATACAAATAGGAAATATAACTCTCAGAATACAAGCAAGAATAATCGCTTGCCCATATCTGAAGCACAGAGCCAGATTAGCCTACTAGTACACCAGTTGAAGGTTGACTGCAAAACTGTAGTAACTTATATATAAAGTATGAAAGGAATTACAACAGTTTTGACGTCAACTCTCGACCGATGCAGTTTGACCAAAATCTGCAGTTTGATAGGTTAATTGTAGTAATTTTAAAATGACATTACACTAAAATTCTTAAATTTAAATCATGACAAAACCATTCATCATTTTGAGAGAAAAATTTCATAATAAGTACTGACTGAATAGCCAGCAGTGCAGACAAAAATTTTGGGTCAGCACTGGTGAAACGGGTAGATTTAGTTGCTGCCAGCAGGCTAAACTTTAATACTTTACAGCTCTTATTCAAAATGAGGCAAGTTCAACCTTAGTAGGGCTTAGGTTTAAAATATAGACAACAGAGGCAGGAATTCATGAAATTTCTTTTTGTGCAATGATTATAAAAGTTCAGGTAAAAAATCTTTTCTTTTTTTTAATACAAAGATTTTGATTTCTGTACAATAGTTGACATGGTCTTTTGTTTGTTTGGTAAATAGCTAACAAACACAATTAAGGTAATATTATGCCGATACAGGAAAGATAATTTTGGCTAACCTCGCGTGTTACAAACATAAAGCAACACCAGAGGTAACAACATCTCACCTGCTGAAGGTAAGAGATGCACAGAGGGGGAGGTAGAAATACGGTTTATTTGGATTGACAACTATTTAATGCTGGAGCAATGAGACTTAATTACTCAAAAGTCTATCTCTGGTATGGTTTACCACAATATTTTACATAGAGTTTAACAGCTGACAAGTTTTTCACAAGTATTCTACCAATTGTAAGAATTGTAACACCCCAGCATAGAGATAGCTATTGTATAAAGAGCCAAATGAGGGGCCTCACAGAAGGACACATACTTTGTCAATCAACAAAACATAACTTTATGCTCTTGCAACAATAGTACTGAAGAAAGAAAGAAAGATAAAACCAAACCCTACACTAGTACTATTGGCTGTATTTCGTTTCGATTTCAAAAGCATTTTAACAAGCAAAGGACAGTTCAAACCCTCAAAGCAGTCACATAAATAAATTTCAGCTCAGTAAGATTTGATTTAAAAGTGCAAACATTGTGTATGAATTCAAGATGACGTACTTGCAACATTGACATATGTTTTGTTTTTTTTCGTTTCTTCTTTTTATTTTAATTATGTTCTCTAACGACTGAAAGCAAGACAACAAAACTTTCCATATAAAATACAAGGTTATTGTGTGCGGTTTCATGCATGATGGGGATACAGATGAAAACCAAAAAAACCACGCCCAAAATAATACTTTATATGTTCAATGAAAAATAAATAGGGGTTTTGAATTAGTGTAGGTTCAATAACAAATTTTATCAACAAGTTCAATCAATCTAGTAAAGAAGCTCCACACATTTTACATTCTATTATCACAAACCTTAAAAGGAATCATTTTTCAGTTGAAATAATCATTTTTTCCCCCATTGATATGCCTATAAATTTGTAATGCTAACATTTATCTTGCTATTACGCTATGTTTGTATAACAAAAGTGACATCTCGTCATAATACATGCATGGCAGTGTAGGGAATAATTGAAATGTGCCGGTGAATGGTACTGATCACTCCTGGAAAGTTTGTATGAAATCCCACTATCTATCTATAGCTCTGACGGCCATTTTGTGCAGCAAAGCAGAATGTGCCGGTGATGGGCACAACTAGGGATGGTACTGATCACTCCTGTAAAGTTTGGTTGAAATCCCACCAGTAGTTAGACCTGTGAAGGGCGGACAAACTTAATGCAGACTTAAGGTCCACCAGACAAACAGACAGACGGCAAAGGCAAAAACAATATGTCTCCTAAAAATTTTGGGACATATAATTCAGAAGTGTAAGGGTTAAAGGAACTCAAGTGAGGTTCAAAAGCCTAAAAGATCAAATATGAATTTCTTACACAGATCAGCATGGACACTTAAACAGAAAGATATTCAAAAGATAATTTGGAAATATACTAAAAATTAAAGTGAAAATCATATTCTTTCACAATTAAAATTATCCTTGAAAAATGGAGAGAGCAAATGAACTGAACTTTTTCCACACAAGTTATTAATCTATACCTACATCAAATGGAACAGAAGTCTCAAAATATTATTTCAAGTCCAGTTAATTCAAAAAACATCAGTGGAGTTCCTATAAGATTTTGAAGTGTTTATATAACAAAAATGATGTTGTGACTCAGAATGATGTTATAATGAACAATGAGGGGTTAGTTACCTGATTACAAACATAACTATGTTAGCAATAACACAAACAATGTGTACAATAAGTAGATCAAGTTACTTGAATTACAGGGGATATTGAATACATTTAAGTTATACATGTAATCAGGTTTGTCATTAGACATTTTTTGCAGAATGGTTTTTGTTTTAATGGACTTGAGGCGGTCATTTCTGTCTTTATCATGCCATAACAAAGAAAAGTTGTTTTGTTAATTTTGAGGGCCCAGCCATTAATTGCCAATTTTTGAGACCCAGGCATTTTTTTTGGCCCCCCCCTTTTCGCTTGCCGCGTCTTAATGACAACCCTGCTGTAAATAAAGTTTTTGCAAAATTTAAAATATCAGATCATCACTTGATGATTTCGGTATAAGGAACCGAAACGAAAAAAATCCTAACAAACGGCAATTTGTTACTTCCAAATAGCATGTAACTGTATGTATGTAATGACAATATCAGCGAATGAATACTTTGAAAATTTAACATGTTGCAGAATGAAAAAACTGTATAATAGAATTTTATAAACTGAAAGTGAGAATATGATGTTCCACAAAGAAACGGTTTTAAAAAAGCAGAAACAAAGTATTGTTCATAAAGACAATGCCTCTCCGAGTCATTTTCAGTGCTTGACAGTAAGAAAAGGGGCATAACTCTGTTAAAAAGGTAACTCAGAGATATGTGACCTATCCCCTTCATGTAATATGAGCACAGAGAACAAGAGGTAAGTAGTTTCAATCAATTCCCTATAAACCAACACACAAACACAAAAACTTAAAGTGTGACTGCAACATTTATGTCAAGGTGAGATGTTTATATTGTCTACATCTATTGCTGCAGCGAAAGATTTCAATACATTTTCATTTTAGCTTCAAAAACTTTATGATGGAAAAGTTGAGACAGTTTAAGCAATCTTTATGGAGACTATTTTTGGGAATTTTTATCAAATTGTCAACAGATGTTATCTAGAACTCTACTATCCACTATCGGTCACAATAGATTAGTCAACCTGTTGTGCTTATTTTCAAAGCTGTAACTGTAAAAGTTTGCTTGTACCCAATTAGCTGGGAAAAACCCAAAATTTACTTTATTCTGGAATAAGTCTATTTGGGAAAAGGCCTACATAATGCAATTTTTTTTTAAAGAATTGAAAGATCACTGCATCTTACCAATACTGTAGATTTCCAGGTTGATATTAAAAGTTTAGAAGATATTCCGTGTATTTTGATCAAGTTTGGAAAGTCGAGGCTTCCGCGCATCATTAGGGTCGTGTGTGGACAACATCTGGGTTGTTATAACTTGTGGTCCATTTCGTATCAACAGCATGAAATAGTGTACTGTATTATCTGAAAACATACATTAACTAAAACTGTATATGAATAAAATAGAAAAACATAATAGAAACCTTAAGAATGCCCAAAACAAGGAAATTTGCAATGATTTAGGCTCGCTTGATTAACTCTTGTTACTGTAAGTGTCATGTGAACAATATTTATTTCTTAATCGCCAGAAAACACTATAAAATCAGCTTAACTGTTTGACGAGTCATAATGGGTTATAAAAAGTAAAGTACAATGAAATTTCGTCTGTTATGTTAATTGTCAAGTGATTTAATTATTTTACCTGACGATGTTACCAATTTTTGGTAACAAAATCTTTCTTTAAAGCAGCCTGATATCACTGATAGTTAGAGAGCCCTTCGGTCCCTGTTGACTGGGCGGCTCCAACTGTTTGTCTCCTTCAATCTTTGCACTCTCCCGGTCAGGTATGCCTGCCGTCTCTGGCCTACAAGTACAACATCACAATTTAACGTTTTTATGTACTCAGATTGTTTAGCACCATTTATGTCTTTTTTAAATTTTTACACAAGCACAATACTTGAAAAATTTAGTACAGAATATGATCGAGAACTGTTGACAATGATAAGTTTTCAGCTACAATGATATTGTAAATTTATTATGGTTTTCAGTAAATTGTAAATGTTAATGCACTTTTTGGTGGAGGAAGACTGTGGGGGAAGGCCTCAGGGTGCCTCTCCATGCACTATTTTTGTCATCTTACTGCAGTAAAAGGTTAAGTCCTAAATTTAAAAGAAGTTAATCAGTTATTGCACTAAGGTGACAAAAATTTCATTGGATCAATTCCCATCAAAGACTGCATTGTACGGTCTATGAAAGAATTCAAACCCACAGGCTACAATTTTTATAGTCTTACCTACAATTTTTATACTATAAATCAAACAGAATGTGGAATTTAAACAAAACTATACTTACAAGACACCAACAATAATCGGTTACATTCCACCTGCTCGGCTGAACCGGCAAACTGTGAATCACCGGAACAACATTTGTTGAGAGCATTACTCGTTTGCATAATCACAACTCTGTTGCGTGACCTCACCAACTCTTGTAACTCCTACAGGTTAAAAAGAATCAATGGAAACTCAAATTTGCCACAGAACAACCAAATATTTTTGTTAAAAAAAAAAAGTGTAACCCAAATAGCAATAATTTGAAATATTCTTATTTGGACCATTGCGTAGCCGGTTAAGAAACCCCAAGCAAGGATAAGCCAATGGGACCAACAAGTTCTTTGTTGTTTGGGCAAAAGTAAAATTATGAAGATCAGGCAAGGCGTTAACAATTCTTTTTGAATTCGTGGTTCGGTTGGCAGGCTTGTTACGGATACCCTTCTTGCCAGAGAAAAAACCTTCAAGGGTTGTCCTCACCAATTACTATAATTTCCAGCACAAGCCGGCATCCTGGTGAGCAAAAGGAGTTAAAATTGTTTTGTTTCTTGAAACTAGGAGTTGTCAATTTAATGTAGGTCCTTGCTATTGTTTCCCATCCAAGTAGCGACCCAAAACAGAAGGAGTTATTCCTCTTCAAAAGCTATGGAAAAATCTGCATTGAGCGACCATAAGTTGCATGATTTACAAGATTAGTACCTCCTTCATTCACTTCAAGAGATAACATAATCATTTCGCTTATCCCCTTTTTTTTCCCCAAAAGATCCCTTTATCCTATCTTGGTAAAAGTCTCCTTCTGTATTCGTGGAGGGAAGGTTGGGTTGGGGCACTTTTAGATGGTCTTCTCCCTTTCACGTCCTCGACAACATAACTGGCTGTGGCCCGGTGAGATCGCTGACTCGCTGGCATCTCTTTGACTCAAATGTATACGACGCAACATGATTAATGTTATATTTGTCTAAAAAAATACCGTTTGCCCATTTCTTGTGTTAAGTCTTTACTGTGTAACATGTTATTAAAGGGACTCAACTGAGGTTTTTTGACATGATGGGACTGAAAATATTTTTCCGAGATTTTTATACTGTTTGAGGAAGGTCTGAACTAATAACTTGTGTGCAAATTTTCACATCATTCCCTCACCAAGTTTTTCCAGAATATTCTATTGTGCAAAATGATTCAAAAAATGAAAAGCGTTGCAATACTTTTCACTCAAATCTGGTTAAGAATTGCACTGACTATTAATTTTCAATTTAATTCCGAGTATATTTCTTTATTATCTTTTGCAGATTTTTCCATTTTAAGTGCTGCACTTGATGTATGTAAAATTTCAAATTTTAAGGCCAATAGACCTCAGTGGTGCCCCTTTCAAATGTAAATATGTTTTTTAAATGCTTAAAAAAAAATTGTACAAAGATGGTAATACTAATAAAGAACTTCTGTAAAAATAAAATACACCATTGAAAAGCCACATGCCTTTAACCGATATCGGTTTTATTACCATATCAATCATGACAAAGGAAAGTTTAACTGTAAACAAAGGCCATCTATGAATAAAGGGCATATAATGAGTTGTTCTGTGACTTGCTTGGCCTATACAGACAGGGTTGTCCACATAACATAAAAATCATTCTTTGATGTATGTAAAAAATAATTATTTGAAATAAAATAAATATCAACCACATGACCACCTAAAATTCAAAAAGGACCGCCCTAGAAAAATTTTACTAACGACCCTGCATATACAAAATTAATGCAGGTCTTGAAATTCCTCTGAAATACAACTACATGTAGACCGGTCTAAATTCAAAGCAGGACATGTCCACTCAACACTAACTAGAACTCCGCGAGTCGGATGTGTCCCTTGTGAACAAATATAGTTAAGAGAAATGGCAAAGAAAAAAATGAAAATTTTTGAAATCAAACAAAGGGCATAACTCAAAAAATACGAGAAATGCAGATCAGCAGTTTCTCTGTGCACTGCACTTCTTATCAATAAGATCTATCATCCTATTAAGTTTCAGAAAGCTTTTATAATTTATGGAAATGGCCTGGACAAAAATAAAGTATGAAAATTAACAAAGGCAGTAACTCAAAAAATAAGAAATGCAGAGTTTCCTGTGCACTTTTCTTTATCAAAAAATAAGAATCATCATCCTATTAACGTTTCAAGTCTCACACAGTTCTTGAGGGCAGTAAACTGCACTTCTTGAGCACTGCACTTCTTCTTAATGAGATCTATCATCCTATGAAGTTTCATGTCCATAGCTTTTTATACTTTAGGAGGAAAGGCCTGGACAAAAATAAAGTATGAAAAATTAACAAAGGGCAATAACTCAAAAAATAAGAAATGCAGAGTACCAGTTCTTGTGCACTGCACTTCTTCTTAATGAGATCCTATCTATCAACCTATGAAGTTTCAAGTCCATAGCTTTTATACTTTAGGAGAACTGGCCTGGACAAAAATAAAGTAGGATAATTAACAAAGGGCAATAACTCAAAAAATAAGAAATGCAGAGTACCAGTTCTTGTGCACTGCACTTTTTCTTAATGCAATCTATCATCTTATGAAGTTTCAAGTCCATAGATTTTATACTTAAGGAGAAATGGCGCGGACAAAAATAAAGTATGAAAATAAACAAAGGGCAATAACTCAAAAAATAAGAAGTACAGAGTACCGGTTCTTGTGCACTGCACTTCGGGTCATTATGAGAAGCATGCATACCAAGTTTGAAGTCAATCCGACTTATAATGACTGGCTTATGCCTCGGACAAGCTTTAGGGGACGCCGACACCGCCGCAGACAAAAGTAACCCCTATATGTCACCTTTTTCAAGGCGACACAAAACCTAAGCAAGGAAAATGTTAAAATAAATCTTTAACATGAAAATACACGATGCAAAATTTTTCTCAATTTTGTTGGGTTTTACATCACATCAACACAGTATAGATCATATGGTTACTTTCCAGCTTAACTGGTAGAGGATGACCTCAGATGCCCGTCTGTGCATTATTTTAGACACAAATCGGCACCTGAGTAGAACCACCAACATTCAGTAAGCTAATGATGATGTAAAAAGGACAATGACTTATGAACACACAGACATATATATACATGTATATTACAGTACATGGTGATATATTAAAGCAGTGAATTACAGCATAAGCTCTACTGCAACAACTTCAAAGGGTATAAAGCTATATTACATGAGATATTTTTTATATTTCCATAATCTAATGATATTCTTTGAAGAGTTGTAAAATAGAATGTCTCTGATATTTAACACACATATATATTGTATGTTAACAGAATTAAACATTCAAGAACAAAATATTATACTATTTTCAATAGCCATTTGCCAATAAGGAAAAATTCAAACAAATTTCTTTCATACAGGTACATTGGAATTTGTTCCTCAAAACTAAAACAGAAATTTTGTAAACTTCATACAGCACCTATATAGCTTTATACACTTTAACTTATCCCTGTATAAACTAGATGTTTTTTTTCTTTCTCTAAAACAAACCTGTGAATGCTCTAATGACTAACTTACACAAAGATCCAAACTATTAGAACACTATAAAATACAAGAATTTGCTGCAAGTTCTAAGTCTCAGAGTTTAATGATTTTATTAAAAATCCAGCCACTGTATGCTGAAGTTTTTGGGTTCTTTCAAAATCTGGACAAAGTAAGATGAAGAGGTGCAGATTTTGTGTTTTTGATTTTGATTAATCTAGCAAACTAAACTATGTTCTTTCATGCTCTATTGTAAAAACTGATTATTTTAATATTGTTAAATTACAAATCTATCCTGAAATGGTAAAAGCTAGCTGAAAAGCTGCAAACAAATCTTCCTCTTTGGTTATTTCTAAATACCATACTTCTATAAAACTGTGCAAGAAAAACAAGACATATTTCCCAAAGTTGTTGTTTATTAGTAATTTGATTTGAGGCAAGAGTACGTACAAATTTTTTAGAGTTCTGAAGACTTTTTTGAAGAAAATGTGTGAAAAAGAACTTTTCTACAACCGTAACTGAATACAAAAGATTGAAAAGTTCTTATTTTTATCATAGGCCTTACCTTTACAGGGACAATGTTAAACAAAGCAAGCACACTAAAAGATGCATTTATAATATAGCCACAACCACACACTGTAAATTTAAAAGGGAGACAACTGTTGAAGACCTTGGCAACAAATGAACTATATAATGTAGCGCAAAATTAGTATAGATAAAATGCCCTGCTTTTATATTTTTACATCATTTTGGAACAGAGAACATCAATTGTATAAATCCAATGCTCTCCCTTTTGAGCTACACAGACAGACAAATGTTTTAACAAGACTGACATCTCGTCTGCAGACCTTTTTTTTTGCAGGACTTTTAGCATAATTATTTTTGTAAGGAAATATAAAAGCAGACAATTTTTCTCTACAAATTTTGTTCTACATATAAACAGCACTTCTGTTGTCACTGACGTCAACTGCTGTCCCCTTTCTCCCAATTGTACAGCTAGAACGAGAAGCATAAAAAAATGAGCCTTACTCTCGGAAATCTACTGTTGTGGTAATCTTTGTCAGTCTGCAATAATCAGTGGATATACATGTTTTATATATGACGGCTTGGATATAGTTACGGGTATGTCAGGCTCAATATTTCCTGAAAAATATGTGCTCCTGCCTCCTGCTCTAAACCTTTCTCCAATTTGTGCAATTCTGATTCTACTATGAATTTATTCATTTGATGGTTTATAAAACCTAAAACTAAAGCTGTAAAGCTTATAGTAGAGTCTAACCTATAGATCAGCTATGAAGTGCAGCAAGGTTTGGCACTATGGTTACCAGATTTGTAGGTAAGTAGTAATTCATAAATTTATCATTATACAGATAATTTAGTATAATCATCAAAAATTCCTGAATCAACTTCAGTTGTTTTTTTCTTTACATACAAAAATGTTGCTGTTTTCCTTTCCTACATAAAAAGAAACCCTGAAACATGGAACCACCACACAGGCATGACTTATCAAGTCATAAAAAGGAAGCAACCAATGAATATTTGTGAGAGCTGCCTTGAAATTGCTTGCCAATGTTCTTTTTTTTGTTCAAAATATTCCCTGACTGTTTTATTGCTTTTTTCCGTCTTTTTATCTTGATAGAGGATTGTACAATGCACTACAAAAGCTAGAAACACACATTCTTCAGAAAAGCATGTTTTATGCAATATAATATAAATAATTCAAGTATGCTCTAAAGTGGTCATGAAAGCTTCAAAAATGAGAAACAAAGAAAGCAAAGAGGCCATCTTCTACATGCTCCTGTCCTATATGAAATTTATATATGAGCCGCGCCATGACAAAACCAACATAATGGGTTTCGACCAGCATGGATCCAGACCAGCCTGCGCATCCACGCAGTCTGATCAGGATCCATGCTGTTCGCTTACCAACTCTATAACAAGTAAAGAAACTAATAGCGAACAGCATGGATCCTGGTCAGACTGCGCCGATGTGCAGGCTGGTCTGGATCCATGCTGGTCGCAGATGCACTATGTTGGTTTTGTCATGACGCGGCTCATATCCTTTTGAGATTTGCATACAATGTATAAATACTTAAAATATTTTCGACAGCTTAACCCTTAACCATAATTAATATCTAAAATGGACATGTCCATCATGTATAATTAATCTGAACAAAACCATTCATCATAGTAAGGAAAATTTCCAAAATAAGTACTGACTGAATGGTGCACCAAGCTAATCTTGGGTCTGCACTGGTTGTATGGGTAGCAACAGGCTAAGGGTGTAATAGATGAAGAATTCTTCTAAGAATGGTTCATGCAATTGTAATACTTTGTAGATTGAAAAAGTATAACAGACAATGATTTAAAATGTGTTGAAGCAAGACTCAGTGCTAGGCTATAGAGAGTGAAAAAAGGTCTTCTACTTCTATATACATTTTTTCCTCTTCTAAAAATGGGTCTAGTAAAGGCACAATTTCCAAATCAATAAAAAAATATTTCCTTATTCCCTAAAACGTTGATAATAAATATTGAATTTTTTTGTATTTGTTCCCTCATAAAGAAGATTTCATGCCAAAAAAGTTCTGATCAGGAAGACCTGACCCAGTTCTGAAAAGGGTGAAAAAAGGACACTATGTCAAAATAGATAACTTGGAACTCTGCAAATTTGGGCTTTTCCCATTTAATGATTGGGTATAAAACAAACTTTTACAGTTAAAACGTGGTAAATTAAATTGATAATGTGCACAACGTCTTGATCACTGTTGTGAAAAGCTATCAGTGAAACTAAAACAATAATTTACCAAACTTTGTACCCCAGAATTACATGGGAAAAACTGCATAATTATGCTGTGTTCCATATAACATCTAGATACATTTCAAAGCCATTATACTGATTACATTTAAATATCATATATGAATATGCATGAAACAATTAATATGGTAATGTTCATATGATTATTCATCCATGATTTAAATATATGACACAGATGATGGGATGATTAAATATGCATGAAACAATATGGTTAATGTACATATGATTATTCATCGATGATTTAATTAAATATGACAAAAGATGATGAGATGATGTTAAATAATGAAACTAGCTAAATAAGAAAGCAGAAACTGTATTAACTAGATCAATCCAGAACCACCATAAACAACTGTGCTCATGAAATCACACAATCAATATAGATTACTCACCTGTTACTCCTGTACATGGAAACACTGTACGCCAGTCCGTCGCTCTTGGCTCTGTATTGTACCTCGTTATCAGTGTGTTGAGGCGGCATCGTCTTTGGTCGCATCTGAACCGTTTCTGCAGAGTTTACGTTGCCATCCATTGTGGCCTGCATGTAACTTCTTCGCTTACGCTGAATTTATTTCAAAAGGAAATTCAATCTTACTAGAACAGATTTACCACAGTAATAAAGACTTGTAATTTTATTCATTTATATGACAACACATCATTTTTTATGTTATTTTGAATCTAATAATGTATCAGAAACTTTTTTTGGACCACAACAACAAACTGAAAAACTTTGATTACTGCTTACGGACTTTCAAAAATATTTCACAAGTATAAAGTCATATTTTCTTTACTTTCAAAATTATCCTTAATAGTACAATCAGTAAAATCGGAAAATGAAGGTTCATAATTTAATGATATAAACTCAATTAGTTAATTATGAATATTTACCGGCAATGGTTGAGGATCTTTCTTCCTCATTTCAACTTCAGAGATATCGTCCATAGCCTCGTCTAGAAGGTCATCCATCTCAGCACGGTCGCATTCCTCATCTTCGCTGTCATCTCCACTGTCTATACGCTGCTTTTTGTACGTCTGTTCTGCTTCACTGCTCTCCTGTGAGGGGTACCTCTCTCGGTTTCTGTTACTTTGGTCAGTATCAACATATTCCATACTGTCCTCACTGGTTATACTCGATGTATCATCATGTCTCGGTGGCAGCATGCTCTCTCTACGTACAGACGCAGGAACAAACGCGCTCATACTAATATCTTCATCTTCTGTTAACTGTTCACGAGACCTTGCAGCACGAGGCTGTTGTTGCTGCTGTGGGGTCATTCTTTTTGTAGGACTTCTGTAAGATTCTGGAATACTCGACTCAGATCCACTGTTATAAGAGTCATCAAATGATTCCTGGGTCTCGGACTGAATTTCTTCAGAGGGTGGATCAAAATCGTCGGTATCGTCCATTGTGTCGCCCTCAGTCTCTGTGCACTGATCCTCATGTCTGTCCGTACTACTGTCGCTCTCAGTACTTGTGTTATGTTCCCGAAACTGAACCTTCTTGAGAGAGGACGTTGAATTCTGTTTAATCACAGGTCTCTCTGGTTCCTTACATTTCTTTGATACAAGTCTATAAATACTCGGCTTCTTGGTGGCCGATGCTGCTTGCTTGTCACTGGCTACTGCCTGACCATGGCCATTTTTGAAATTATACGAAGCCTCGCCTTCATCTGAAAGTTCAAATCCCATGGCTTGTAGCTTTTTGTTAAAATCTGGCAAAAGATGAGATAATGATGGTGAGGTTAGACCGTGCAGTGCTATAGAAGCAAGAATATGTGCAAATGCATGCAAGCAAAGATGCGAGAAACATGATGTATATAAAATATGTCAACTGACTAAAAATGTACAACCTTTGCCCCTATTTCTAGCTTTTATACTAGCAAAAGATGCTATTAAGAAAACATATTTTATCCTTTTCTAGCTACATTGTTGTAATAAGAATCCATTTCTAGCTTTAGTGTTGTAAAACATTTGTTATTTTCTAGCTTTAATATTGTTATATTAAACCATTTCCAAGCTTCAGTGTTGTATAATACATTATTGTTTAGCTTCAATATTGTTAAACTGCTCATTTTCTAGCTCTACATATGTAAATTTATCATTTCTAGCTATGATGCTGTAATAATTATAAATTTCTAGCTATGCAATATTGTTAGAAACTTATTTGAAATCTAGCCATCAAAAATTTATTAACATGGCAACATAGATTGTCTGTTTCTAGCTTTTAAACTGTCCAAAAATTTACATCTATATAGTTTCAAAGTTTTCCATTTTCTTTAATGGTTGCAAAAGACCTGCAACCTGAATCATTACTTAGTTATTTAGTTTTTCTGTAAAACAAATGCATGCCACCCAGGACTTTTTTACCTTCTATAATTGGGACCTATAAAAGGCCCCTTTCACTTATTTTCACAAAACAGAGGGAAAAAATTCACAATTCCTTGCAGATTTCGCAAAATATCATACTTCAATTTTAGATAATAGATACTAGATTGTTTTTGTTTGACTTTATAAATCCAATAGGATATGGATAAATGTGTAGAAACTCAGTTTTGACCAATTTGAATCAGTGAGTTAAAATATAATTATTTAAGCAATCTTCCCTTTAATATGTTCAAAAATTACTTTTTCACAATTGTCCTATTTACCGTGCTATTTTTACACTAAATGACCAGGCCCAGGCCCCTTCCTAATTTTGGCAAGAAAAGCCCTGCTTCCATTTCAAGGAAATCAAACTATATGTGATTAATGACTTATTTTGCAGTATTTATCACCAAATTTCTAGGGTCATTTTTTTTTGCCTATTTTGACCATTTTCCATCGTAATTTACATGGATAGCAAGCACTGTTTGCAATGTGTAAATTAATATCTTCATTCACTTCATAATATTTTACTTTTAAATTTATTTTCAAACTTTTCACGAAATTTGGCATGAATCTGCAGGCAAGCTGCTTTAACAAAATTCAAATGCTAGAATACAGGAAAAAATACTTTCAAATCGATTCAATACAGTATAACATGGGTACTGGGTATTATTATTTTCTTGCAAACATCAAGCAAATATTCTCAATACAATCTTAATAAAACCTAAGTAAGCACTGCAATACATAAGATAAAATATTAAGTAAACTACAGTCATACTAAATGACTTGCAAATAAATAAATGTATTGACAATATTGCATGAAAAGCTAGCTTTTTAGCCTGATTTGTACTTTTACAACTATGATCAATTTTTCTATATTTATAATATCAGGGAAAAAATGCTGAGCAATAAACAATGCAAGATTGTAAAACAGAAATTACCAGACCAGTCATGACCCCCTCCTCCCTCCCCCCTACCCCCTTGAGCAACCCAAACAATCAAAAGGCTGTCTCATTGGCCTAACAAACACAGAATTAAGACTGGTTGTGTAATTTCAGATTTCATAAACTTTCAACCAACCACCAATATAAACTGTCTTGTAAATTTAAAGCAGCACGCCTCCAGATTAATGCTTATTTTCATGAAAATTATGAAAATGTAATTAAAAGTATAATGTTGTAACATAAACAAAAGCAAGTAATATTTATACATTATCAATGGCACTTGCAACCCACATAAATTACGAAAAAGATGTCAAAATATGCAAAAATTGCCCTTACTGCTTTTAAGAAATATTTTCGCTCATCTGGACGGCATGCTGCTTTAAAGTATATTATGCCCATCTTTCAAGTATCACATTTCATCATCAGAAATCATATTTGAATTGCTGAACACAGCTTGAATTTACTTTAAAGTAATGTATAAATATGTATCATGTTTAATCTGAAATGTAATACTTACATGTATATATGGGCATAATATACAGATACATTTTCCAGAACAAGTTAAGATTAGTAAAAACTTTGATGATCAAACTTTTTACAGTTTATCAAAAACTGACTGTTAGCAGGTGATTGTAATGATTCATGAGAAGAAATATGAGCCGTGTCACGACAAAACCAACATAATGGGTTTGTGACCAGCATGGATCCAGACCACCCTTTGCATCCGCGCAGTCTGATCAGGATCCATGCTGTTCGCTATTAGTTTCTCTACTTGTAATAGGGTTTGTAAGCGAACAGTATGGATCCTGATCAGACTGCGCATGGATCCTGATCAGACTGCGCGACTGCAGGCTGGTCTGGATCCATGCTGGTCGCAAACCCATTATGTTGGTTTTGTCGTGACGCGGCTCATATGATGAACAAAGCTAAAAATAGATGAATATGGCATAAGTATGCTGATTATAGTTAAACATATAAATAATTAAAACAACATGTGTCTTTATAACACATATGTCCTTGTCTAAATAATAACAAAGTTATAATAACATTTCTTGAATTTTAAAAGTCTAGCCTTAAGGTTATAAAACCTATTACTGAACTAGGTCTCGAATCTCTGGAATTTCATTGGTCAGTGCTTATTCTTTTCTGGTTTCTTGACCAATCAAATGCCTGAGACCTGAATTTGAGCTGAGAACATTTCTTTTTAACATTGGACCCTGAGGTCAGGGTCACTTGGGAGTCAAAGTCATATTTCAAATGAAATGAAAACTAAGCTATCGTTAACAGGTTAACTGTGTCTGTATGTGATAATATAAAGGCTCACGCTTTTAGGATAATATTTGAGAGTCAAGGTTGTCTACAGTTGAACAGACAGACAACAATGTGCCCAAAGATCAGATTTTTCTCCACCACTCTCTTCTTTTCTCTCAGGTAACCTTTTTATGCTATATCAAAGACACAGTCATTTTCATCTTCTTCATAATTATGTTTGTTTGTTAGTTTTGATTGGGTTTTACGTCACACCGACACAGCTTTACTGAAGACCTCAGGTGCCCTTCCGTGCATTCTTTCAGGTACTAACGGGCACCCAAGTAGAACCACCAACGTTCTGTAAGCTAGCTGGATGGCTCCCTGACATGAAAGAATCCAAAGTCTCTGGCGGGATTCAAACCCACAGCGGTGAGGGGCAAGTGGTTTGAAGTCAACGACCTTAACCATTCATAATTATGATAATAATTTTACAAAGCAAAGGTATGAAAATTAACATAAGGTTAAAATTAACTTGATCATCAAATATTAACACGCCTCTGTGTAAAGTCACCTTAGCCAAATATTTAAGACATGATATTTTTTTACACTTGCATATAAAATGAGTTTCACACCAGTTGAAACCTTACCTTCCCTAGCTCTCTCCCTGATTGAAGTTTTCTTGTCAGTTTTGTTCCCGGGGCGAGAAACAGTCTGTGCAGGGGGTGGGCAGGTCTGTTCTACAGTAGGTGGGGGAAGTTCCCGGTCGTCTCGTAGTATACCGTTGTGATACCTGTTGTTAAGAGCGTTCACCTCGGCCATCCTCTCCTGTCGGATCTTATCAGCCAACTGATCTGTTTTACTATACTGCACCTACAGATATATTGTTTCTTGTTATATGGTTAAACTATATCCAATCATAGTCTGTGAGCAAACAGATATCCATAAACTTACCAGTTCTTTCCAAAAATTGACAAATTAATTTTCAAGACTGACAAACTACCAACAAATGGATGTCTATCCATTACCATGTAATTTGGTATATTCTTTTTATTATGAAAGTCGTCTCTCATCAGGATTTTGTACATAACAATATATGGCAACTAATCATTACAAAAAAGCTTTAATTAATCTCCATTTTTGCCAAAATAAAAGAGCATAGGTCATGTTCCTTAAATACTTAAAAATTAAAGCCTGCTACCAAGTATAAGCTTAAAGTGACACTACGCCAATCTAAGTGTAAATGTTGAGTGTACAAGTCAGTCAAAATAAATTTAGATTTGCCATCATTTTTTTTTTTCAATTTTAGTCTATGTCAAGTATATAATCAATAACTCATATGACTCACATATTCTATAATTATCCTTAAGAATAAATAGTTAACATTCAACTGATAAAGAGTCAGGCAGTCTTACATTATAGGCAAATGTTATATTTTATCCTAAACAATTTTCTTCATCAATCACAGGTCAATGACCATTATAAAAGTCAATCTTTTTAAATATATTGCCAATTCAGCTAAACTTGACAGCATAAAAAAGAACATAATGTCACTTCAGTTTTGAAGTGAGTACCTGTTCAAGAATCTTCTGCTGTAAGCTTTTAGTAGCACTTCCTACTTTATTTGGGGAACCAGTCTTGGTAGGGCTAGACTGGTTACCTCGTATAGGAGACTGGTTCATTTTACTTGGCGAGTTGACTGGTGATCTGAAAAAAAAAGTTTTTCTTAGTGTTAAACATATGCTAATTGAAAATTTAGGAAAGCTTATCACTAACAGTAGAACAAGTGTAAAATAACCTACCAGTAGAACTCATATTAAAGCAGCACGCCTCCAGATTCACACTAATTTTCATGAATATTTTTAAAATTTAATTGAATGTATAATAATGAAATAACCAAAAGGAAGCAATATACACATTATCAATGGCACTCACATTCCACGTAAATTACCACAAAGGGGTCAAATTATGCACAAATAGCCCTTACTGTGTTAGTAACGCAGTAGAAATTTACTTGTAAATACTCAACAAGAGGGCCATGATGGCCCTGAAGTCGCTCACCTGTATATAGGCCCCCCGCAGCGGGGCAAGTTTAAACCCCAGGGCTTTTATTTGAATAAACTTGGTAGACACCCATTAGAAGATGTTTCATGCTAAACATCTAAGGTCTAGCTTGTTGGGTTTTTAAAAAAAATTTTTTTAAAGTTTTTTCTTTACACATATACTATTATTTAAAAACAATGACACTCCTGGGGCAGGGCCAGTTTTGACCCAAGGGCTTTTATTTGAACAATCTTTGTAGACACTTACTATAAGATGTTTCATGCTTAATATCTAGGGCCGTATTCATAAAGAATCTTAAGTGAAAATTTTCCCCTTAACTTGAAGTTTTCCCTTAAAATCATACAATTTTCCCTTAAGTTTTAAGGAAAATCTTAAGTCTTATTCATAAAAAATCTTAAGTCAAAATTCCCTTAAATTCTGTCGAATTTCTCCTTAACTTTTAAGATACCTCCTATGCTCCCTTAACTTTTAAGGAATTTTTTAAGGGAAAATTTACAGGAAACAAAATGGCGTCCAAGCGTTAGCTCTATCCAATATTTGTGTCTGAAAGTCCTTTTATTGTTCTTAAAAGGTAGGGAGAATTGTCAAACACATCATTTTATGACTAGTACACTGCTCCGTTTTTTATTTACCCGTTAATATAGGGTCCGTGAATTTACCGTACGTACGAAACCGACTTTTAGTCATGAATTTTACCTTGACATCTTCACGTCAATAAATGTTAAATTTAAATGTAAAGACGCGAATAGCAAACATTTAAGTTTGATGATAAATTAAGGAATATTTCAAGGATGATGTGAGATTTAACCAGACGATAAATATTTTATCATGTACCAGTGGCTGAAGGTGAACGATATTCAAATATCAAAGTTGCAGTTTTCGGATGTTCAGTATCCGGATATATCTATCTATCTATCTCTGGATACTGCCAAGTTGCCAACCCCTCTTACGAGTGTTACAGGCAGGTATACATTGTATACATTTAAGAAACAGCTTTTAAGATACAAGGGAATCCGGGAACCAGTCCCTAGCTCTTATTGAATAGACCCCTTGGTTCTTTTACATGCCCAGTGTATAGCACTGATACATGCGAGGATTACCTGGATTTCTTACCAGTACACCTCTATGTAGGTGGGAAACACTGAAAGTCTATATGTTAAATTATGTGATGAATAAAGTGTGACATATAGAATCTATGGAGATAAGTGGTTGCTTTATAATTATAAAAACAGATGTAAAATAATTTGAATTTCAAGCAGTGAAAATGGACACTTGATGGTTTTGGACAAGGAGGTGTAGATTATATCTGGAGTTTGTTATATAAAACTTATAATCCACTAATTAAATCCATTCCACATGTACTATAAGGAATTAGATAGGCTAATACTGACTAAAGTGTACAAGTATAGGTCCAGATGGACCCACAAAATGAAATCCCTAGTTTCGAAATTTGACATTCATTGAAAGATTGTAACAATTGAAACCAAAAAGTATAGCAATATGTCGGATCAGAGGTGACACTATACAAACATTTGAAATTGTTTAACTAGTCAAAAACAACTGTAAATTTTAACAATACTTCAGTTACACCTATTCAACAAGGGAACTTAATTTAAACTTTACATAGCATTGTGCAGAATGATATTTTCTGAAGAGAACTATTCTTCAACATGTTGATGCTAAGAATCAATGTAACAGAGTTGTGTCAAGCATTTGTGACAAATTTTGTCTAATGAACTGAAGAACCCATTTAACTAGATCTCTGCAGAAAGGACAACAGCATAAGACCTAGCAATGTAACATTTGAAGTCTGTAGAAATCTACATGTATGTGCCAAACAATTTCTAGAGGAAGCAGAGCTTAAATAGGTATCTTACAGGTAACAATAATTCAGTTAACCATAATTTAATGTTTCATTATCTTAAATGAATAATTTATTTACAATTTCAAAATCACGTGAACAGTTAACTGTGTACTTATGGCATTGAAAAATTCATAATAAGAATATAGTGATTTGATGCTGTATTTGGTGGTCGTAAAACTCATTTCAATTTATTTCTAGCATACTAGTATAATAATATAGCATGTGGTAATTTTTTTATACCTTGCCACAGATAAACTTTCTTTTGAAGGATTTATGAACAAGAAATTCCAAAAAGAAAAAACTCAGTGCTGCTTATTGGTCATTATACTTTTATCAAATCCTAAATTTACATTTCAGGTGGGAAGGTATTGTGTATTGCCAAACTTCCCATATTTCATCTATTGCAGTGCTTAAATGTTTAATTCCGGTTAGTATAATTGAAAAGCAATTTGGTTTGTAATGTTTTATATGTTTATTCATGAAGAAAATAGAAATAAGCCGCGTCACGACAAAACCAACATAGTGCGTTTGCAACCAACATGGATCCAGACCAGCCTGCGCATCCGCGCAGTCTGATCAGGATCCATGCTGTTCGCTATCAGTTTCCCTATTTGTAATAGGGTTGGTAAGCAAACAGCATGGATCCTGATCAGACTGCACAGATGCGCAGGCTGGTCTAGATCCATGCTGGTCGCAAACGCACTATGTTGGTTTTGTCGTGACGCGGCTCAAATGTACTTTCCTACATATCACATATATACACACTATCATAATAAACAACTATACATAGAACTTACATGTACACATGTATTTGACTATATTGTTTTACAAATTATGCAAGAAAAATTAAACAATAATAAATTGAAGTGTACATGTGTAACACTAACAGTAAAAGTATTGTATATGTGTAACAGTAAAACTATTCTACTTAAATATTTAAGATTTTTACAAGCATTAACTGATGTGAGCTATAAACCTTTTTGTTAGCACCCCTAATAACATATCCTAGTTATTGTTAAGTAAAGATATTTCTTCTTTGCTTTATATTTGTCAAATTAACATTTAACTTATTAAGATGACATATAAGTTGACCAACTATTTGATAAACCAAAACTATTAAATACTAGTTTAATTAACAAGTTATTTTTTCACATATAATTTTAGTTTCATATGAAGTTGGCTGCTTCAGGCATAATTTGTTTAAACCTTGCCAATACCAGAAACTTTCAACAGTAATTTAAAATAAAAACTTTATACATGTAATTGATTTAGATTTTCCTGAATTTTCAGGTTTGACAGAGGAATGCCATATTCATTTGGCTGCTTCAAGACAAAGAAGATGCACCAGAACATTCATTTGAACAGTTATAAAATCATGGATCATGTTTATGACTAATCACTAACATCTTATGTTATACATAATGTCAAAGTTGAATATATTTGGTGAAGATTGACAATAATATACATATTTTATATAAATCACCAATATAAATGAAGTGACACTTTATCTGGATATTCGACATTGATTATTTAATTATTTGTCTGTAACAATATAAAAGATTTAGTAATGTTTCATATAATAAAAAAGTAAGCCTGAGCATGTTTTCTTAAATTTTATAATTTCATTTTAGTAATGCACTTTCATATAGTTAAGAAATAACATATCCCAAACAGTGATTTTATCAACTGACATCAACAAATTAATGCTGCTGTACCTGATATTAGCTAAATTGCTTCTGATTTGTTTCCATATTTATCTTCAATGCATCACATTTTTAGTGGTTACATCTGACACTTTGTTTTTTCATTAACAAAGGAATGGTACTGAATGTGGCATGAAGAAATTTTGGGCATTTTATGTTACACTCCCTAGCTTCTGTCTGTTCTTCCATTAGCAAATTTGTTTAAGTATAACTTAAGTTCCATTTGGCCCATGATCAACAAATTTCATATAATGATTGCTAATATTAAGTGGAAAACGCTTTTTAGCTCGACTATACGAAGTATATGGAGAGCTGTCCTACTCGCCCCGGCGTCGGCGTCCAGATTTTAGATTAAAGTTTTGGTGCAGTAAAATATTTTTCACTATAACTTTGTCATTTCTTTAGGTATCAACTTCAAACTTCAAATATATGTTCCTTATCATCAACCACATCTTATGTGACAAGGTTCATAACTCTAGCACCAATATGTTCAGATTTATCTCCCCTTGAACTTAGAATTTTTCTTAAAAGATACTATTTTTTACTTATACTTCTTTATTTCTAAAGGGATCAACCTCATACTTCAAATATATGTACCTTATCATCATCCCCATCGTATGTGACAAGGGTCATAACTCTAGCACCAATCTTTTCAGATTTATCTCCCCTTGAACTTAGAATTTTCCTCAAAAAATAATATTTCTTACTGTTTCTTCTTTATTTCTTAAGGAATCAACCTCATACTTCAAATATATTTACATTATTTCTAGAATTATTCCCCTTGATCTTGGAATTTATGTTAACAAATGTTATATTTTTACTATAACTTAATACTTAATTATACATAATTGATTTTTCTTTCATAGTTTTGTCCTCCTTACTGCGTCCAGCATTTTATTAGTCGAGCTTCGCTGTCTCCTGTGACAGCTCTTGTTGATTAATGGGTTGACAGGGTCAAAGGTCAAGGTAACTTTTACCTTAAAACTGAAAATGGTTTCCTCTAAAATAACTTTTGTATTGATCAACCTTTTGCTGTAAAATTTCATAAGATGACCAGTCATATTCAATACATGACCCCATTAAATTTTTGGGGTAACATCATCATTAACTAGAAATGTGCCGTCATGCCATGGATCATGCCCCTCCATGCAGCCAAAATTTCAGATGTTCTAATATTTAAATGTAGTTCCAAATTTGTTTGCACAAATTATTTTTTTTCATTTTAAGTTCAAAGCCCTTAAAACTATTCAATGTTTACACAACTTTTTTTATACAAAAGTTCAAGGCATGTACAACCGTTGGGGAGATAATGAATGGGAACTGAAAAATTCCTTTTTTTTAAAAGTAAAAGGGGGCATAACTCTGACAAAAATCATCGAACCATGACCAAATTATAATGCTCCACTTAGTGGTGGCCGTATAATAATTGTGTTTAAGAGCTTGCAGGCTTGAAATCTATTAAAACAAGACTATCAATTTTAGAATAAATCCATTTTAGTACTTGTGCCCTTCTTAAAAATCTTATGTAAATTTGTAGAGGGTCACATAAGAATCATTTCAGTTGAACATTGTTAAAATCTGTTTCTGTGGGAAAAGATTTTGTTGACAGAAATCTTTGACTGTCAACAGGACATCATGTCATAACAGTAGCTTGATTGATAATTTAGTACAAATTGACTCTGATGTTTATTACACACTTGGAAGTGGCTTTTTAACAAAAATCATTTTAACTATTTTCCACTGTCTTTTATATTTATAAATTGAACAGAAAGTAATGAAACTGTATTAAAAAATTGCATTTAAATAGTTTTGAGTTCTTAATGAATATCTATCATTGCCCTTACATCTTTTTTATGCCACCCGAGCATCTGTATAAATTATAATATCAACCTTGAAAATTGACTGGGTAAGATTTAAAAAAAAATATTATCAAGATACAAATAGTGTTTCTCAGTGCAAACCTATGCAGAAGTTGAATTCCTTTTTATATGAGAATACTTCTTATTAACTTAAATCAGACCTAGATTTTTGACAAGATTACTATCTTGTAAATTCAGGAAGTGTTTTTAATATTCTAAGTTTATTGTTTAACCTTATAAATTTCAAATATCTAATAAGGGGATATATACAGTGCTTTACATGTAGAATGCACTATTTTTCTTTGTTAAGAAGTGATTCATAGTATTTAATTTGTATTCTAAGTTTCTTCTTCTTTAGCTCAAGAAGTTCTGGGTCACAGAAACTGAAATTATGAAGAAATAACTTCAATTAAGACATAAAACATTTTTTTTATTTTAGCTACTATTTGAATACTCCAAATTATTTCAGCCAATTTATCATAAACTGCTTTGTTATATAAAGTTTATCAGTATGTAAGATAAATTAGGCTTCTTATATTTAAAATCTATAAATAGAACTAATACAGTAAATTGATTGACAGAATTTATGTAATATTGATAGTATTAGTAAATGTAATACTTAAATACAGAATTTAGTAAGGTTAACCGAGACATGAAAACATTACACATTTTGTGAAATATATGCAATTTTCTGAATTGAATGATTTGGTCATAATTGTAAACCATACATACAGACATACAGGCATGTAGCCATAATAATAATAATAGATAGCCCTGTGTTTGACAGTGAGATTCTCCCATTTTTTTTTACAGATCCTGGTTACTACAAACACATGTTGTAGCATTTGAGTTACAGTCCTCTATTGCTGACCAAATTTTTTTGTTTGTAACACTTGTTATTCCTGTGACATATGAATAAGTGTTATATCTATATAAGTTCAAATACATATGAGCCGTGTCACGACAAAAAAACATAATGGTTTGCGACCAGCATGGATCCAGACAAGCCTGCGCATCCGCACAGTCTGATCAGGATCCATGCTGTTCGCTATCAGTTTCTTTACTTGTTTTAGGGTCTGTAAGCAAACAGCATTGATCCTGATGAGACTGCGCGGATGCACAGGCTGGTCTGGATCCATGCTGGTCGCAAACACATTATGATGGTTTTGTCATGACACGGCTCATATATGGGATAAGTGTATCACTTTTTGTCATATTGTTGTATTTAAGAAATGTTTTTACTTTTTATTTGCTTTCAAAGTTTCAACCCTTCTATTTTTCTGCTATTTGTGAAAAGTAATATTTTCAATACTGAAAATGAGTGTTATTAACACATCAATGACATTTTCAAAAGAAAATACTTTATTGTTTGTTTTTGGTTGGTGTTCTTTGGAGTAATTTTGCAACTCATTTTATCTTTTATATAAATTGCAGGGTAACTTCGGGTGCCAGGTGATCACAATTTAAACTTTAAGAATAAAAGCTTAAAAAATAATTGTAATTTGTATTGAAACTTTCAACGAGAAACCTAAATATTTGTTGATTCCAATGGTGAAGTTTGTAAAAAGATCGAACAAAAAAAATGGTATTATCTTTTGAGAATTAGTGTTACACTATTATTGAATTACATACAGACTTTTTATAAATAGATTTTTTACATTGAACATAATGAAAAGTGTTAATGCATGTATTGCATATTGAGAGTAACAGTCAGGGACTATCAAAACCGGACAACCATCAAACCCAGATGGCCCCAAAAGTGCCCTATTCAGTTTTCCTCTTTGTTTAGTGGTTGTCAATCAGTCAGCCGCCTTTTTATCAACAATAAATGCATGTTTCTTCTATAATTTTGCAATTAAATTTATTTCAACTAATATAAATGGTAATACTTAAATGTCCATTCAAAGAATATCGCCTTTGAAAATATGGAATAGTGCATTACTTGACCTCTTATACTAATACTAGCTACATGTATAATCATTTGCAGTGTATTGTAAACAATAAATTTTGAATAAAATATCCAAAAATTCAGCATTTGCTTCTGAAATTTTGTATATCATGTTAAAAATAAAAAATTATAACACCATAGGTTTTATCTGGATTAAATCAACGCCATGTAATATCTGTCCAGACACATGGTAGTATGAAAAATTTAGGTAATTTTTATACCCTCCTCAACAGGACTCAAATTAAGTGTCAACATACTCAGATACAAAAACTTGTAAACGTGGGAGCCTTAACTGACAGACTGAATTACTTGATACAACTTATATTTTATTAAGCAGAACCAAGACTTGGAAAAAAACAACAGGATTTTTAGAGATTTTATCCAGTTGATATATTATTGATAATTACATCTACAAAAATAATCCTTACTGTCATTAAATTTGTGATTCAGAACTCTGTATCTGCTACCATAGCCCTCTACAGTTTCTCCTAATAAATGGGCCAGCAGAACGCAATCCTGTTCGCTGAAATTCTGTGCCATTTCATGATTCCTTCTATGATACCGTCTGAGCACTGTCAAATTTGACAGTTCTATTTTTAGCCGAGGGAAATTCCGAAAAAATTATCGTTGAACATGTGAAGTCAACAAAAACGACATGTTTTTGAAGCATAAGATCCTCGAACATATGCCCCAAACCATGTCACTAGTGTTGAACCTCCATTTTCCTGAAATACCGTTGTATAATCCGTAACATATCCGCTAATAAATCCATTTCACGCGACATTTCAATTCTCTGTGTCGATTTCCAAAGTCAGTGTCCGCCATCTTGGATTTTCTCTGGCAGTCGGTTAACACGGAAAGACCGATGAAATTTAAACGAAATTTTTGACTTAAGGATTTTTTTCCCTTAAGATTTTTCTTACCTAAGAAAACGCCTAAGGTGATATTTAAGGGAAATATTTAAGGAAATTTTTACCTTAGGGAAATTATTGGACTTAAGGATTTTCTTCCCTTAAAACTTAAGATTCTTTATGAATACGGCCCCTAATCTCTAGCTATTCGGGTTATTTCCAAGAAGATTTTTAAGTTTTGCTATACACATATAAGGAAAATCAATGTCCTCCGGGGCGGGGCCAATTTTGACCCCAGGGCTCTTATTTGAACAAACTTGGTAGACATCCTTTAGAACAAGTTTCATGCTAAATATCTTAGCTCTAGCTCTTTGGGTTCTTTAAAAGAAGATTTTTAAGTTTTTACTATATTCATATAGGGAAAATCAATGACCCCCTGGGGCGGGGCCAATTTTGACCCAAGGGCTCTTATTTTAACAAACTTGGTAGACATCCATTAGAACATGTTTCATGCTTAATATCTTAGCTCTAGCTCTTTAGGTTCTTTAAAAGAAGATTTTTAAGTTTTTACTATATGCATATAGGGAAAATCAATGACCCCCTCGGGCGGGGCCAATTTTAACCCAAGGGCTTTTATTTGAACAAACTTGGTAGACACCCATTAGAAGATGTTTCATGCTAAATATCTTAGCTCTAGCTCTTTAGGTTCTTTAAAAGAAGATTTTTAAAGTTTTTACTATATACATATAGGGAAAATCAATGACCCCCTGGGGCGGGGCCAATTTTGACCCCAGGGCTTTTATTTGAACAAACTTGGTAGACACTCACTAGAAGATGTTTCATGCCAAATATCTAAGCTCTAGCTCTTTTGGTTTTTTAGAAGATGATATTTAAAGTTTTTTCTTTTGGTTGCCTTGGCAACCAGAGTTCTGCATGGAATTAAATTCTTTGAACAATTTTTAAAGGTGACCACCAAAGGAACATTCCTGTGAAGTTTGGATAAAATTGGCACAGTGCTTTATGAGGAGATGTCATTTAAAGTAAAAGTTTACGGACGACGGATGGACGGACGGTGGACGATCACAAAAGCTCACCCTGTCACTAAGTGACAGGTGAGCTAAAAATCAGTCATTAACCGCACAAAACATGGAAAATATTACTTGAATATTTATAATCATTTTACTTTTCCTAAAATCGTAGTACATATTTCTCAAATTTGATATTATTGAAATATTTTGACTCATCTGGAGGTGTGCAGCTGAAAGACAGCCTAACAGTAGAACAGTACGATTGCCTTGTAAACAATAGAACTTGCATAAGATAGCGTAACAGTAAAACATGCATCAGCCAAACAGAGCATTAAGATGACCAACTGTAACAAACTGAAATCTTTTTTACCTTGTATTACCAGCAGGAGGTCGAGGTGGCAATCCCTCACTACCCGATGGTTTTCTGCCCATCTGTGCAGCCTTCTCCTCTATACTGTCTTTGAAACTTTTCTGAGGAGTTAAACCCTTGTTAGGGGTACCTGAAGGCTTCCACGTGGCGCCTTTATTTGGGGTGCCAGTAGGTTTCATGCTACCGGCAGGTCGTGTTGGTGAATGACTCGGCGAGCCTGGATCCACTTTTTTGATATAACTGACCTGTTACAAAAAAGTGTCGCATGTTCAATATTTAAAATGGAAAAGCCTTTAAATTTGCTAAAAATTTAAATTTCAGGGGAAACAAAAATTGTCAAATTTTTAAAAATATGTAAATTTAAAAATATTAATACAAGTAAATAGAAGCAGAAATAGATAAAATCTGCCAGATTTTCACACTCATATACATTACAATAAATAATGTATTTCTTTAATGTAATTCATGCATGCAGAGGACATGGTAATGTCAACTCTTGTTACTGTACTACAGACATTTAAATCTACTTCTAAATCACTGATATCTAACTACATCTCAAAAACACTCAGATTTCAAAAGTACAAACAACCTCAATTAAGTTATATTAAGAAATCATCTGCCAATTCATATTATCTATTTCATCTATTATCAAACTGAAGTATTTTGAGCTCATCTTCATTTGAAAACAACATGCATAGATTCGGCTCCTTACATTATATTATAATACACTTCCATTTTTTTTACCATTTTCTTTGAGTTTTTACCCCCCCCCCCCAAGGTTACAGTTACTTATCATCTTTAGCTATATACCGCTATATACCTTATTTGCAGACGTCATAGTTTCCCATGCAGACATTCTATCAGTAACCGAGTAAGCAGTGGGCTCGGACTCCCTGGGTGGATTGTTCTTGGCGTCCTGCTGTTTCCAGCTAGCCCTGATATCTGATACAGGCTTCCCAGCAGGGTCATCCTGGTTACATGTTGTAGCCTGGGCTGGTGTGAATGTCTGCTTGGGCGTGGCTGTGATACGATTAGCAGACGCATTGTTGGATTTTGGTGTCTGTGAAACCCTCTGTTCCCAGCCTGAAATGTTCAAATCACAAATTCAAGACTGATTTCATTAAAAATACTAATATTAATAATCAATACAAATTGGAACAATGAAATGAAGTAACTAGAAATTACTGTAAATACAAAACATAGCATTTCCAACCTTTGAATGACAAATTACAACAATACATGTGGCATAAACAATCATGATGACCTCTGTTCCACATCATACCCATATAAACAGATTAATCCCAATATCAACCACTAATAAAGACCCCTCCCCCCCAAAAAAAAACAACAACAACAAACAAACACAGTTACAATGGCAGTAATTAGGTATCTATTTCAAACCACAAAAATTTATGGAATTGTTCAATGAAATGAAAATCATTTAATTTTTGTGACTCATCCTTATTTATTTTTCTATAATATCTTAAATTGTCGGTGAGCCAGTAACAATACTCCTTATAGTGAAGGTTACATTGTAATTGACTTGTTAACTCTTAACCTAGACTGTATTAATGAAATGGATATGCCCAGCTTTGAAATTGGAACAGTCCATTCTATGTTTAAGGGAATTTAGTATCAAAGTACAAAAATTATATAACAAACAGTATAGTGCCTGCTAAGACTAAAAAATTGTGCATGCTTGACTGGCTCTATACTGTCGGGAAGGGCTACAAGTCACTCTCAGTTTCAGCAAGTAAAGTGGTATTAAATTAACTCCACTGATCAGTGTTTTTATTATGCTTAAATGTGCTTTGGTTGTTTGTTTTTTTTTTTATTATTATTTTTTTTTTAAAGTTTTCTTTTCTGTGTGTGTGTCTTTTAGGTTTTTTTTTTTTTTTTTTTTTTTTAATAGAGCATTGTGAGTAAACTCTAAATAGTTTAATATATGAATTTTAAAACCGTATTCAATTTGATACGAAAATAATAATTTAATTTTGCAAAAATAAAGTTATAGAGTGACTGTCTGTCAATCAAGCAGATCATATCCTGCCTTTAACACAATCCCTTGATAATTAGATATTTGATACCGGATATTGCTTTGCATGACAAATATCTCCTTTGAGAACGGAAATAAGGCTGGTAGATTTAAAACTCCCTCCCCCCTTTTTTCTGCATCAATTGGTCATTTTGTTGTATTGGAGGTATAAATTTTTCACAACAACAACATTATAAATCTCAGTGTAAGTCTGCAAGACTAATTTTCAACACCATCAGACATGTACAAACTGGGGAATTTTTTTTAAATCATTTTAATGATGACGCAAGATCGTAAATCGTGCAATTTCTTGTTAAAATCATGAAGACAGGAAATGCAACCTTTTTTCACCTCTTTGTGGTTAGATCCATCAAAAATCTGGGGAGTGCCAATGCGATTATGAAAGTTCACATTTAACATATATACGGTAAGAAATCCAATACAAAATATCAACTAGTAAGGAATGACATTTAACATTTATAAAGATTTCATTTTTATATTTAAATCCGAAAATATCTACGTGAACTTATATTGTAGGAACAATAATGGAAAGGAAATGCACAATCAATATTATTCACTGCACAAAAATAAGGAAGATAATTTAAAAACAGGAAGGAAACAGAATGGAAAAAAAACGCAAACAGGAAAATGTATACATGTGTGCAGTTTCCATTTATAAATGAATAATTATTTAAACATTTTTGCTAATATATATCATTACAGGAAATGATTGAATTTCAACACAATTGCTACGGAAATCATGGTAAAACTTTATTATGTATTTTAATAAACTAATGTGTCAATTTTTTAAGATAAACACAAAATATAAACTGATACTGATATAAAAAATAAGTGAAAAATTGTTCATTGGACTTTGATTGCACACACAATTAAGTTTAAACTCTTCTAATTTGTCATATAAGGGATTGGTTACTTAAAAGATCAAGAAAATCATATCAGATAAGATATAAGGAAATAAATATGTATGTGCGTGGTTTTAGCTTTGATTTTATTAATCTGCAAGTCATATTTAGCAGACGGACAATAATATACAAATATACGGATTTAAAATTCTGCTTCTTTAATTTTTCAGTTGTATACAGCAGACGGACACAGATATAAATAGATACAGCGTCATAACAATAGTGTGATCAGAAACAGCCAATCACAAAACAGCAAAATAAATTTAGCTACATTGCAACAAATCAACTTGTGTATTCATAAAAGAATTTTTTAGTGATATATAAAACTAAACTGTTGAAAAGACAATGAAGTCCAGAATAAGAATGGGAGCTAGTAACAAAGTTTTCACAGTGAAAGATATTCAATTCTTTGAAAGAATCTGTGGCATAAAAGAAAGAAATTGTGTCATTTTTACTCACAAAAATCATGGGATAGAATCATCAGCATACACAGATGGTTATCATTCAAAGATGGACAGAGATTTAATTTAAATTGGACACATTTACTTTTTCTGTAGAAATAAAACCACAGGTAAGCTGTTTGTCTAAGTCTTTTTTTCCAACAATATAAAAATATAATTTTACTTACTTTTCTGTAAAAAAAATAAATATAGACTAGTTTTTATTCTAATTTTATTAAAACTATACTTTAGCAAACTTTTAAAAACAAGATGGACTTGTAAAAAAAATAATGTTATTTTTTTAGTTTTACTTCTGTTGAAAAAATTACAATTTTGACCTACAATTTTATGAGGAATCAAGTATATATCTAAGTGATTATTTTCTTCCAATCTTCGAAAGGTACAAACATTTATATTTTTCACAATTAAGCAATTTTAAATCACAAAATTTCCCATAAAGGGGAACATATTTTTTTCCCAAAATGGCTAGGAAAAAGCCTGTTTTCCATTCTACAATTATCAAACCACATGTAATTTTTTTTCCAAGAAATAATACAATGGCACATTACAAACTTTAACATAATATATGAGCTAAGTCACGACAAAACCAACATAATGGGTTTGCAACCAGCATGGATCCAGACCAGCCTGCGCATCCGTGCAGCTTGATCAGGATCCATGCTGTTTGCCATCAGTTTCTCTACTTGTAATAGGGTTCATGGTAAGCAAACAGCATGGATCCTGATCAGACTGTGCGGATGAGCAGGCTGGTCTGGATCCATGCATTTTGTGCAACATTTGTGTTTGATCTATAAAATTCTATATTTTTGACACATGAATGGATACGGCTTTGAAAAAAAAAATGGTTACCAACAGACAAGAAAATCTTGAAACAAACCTTGAAATAATTTGTACATTTATGATTCGGGTAAGTGTTTATAATAAAGCACAGAAAATAACAAGCAAATGTATAAATAGATATTACATGCAAAATTAATGTTACATGTTCAAATTCAATGATAAAATAATAACAATAAAAACAAGCAATTATCATAGTATTGCAAGCAATCCATAAGTCCCCTACCGGTAAGAGCCCAAGCAACATTCTGAAGGGCCATTGGCCATTCACTTAGGTTCCTATTTTAAGTAAATTTGTTGAAAAAGTTCTTTAAAAGTGATCACAGGAAACAGTTTTTATGTACAGACAGACGGACTGAAGGACACTCTAAAGTTATTTTTTAAACATCCCTGTTATCAAAATATAACATTTTTAAAATCCTATCATGATTGAAGAAGTTGGAGTAAAAATTACCAATTTCTCAAAAAAAGTTCAAAAGGGGCATAATTCTGGAAATAGTCTTGCTAGAGTATTGAACACTCACAAATGTTGAGTGACAATAAGAAACATTTATATGAAGTTTGAAGTAGATACATTCAGAAAAAGAAGTTATTAAAAAAAACAATGTTTTTTTCATGAAAATTTTAAGTTCAAGGGAGGTAATTCTGATAAATTTTGTGCTAGAGTTGTAAACCTTGTCACATATGATGTGGTTGATGACAAGCAACTTATATTTAAAGTTTGAAGAAAATACCTTAAGAAATAAAGAACTTATAGTGAAAAAACTTAAAAACTAGAATCAGAAATCTTGAAATTCAGTCTATTTGTTGCCATAGCAACCAGAATTTTCAACATAGGAAGATAAAAAAGGAAGTGCATAATTTCCATACTGCCATCTACCCATATGTCAAGTTTCATAAACATGTTTTCAGTACTTTTTGTGTTATCACTGGATCCAGGTTATGTGTAAAATTTGCCATATTTTCAGTCTATTTGTTGCCATAGCAACCAGAATTTTCAACATAGGAAGAAAAGAAAAAGACGTGCATAATCTCCATACTGCCATCTATCCATATATCAAGTTTCATTAAAATATTTTCAGTACTTTTTGCGTTATCGCGGGATCCAGTTTTGTGGACGGACGGACTGAGGGACGGACAGACGGACGGACTGACGGACGGAGGGTAAACCTAAAGTCCCCTCCGGTAAACCGGTAGGGGACTAAAAATGGGCTCCTAGCCATAAAAAATCATAATTTCTGTCTGATTTTCCAGCTGATCTTTGTTTTGTGTATTATGTTGTTATAATTATGTTGACTGTATTTTATTGTTTTTTTGTCCTGCATGGGAGCTATACTAGAAAGTTGTACTTACTTAAAAACATAGATTTGTTTGGGTTTATTTTTAAAGTAAAGTAGTTTGTTTTACTTTTAGTCCCATTGATACTGTAATGGTAATATGGCAACTTTCCATCTTAACTGGTGGAGCCCATGTTCACTATAAAATTTAAGGATCAGGATTAAATTCAAAAATCTTGAATATTCTCCATTGATTACCCACATAAATTTAATATTTAATATTAATTTGATAAAACTGGACTTAAAACAGCATGTTTATGAAATTTTAGAGAAAAAAATTATATTGTTATTTTTGCAAGATATGGGTATTCAAGGACTGATCCAAATATTGATCCTGATCATAAAATTGATCTTTATTTTGATGCAATTATTTTTGTATTTCTTTTGTAATACTTCAATGTTATCCCAAAATAGTGTTGTTTTTTTGCAAATCAGCATTTTTTTTTACATTTTGTTTATGTACCATTTAATTCTAGCAAAGAATGACCAATATAAGTTTTATAAAATTATGAAAATAAAATCAAGATATCATCCAAGTGAACACAGAGTCAGGTGCCAATATGTGCATTATTCCAAGCACTATCCAGCACCTGGCTAGAAAACCACCACATCCCATAAGCCTACTGGACTTAGACAAATCTTCCTCACATAAAAGAATTCAAAGTCCCTGGTGGGATTCAAACTCACAGCGGTGAAAGGCAAGTGGCTTAAAGTCAACAGTCTTAACCACTGGGCCAAGGATGCCGATGTTTAAATACACTGATATTATATAAATCTCAACTTTATCATTCTGAACTTTTATATTGTTGGATAAAAAGACTTCCACCTGAATCACTCATGTGTTTCCATTTTCTTTCAGTGCATTCAATGTGAAGGAAACACACAGGCAAATGAAGTGTTGAATTCTTGCAAAGAATCTTACATACAGTAAGTTTTGTAGATTTTTTTTTCTGACAAAGTTGCATAAATAAACCTATTGATAACAAGTTATTTGTGCATAAATTTGAAAAGATAAAAGGTAAATTTATTATGAAGTCAAATAAATTTATAGATTAAAAAAAGAAAGAAAAAGAACAGCCCACTAGAACTGTCACAAAGGAATGAAAACAAAATTCAATTATGGAAAATATCTGTGAAATTCCCACTACAAGGGGAAATAAAGTAAAGTTACTTGTCACAGGAATTTTATAAAGTGTTAAACAAACTTACTTTTACACACTCCTTTGACTTTTTAAAATAGTTTTTGTAAGTCTTCATGTGATGTTACAATTTATGCAATCCTAGTTAATCTCTTATAATAATAATATGAGCCGCGCCATGACAAAACCAACATAATGGGTTTGCAACCAGCATGATTACAGACAAGCTTGCGCATCTGTGCATTCTGATCAGGATCCATGCTATTCGCTACCAGTTTCTCTACTTATTATAGGGTTTGTAAGCGAACAGCATGGATCCTGATTAGACTGCGCGGATGCGCAGGCTGGTCTGGATTCATGCTGGTCGCAAACCCATTATGTTGGTTTTGTCATGGTGCGGCTCATATATCAAATATATTTACAGATCTGCATTAAAGGAAACAATAGATGCTGGACACACAGTATGCTAGACTATACTTGATGGTACAAAATTAGCCATGTTGGAAATTTTCGTAATTACAAATGGGAATAGTTCAGTGAAATTCAAGACTCTAGTTATGGGTCAGTGTTCTATCCTGAAGATATGTGTTCAGTTTCAAATCTAAGTGGTTGCATAAAGAAATGAAGGATTTTTTTTAGTTAGTAAAGGGGAATTACTCTATGAAAAATATTACAACAGCCATGCAACACAGAGGAGAATGGTCAATTATTTCAATACAAGAGTTATAGGTCTTGGTCACTGTCCTATAATTATGACCCTAAGGATATAAGTATGAAGTTCAATGGAATGCTTTCAGTAGTTGTGTTCACAAAACATTAGCCAGGAATTTTTCAAGTGCACAAAGGGGGATAATTCAGTGAAAATTCAGGCTAAATTCATGAGACTGGATACTGAACTACAATTTTCATCTAAAACCTGTATGTGCAAGGTTTTAAGCAAATAACTTCAATAGGTAAACAACTGCAGGTATTTTGAAGCTGTTTAATAAAATATACAGAAAAAGCGCACTTTACTGGAAAAGTATAATACCTCAATAACAGAGCTAAACAAATGTTTAGTGTGTAAGCCACAAGGCAGTACTTAATATTTTTATTACTACTGGAAATATATTCAATAGTGACACATCAGCAGTGTACAGATTTTCACAAAGGGAAATGAAATAAAGGAAGTTGCAAGCTATCGTAAGTGGCAGATCATAAATTAATCAAGTGCTTGAATGAGGATAATGCAACTGTTTCTAATCATTTAAAGGAAGCATGTACATGTATTACTTTCAATAAGTTAGTATAACTGCATTGTATATACAAGACAACATATAGAACTCAAAAAAAGGAAACATTTATTCGCATGTGAAGTGTCTGTGTAAGAATCAAATGTGTGAAAAAATTGGCACTTAAAAGCCTATTCTGATGTTGGAAAGATTGATACATTATGTGCCTACTTGAGATACTTCTTCAGTTGTGAAATACTTCTTTCGGAAATCCTATTGTAAAAATAGGCAATTCAAATAAGGGAACAGTTGGGCCTGTTGGATAATACATGTTATCCAGAACAAGGCAATTTATTGTGTTGTTTTTTTTTTAACAGCAAATCCGTAGGTACAAACAATTTTTTACTGTTAAAGCTTCACAGTGCACTATCCGTTACAATAGCGAATCTGTTACACTTATTTTCAAAGCTGTTTAACTGTAAAAGTTTGTTAGTATGTACTGATTAGCTAAAAAAAAACCCCCAATTATTCTTAATTCGGAAGTTAGTCTATTTCCGAAGAAGGAAATGAACATACTTTTTTAGTATTTTTTTTGTCTTGAAATCCCTTAAAGATGAGCAACGATGAGTTCCAAATACAAAGCAGGGCAAGTCCAGTACACAAATTTTTAGGTTTAAAAGGAAGTTTAGCTTACTAGCTAAAGTGCCAAAATTAATGATAAAGCCTCAGCAGATTTTTGCTATGCATACGCTAATAATGTACCCCGTAACATTTTATGCAGAATGTATGCTATGTTCCAGCATAAAAAGGCCATCATAACTTGACACTTAATTGGAAATGAAATAAGAATATACCATATTGTATTTAGGCATTATTAAGGTTTCGATTAATATTCCCATACTTATATTCCCTTATCATACAATAATGACTGGGTTATACTCACTTATTTACAATTTGAAATGCAAAAACTACCATTCTAACACTCTTCACAATATTCTCCTCAATATTCCACGAAAGATTCACATATATGCACAACATAAAAAAATAAGAATGCCAATAAACTAAATGTCAGGAAAAATACTTGTACGCTTAATGTAGTTCAACATATTTTTTTATCAATTCTCTATTTTATTCGAATGTAAGAATGGAAATAAATATTAATTTTCCTTGCATTATAGTATAATAATGCAGTTTATTGTTCAAATGCTTTGTAATTAATCACTCAAGTCACTTGTTTATCACTCGTGATTATATTCCAGCGCATCTGAACTCAAATACTGCATTATTCTCAAAATTGATATCTATTTCCTATCTTTAAATCGTGAAAAACACATTACCAGAATGGGCATGCCTACCCCATAGGCAATCCCTGAATTAACTTTTCCTCCATTGTGAAGAGTCCTTAGTTAAATATTTTCCTAAATATCCTGTTTGCAAGCTATAACATTTCTGTCTTGTTATATTTGTTATTCTCCTGTATACTCCATTAGCAAACTTTAATACTTATAGTATTCGTCACTGCAAGCTAATATCAGCAGTCGCTAAGCAATGTGTAAAGTGTCAAACCTACCTTACATTAAAATAAAAGTAATTCATTTTAATTTGTAGCAGCTATGTAGAGAAAAGAAAAGTGTTGACATAACAAACATGCAGTATTGCAAACAATATCAAACAAACATAATTATATTCTTTTATGTATACACAGATAGCTCAAGTCACAGCCAATAAGCTTGTCATTCAGTCTTACCTGCAAATCTTTCAGACAGAGGTAATTCTGTCGGATCACTGACAGCAGGGCCCTTGCTGGGCGTGTCCACCGTCCTTTTCCAACCAGCCAACCGTTCATTGATTGGCTTACTAGTCGGCTCATCTTCCGACGTAGACTGCTCCTCCGCCTTTCGGTTCACTGGAACATGGTTTGTCACAGTCCGAACCTTCCATAAAGATTTAATACAATTAAATTACGCAATCCATCCCGTTTCCAAATATGATAGAATTTTTATATTAAATTGTCTTAAAAACTACTGTATCTAAAACTTAATTATTAAAATTTAATAATCATAAATATAAATGGAAATATTTCATAAAACATAAATCTATATATTAATTTTTTTTCCACCCGATCCTTTTCTGAAGTTGAGAAGAATAGTGCTAACACAACAATACAGATTATAGAAATTACAGAAGCACTGCATGAGGTGTGAATGATCATCTCTTAAAAAAGGGGCATAACTCCAAAAATATTGCCTTCAGAGTTATGCCCCTTGTCTAACAAATGCACCTTATCATTATAAGCACATATTCAAAATTTCAAGACGATAACTTTTGAAACGTGTTTGAATTATGGGCTACATTAAAAGTTTTTGCAAGAAAACATCAACAATGCAGCGATCATAATAGCTCTACTTTTTCTTTGAAACAAATGAGCCTTAAACAAGATATTGAATTCAATTTCTTGGCTTTTACCTGATGGGTATATTTTGGGGATCCCATTGAATGCGGCTGTTGCAGCTGAATGGTATGGCTGCTCACTTTTGGGGATCCTGAAGGAGCACTTGGTGCTGGAGTCCTTTTTGGGGAAGCAGCCCTGACAGGGGATGGTGCACGAGGTGGTTTAGGGGGTCCTGATGCAACCTGTGGAACAGGCGGGGCAGGGGGCGGAGCTGGGGCCTCCTTCTTTTTCGGCGAAGCGGCTGGCCCGGGACCACTGTTGTGGTTTATCCTTTTAGGTCCCTGGTACAGCTCGTATTCCTTTTTTGGCGAGGAGACATGTCGGTCTCGAGCATCGTGATTTGGCTGGTTGCTATCACGCTGGGGTGGCTGCCATCTTGGTTTCTTTTCTTCTTGTTTCCTAGAGGGTAACGTAATTTAATAATTGTATACAGATGACAAGCCTCAATAACACATAAATTAGTATATATTATCATATATAAGTATATATTAAAGTAAAATAAAATGCTAAAGTAGTACATGTTGTGTTAAGTTTAAACCGAATTGACATAATGTGTAAGCAATGTTTTTTTTTTATCTTTTAAGTAATAGTGGCAATAGTTTGCAGTACACATGCTTTGCTTTGATTCATGGTAGGATGACTCCACACATCAAATACATATGATTGACTTCCATTGTTTTGTTTCGATATATATATTTATATTATATACTTTGAAATGAAATATTGAGAAATATTGATGAAATAAAATGCGTATTTTCATTTTCCGTATTTTCACTGTAAAAATTTATTTTTCACTGCAGTGAAACATATTTTCCGTATTTTCACTGGTGTCTTGTCAGACTACTTTCTTTTAAATTCTGCCAGTACTCAAAATTTAAGGGAAAGTCTTGCAAATTTAAATGTCCAGAAAGAGAAAAATGTATATAATAAACAGAAAATTCAAGTTTTTTCTATAAATACATGATTTATTTTCATCTTGTGGCATGAAAATTACCATATTTCATACCACTCGATGAAAATAAATCATGTATTTATAGAAAAAACTTGAATATCCTCTATGTATGTAAAATAAATGCTGCTGATAAAGCAGTGATTTTTTTCCCTGTATTTTACAGCCAAATAAAGGCTGTTTCCTCTAGATCAAAATAGGTATATTTACCCCTAAAAAAGCTAATATTTTCCCCTGAAATGCCCTGTGCAATTCTTCACCAGAACTAATACTTAACAGCATCTGACTTATTATATCAGCTAGAAGACAGAAAGCTGTCCCTATAGCCTCTGCTATGTATCATGCATGTTAAATTGAATTGAAATTGAAATTTTATAAAATGTGTGGGTAAATTCCATTCTCAGTTGTTGGAATTTGATTTTCCCCTTTTTCTGATTTATCGTGCTTATAATACTTTCCCCTTTAGAAAGCCACAGGTTGTTTTGAAAATTAGAAAAAAAATCACTGTAAAGGCTGCAAGGCTGAAAGCTACGGCAAATTTAAAGTAGCGTTTTTGATTATATATGGCAAGTATATAAATTCATATGGTTTCAAGAAAAACAAGAGCTGTCGGTAGGAAAGCAACGCTCGACTATTCTTAGCGCTTGATAGTAAAAAAATGCTTGATATAATTACCTCCTCCTGTTTACAGGTTGGGGTCATGATGGTGAACAAGTGTGCAAAGTTTCAAAGCCATATGTCAATGGACTTTGAAAATATTTGAACTATTACAAAAACTTTAACGTAAATTCTAAGTCAAAAAAGGGGCATAATTCTGTCAAAATGCTTGATAGAGTTACCTCCTCCTGTCTACAGGTTGTGGTCATGATGGTTAACAAGTTCGCAAAGTTTCAAAGCCATATGTCAATGGACTTTGAAAATATTTGAACTATTACAAAAACTTTAACATAAGTGGTTACGCCGACGCTCGGGTGACTACAATAGCTCTACTTATTCTTATCGAATAGTCGAGCTAAAAAGCAGTTTTTGGCTACAAGAATATGGCTATGCTTTCTAGATTCATGTTGTTCAAAATATGTAAATTGTTGTTAAATTTCTTTATGTATAAATATCATTTTGCTTTTGTATTGTATTTTAAAACATTATTATTTCATAAAATAAAAATCTTTTGAAAAAAAAAAATGTTGCTATTTTTCAAATTTCCTAAATAGATTCATGCCAGGTCCATCTACACTCATTCAATATTCTCTATTTGTTTCAACTGAAGCATTTATAAATATATTATGCTTAGACTAAATGGCACAAACTTGATGGTTGGGTGAGACATGTCACATTCAAAGGCATCTAGGTTCTGAGCGAGCTTGGCAAATCTGGACTTCCTGTTCACTGGGGATGATGCTGGGCTTGATTGAGGTTCGAACACAGGTTGCTGGGGCAATTCATTTTCTGCTGAATTTGTATCTGAAATCAAATGTTAACATAAATTGATAAAATATAGAGACATGAAAACATGGTTGAACAAGTTAAAATTCTTAAGTTTTGTTTGTTTGATTGGGTTTTCGACACATCGAAACATTATAGGAAGACCTCAGGTGCCCTTCCGTGCATTAATTCAGGCACGAACGGGCACCTGAGTAGAACCACCGACGTTTCGTAAGCTAGCTGGATAGCTTCCTCACATGATTTGAACCCACAGCGGTGAGGGGCAAGTGGTTTGAAGTCAATGACCTTAACCACTCGGCCACGAAGCCCCCAAGTTCTTAAGAAACAACACTCTATTAAGTATCAAATATACAATACTGACTTTTCAACACATTTGTCCTAGTTTGACAATAAAAATGATACATTTTTAAAAAATCTATATGGGATTCACTTTTTGTAAAGTATTTAAATACAGACTATCCTTATCTACAAGAAATGTCTTTTGAATACTAAGGATATTCTATAGATAGTGTGATAACCAAATTTTCCTATAAGCTAAAGCAGAAGATAACTTATAAAAAAAAATTAACCTCCTACCTGACCAGTTCATTCTTTCACTAGAAAGAGCATTTAGCCTCGATTTCACACTAGGAATTGCCGGGGTATCAGCCTTCTTGCTGCTATCTTCCCAAGTACACTGTCTTTTTGGTGAATCTGCAATAAATTGTTCAAAAACAAAATGTTGCTTGAATTCTGATCCGATTCGATCATCATCAGTTAAACTCTCAACAAAGAACAGTTTTTGCCATTATAATAAAAAGTAAATTTTATTGTTCTTTGACTTTATTTTTTTTTTCAAGAAATCGTCACCAAACAATCAAATGTATCAGTAATACGACTTGAACTGACTGTTGATGAATCCAGTTAGGCATACAGGTCTGCTATCTGGACCAATGAAATATACGATGTATTTTGTCAATTTTTTTTTTGTCTGGTATTAGTACAGATCTTGGACATTGGTCACTATTGCAGTTTACTTATGTCACATGTAATAAATTCTTCAGGATAATTTTAGCATTGTAAACAAGTCTTGAAGATGCTGATCAAAAGGCTCTTACCATCGTCAACAGCTGCTGATATAACAGGCATATTGGTGGTATCCTCAAGAACTCTTTTCCTTGGAGCAGGATCGGGCGTCTTCCCCAACTTCTGGTTGAGCATAGCCCTTCGCTGCCGAGTCCTCTCTAACAGTTGCTGTAAATAAATTAGTAACCAATATTTAATTTTTTTATTGTCAAAGTAAGGTTGCATTGATTTTTACAATTGCTATGTAATGATTAACACCTTTGCCAACTGGCTCCAGAAACCCTTTGAGCATGACAGTTAATATGAACCCAGACAAGACTTTCTTAACTGATGACCTTTGACCTCAAAGTCTGACCTTGACATTGCAGCTGATGGTCTAGAACTTGTGCTATAATCACACACTGTCTTATCATGCTACAAAGCTTAAAAAATCCCTTGATGCATGGCAGAGATAGAGACAGAAATAAACCAAGATAAATGTCAATGTCTAGAACTGTTAATAGGGGAAGTCCTAGTTTGGCTGCACATTTTTCTGATTCTCCCCTGTGACATTTCATGCCCAACATGTGATCGTGACTATATGGAGCTCAGAGTCATTTCACATTGTGATCTTGTTTTGATTTCCATTAGAAATTGGAGGATAAATTTCATTATAGTTGGTGAGTATATCACTGTCAACAACTTATTTATTTTTAGGACAGGGATTGAGTAGCAGATTTCAGTGTCTATTCTAGGATTTGAAAAATAGGGGAATTTTTAATGTAAAAATGAGAATTTTTTTTGTATTTGTTGATCTTTTTCCTTCTTTCTCTATGTAAAATTTCCCCCCTACCTCTGAAAAATTTATAGTGGGGAATTCTCAAAAATAATAGTGAATCCCCCCCCCCCCCGTCCCCCTCCTAGCATAGACACTGAGGAAAAAGATGTGCAAAAGAATTTAAGAAACCAACCAACTTGATTTGGCCCTGTAAAAATGACTTGGTGGACAAAAGCCCTCCCGTGAAAATAATAGGGCGGACAAAAGCCCTCCCGCAGCAAATACTAATGAAATACATAGACAAAAGCCCTCCTGCAGCAAATACTAATGAAATACATATATGTACGTTGAATAGTTTATATTATCTTTTCAATGCACTCAACCTATTAAAATTGTAATCATGAATATTTTTGTTTTCCATTGGTATAAGCTGTTTGTATGACTATGAGCTTGAGCTAATTCCTGCAGGCATCTGAATAATTAGTGCTAAAATCTGGAAGTGCATATTTATTCTTGAGATATGAAGGATTACTCCTATGTGAAGTTAAGATTAATAGAGTGATAAATGATGAAAAGAAGTTAAAATTATTGAACTTAAAAGTTAGTTATTTATAATGTGCCTTGTAATGAGTCAATTACTTTAAAAGTGACTTTGTTTTTAACGACATTCATGTAAAAAGTTACCTCGTTAAACTTTTCACGAAGGTATATTCAGAATAAAAGGTGGTTCTAGCTCATATACATACTTAGGCCAATTGAAAACAACAAGAAATATATGTAACAGTTTTAATATGTTGAGAGCATTGAAAAAAAAAAAACCACATGTATTCAACATACATATTTATTTTTGTTACGAGAGGGCTTTTGTCCACCTTGTTAATTTCTTGGGAGGGCTTTTGTCCACCTTGTAATTTTTTGACAGGAGGGCTTTTGTCTGTTTCCAATCAGTTGTGTTTAGATCACAAGTAAAACATGCAAATCTCTTTAATGATGGACAAATTTCTACAGTAGTGAGTACTGTCAATTGACGCAGTTATCAGAGCACAACAATAATTTTCGGTGTGTTTTTCATTTTCAAAGATGTTTGAAAATTAAACTTAATTAAATGAAAGGGTTTTTATCACAATTTTGTAAACTATTTCAAATGATGTTATTCAACTGCAATCAAACGCTCCTTTTTTCCAGAGATGACAAAGATCAATATTCGTACTTTCTTCACTGTAGCCAACATGGCTTTAAATTTTTAATTCTCTGAAAGGTAAAGATAGGAAGACAATTGCTGTTTCCTGGTTAAAATCCTTACTTGATGTCATAGTCTGTCCTGGCTAGCCATACATGACTCGTGTATAGCAAGAAATTTTGGAGTGTAGGACAAAAGCCCCCTTGGAAGAAAGACCCCACCCCCTTCTAAAAATGACAAGGTGGACAAAAGCTCCCCCCCATGAAATTAACACATAGGACAAAAGCCCCATCAAAAATACAGGTAGGACAAAAGCCCATCAAAAATACAGGTAGGACAAAAGCCCCCCCCCCCCAACCCCTAGTCCAGCAAACAAAAGCCTCCCTAAGGTTTATAGACAAGACTGATAACTATCTTTCTTCACACGCCCAGTGTTAAGGAACTTGGGTTATACTTCAAATAAATCTAGACAAGTATGCGCCTTCCACTTTTATCGACTTTGTCATTTTCAGATGGGGTGAAATTTTGGCTAGCCATACGGGCCTGTAAGGCTAGCCATTTATTATTATTATGTTAATGTCATGCATTACAAAAAAAATCTAGTTCTGGCTTCCATAACTTTATATGTCGCTTTTATTTTGACGTTGTGTGACAGTAATTTATGAATCATCACTCAAAACAATATAAATCCAACATGCTTTGGTACAATGTCTGTTAATTAATAAATACACCGTTATTCATAATTGCAAAAGCCATGTTTTCAATTAAAAATAGCATTTTGGTCATGTGTCACCAAATGTCATGCAAAGGTATCCGAACCTAAATTCTCGCTAGTCACGTGATAATTAGGGCAGCAATGGCGGCGAGTTTTATGAAATGTGAACCCAATGATAAACTTTGAGGCATTATTTCATCAATCTAACATTCTGTGTTCAAAAATATAGACCGAAGTGTCCCAAATATATCTAACTACCTGTGTTAAAATAGCTTTTGTCCAGATCACGCAAATTTATTGAATTACAGCATGACATAGTCTGTCCTGGCTAGCCATACATGACTCGTGTATAGCAAGAAATTTTGGAGTGTAGGACAAAAGCCCCCTTGGAAGAACCCCCCCCCCCTTCTAAAAATGACACGGTTCTGGTTGACTTTCGATACGGGATTGGCTTCAGCGAACAGGTCTAGCAGTACTATAAAACCTGTTCGCTGAAGTCTCTTTAGCTAAAAACTAGAAATGTGTCCATAGGACACGGATGCCCCTACACGCCACTGTTCTGTCAATCTTATGACTCTAGGACAAGTTGAAAACTAAAAATCAACAAAGGGCCATAATTCTGTTAAATTTGGTCGCAGCAAAAATTCCTACCTTTACTACCATCTACACTGTACACATAAAGGTTGTTAATCCCTGGAAGTTTAAGCAAAATCTGCCATCCGGTTTAAGAGGAGTTGCGTTCACAAAATTTCTACATAGTATATAATGAAAAAACAACAAAGGGCCATAATTCTGTTAAATTTGGTTGCAGCAAAAATTCCTTCCTTTACTGCCATCTACACATAAAGGTTGTTCATCCTTAGAAGTTTAAGCAAAATATGCCATCCGGTTTAAGAGGAGTTGCATTCACAAAATTTCTACATAGTATATAGTGAAAAAAACAACAAAGGGCCATAATCAGGGCTCGCGCTGGCAGTAGCCAATGAGCAAATTGGCTCCAAAATAATTAAATTGGCTTAAGAAAATCACGATTGGCTCAAACTTACGAAAAGTATGACTTTTGGAATCTCCAGTCTAAATTTAGCTTTTTCTATTTCAAGAATGGAAAAGTACACATCTGGTTTTCCATCTTTAACTTCCGTTTTATCACTTCTTATCTCAAAACACGGGGACACAGTCTACTTTTTGTGGGTCATTGACTGGTTTATATTTGTAACTTCCGTTCCGAACGAAATATTGATATGAACAGTAACACAGTATAATACACTGAGTTTACCAGCTGATAAATATGACACTAATTGGTGTGAAAAATACCTGTTGCAGATTGTTGAATTTGCACTGGATAATTGGTCTTAATATTCAATATGAAACAATAACTAGCGGCATCTCAAGATTATCGCTAATCAAATCAGCATCTTGGGTATGAAATGGCGACAAATTATGTTCTGCAGTTGGCAACTTGACCAGTAAATTTTATCGTAGTTGATAAACAGATTGAAGGAATTACGAGTTGATAGAGTTATTGTTTTTGATTTTTTTTGGTGGTGGTGGTGGTGGTGGGGGGGGGGGGGGGGGTTATTGCCAATAAAATCCAGGGCCAAAACACCATTTTTGAGGAAGGGGTTTCAAATTTAACACAAAATTTTAACAAGTTCTTTAAAATAGAAAAGCAAAAGCAGTGGGAATGTTCTTCAAAATAGGACAGCAAAAAGCATGGGAAATAGTAATAAGGCAGTAAAAGACCTCATTTAATTTTGTTCTAAATTCTATGGGAAATTTCAAAAGACTGGGAAATTTTGAGGACCAAACTGGGGAAACTAAGAGGCTAGTTTGGTTGGGGAAGCAGCCTTTATTTGGGCCACTTCAAAGAATGGCCCTGAAATCTGACCTTATTATGGCTTCAAAAATATATTGTTGAAAAGGAATTTATTTGACATACAGAGTAATCCTGTAAAAAAGATTGACCTTATGTCACCACCATGCCACAGACTTAGATTTTAAGGGAACCTTGCTGCCTACATGTAATTTTTGGCAAATGTTATACTGCTACTGACATCTAAGCTTAGTTAATGCTTTTCTAAATATCCCATGCCGTACCATTGCCTGATTTGAAAATAAAATACAGGCAGACAATTTTCGCTGCGAAAAATTGGCTCAAAGTAAAAAATTGCCAGTGCTAGCCCTGATAATTCTGTAAAATTTGGTCGCAGCGAAAATTCCTTCCTTTACTACCATCTTCACCTTAAGGTTATTCATCCCAGTAAGTTTAAGCAAAATCTGCTATGCGGTTTAAGAGGAGTTGCGTTCACAAAATTTCTACATTGTATATAGTGAAAAAATCAACAAAGGGCCATAATTCTGTTAAATTTGGTGGCAGCAAAAATTCCTTCCTTTAATACCATCTACACATTAAGGTTGTTCATCCCTGTAAGTTTAAGCAAAATCTGCCATGCGGTTTAAGAGGAGTTGCGTTCACAAAATTTCTACATAGTATATAGTGAAAAAATCAACAAAGGGCCATAATTCTGTTAAATTTGGTCGCAGCAAAAATTCCTTCCTTTACTATCATCTACACATTAAGGTTGTTCATCCCTGTAAGTTTAAGCAAATCTGCCATGCGGTTTAAGAGGAGTTGCGTTCACAAAATTTCTACATAGTATCTAGTGAAAAAATTAACAAAGGGCCATAATTCTGTTAAATTTGGTTGCAGCAAAAATTCCTTCCTTTACTACCATCTACACATTAAGGTTGTTCATCCCTGTAAGTTTAAGCAAAATCTGCCATCCGGTTTAAGAGGAGTTGCGTTCACAAGATTTTGGGACGTACGTACGGACGGACTGACGGACAGACAAGTGCAACGCTATATGCTCCCACATTGTGGGGGCATAAAAATCTATTTCAATATATCTATCTTCCATTTATGTCAAACCCATAACGAGGACGTAGACATGACTGTAGCACACTTCCCGAAATATGACGGTCTGACAGACAATAAAAATGAGACATGTCCAATAAATTTTGATTAGGTCTGACGATTTTTTATTCTGGATCGGCCTGACTGTCCGGCTTTTATCCAAGTCGCATGTATACAAAATGGCATCGCTACAGATGCCAAACCTGGGAAAAAAACGAACATCTACGTCCGAGGTGCGCGCATAACAGCAGGAAAAGGATGAAAAGAATAGACCTGAGGAAAAATTTAATTAAAACTGGAAGCAGGACTGTAAATCTTTGGTGTGTATGACAGGGAGGAGATGAAAATGCATTGTACGGACTCTGCCGATTTTTTCGGCAAAAAAAAACCAAACCGAAATGTGTCTTAGAAATACAAACACAAGTTTTCCTTTGATTATGGTTAATTTTATTCGGTCTGACAGATTTTCATGGTTTGTCGGACTGAATGTCTGACATTTTTTTTTAACTTTCGGGAAGTCTGCTCTAGACTAGTCATTTCAAAGACAGCTATGAAATACAACTTTACAAGGGAATCCAGGAACCAGTCCCAGCTCTTCAAAAAGTCTTATTGAATAGACCCCTGGATTCTTTTACATGCCCAGTGTATAGCACTGATACATCTAGATTACCTGGATTTCTTACAAGTACTCCTCTTGTTAGGTTGTAAGTGTGTCTGAAAAATCCCAAAGGTGTTACCCAAGATCGAACCCAGGACCTCAGGAGTGACAGCCAGTGGTCTAATCAACTGAGCTTTCACGCCACCCGAATATAGATCTACACATACTTGACATTGTCACTAACATTAAAACCATCTTCTCAGTCACTTAGTCATACATGCATGACACATTTTAAAATTCATAAAAATTTAAATATTAGTCTAATTAGAATTAAAATAGAGCTCTAATTTTGAATTTTGCAAATATAAATTTGAATAATTTAGTATCATCTATATTCTTTACCTCGGTTAAATCGTCCGCCTGCATTATATAATGTGGAATTTGTAAAGTAAGAAACCTTACATTTTCAAATATTTAAAAATAATCTCCGACTCATCACTTTTTTGAAAAAAATTCGAAGGCGAAATTCTGTGCTCCACTAATCACCTAATTATTCAGTAATAAATCCTGAAATGTACCGTTAAGCCGATTTACCCACGCAACAATAGATAAATTTTTTCTGTTCTCACCTCTGTGTAAGGGTCCATTGTCTTGTGATCACAACATCAATTCAAAACAGGAGAAAATCGTGTGTGATTTCAAAAATGTGTTGACCCGAATGCTGTTTGAAATTGGCGGTTGAAATATCGTAAAATCACGAACAGGTGTGCGGGATTTGAAATTTTGACAGACGCTCTAGGCAATGTAGTTATTGCAAACATATCTATAACCATGATTTTTTAATCACATGATATCCCAAAATAGTGGTCACATGACAAATCACATGATAGTCGGACAGAGATGGCAGATTCAACTAGGAAGTTTCAATACTGTTTTTTTATTCTTGTTATTTTTTCAATCCAAGGTTGTCATTCAGATTCGAATGGTGGATCGACTTGTGCAAGTATACATATCATCTATTTCTTAATTTATAACACCTTGCAAGGTTTATTTCACTTTCACTGCTCGTTTAGACTTTTCTTTTACATTTGACATGATTTGTAAAGAAATTAAATTTAAAGCACTGTGCAGGACCAGGTGTTTATTATTAATTGGAATTGTTCGAAATAATAGCAATGCAGTTTTGAAACATTTTAATGTCATTATATTATCTAATATTGACCAATATTTAAAAGTTTTTATTTTTGTACTAAAAAATAGTTCTAAACAGCTAAAAGGAAACAAGAATTTTACATGGAAATTCCATTCTTGTGCAGTTTATTAATTATCACCAATTAATTAAATCAGCTAATATTAATGAATGAATAAATAAAATAAATAATTTGTATTTGTTGAAAATAATGAAAATGTTTCAATTTACGACTACTAAATAATGAAACCAAGTATTTATATTTATATAGTATTTATACCTTATAAACGTTTTTCTTATTTAAGCATGTGATGTTTTGATGGGCCTTGTTGAACAGACAGCTGTTATACACAATGAAACACTTGTAAATTCATTGGAAAGGATCTGTAACTACTTCCCAGATCAGTTCAAGAAACCATGCAAGCTATTTTTGGATTTTATTGGACCTATTCTTATTGAAATGTAAGGGTTAGGCTAATTAACACTATATAGCTCGTCTGAGCATAAAGTGCTTAAAGGTGAGCTTTTGTGATAGCAGTGTGTGCATTGTCTGTTGTTAGTCAGGCATTGTTATTTACAATTTCTTGAAAGAACTTCACCAAAATCACTTAATGGATTTTGACCAATCTTCACAGGAATGACCATTAGGTGGTCCTCTACAAAAGTTGTAGGAATGGTTCCTGTATGATGCATATAACTAGGTCACAGGAGCTAAAAATAGACTTTAAAATTTTTCTCCTCAGAAACTACAGTCAGTGCCCAGATCTTAAATACTTCGCATGTAACATTACCTTTGGGTCATCTACAAAAGTAATATAAATTACGCCAGGGTCGTAGCCAGCTTTTTTCAACTTGTAGGCACATAAAAGGGGATGTGGAAGTTTAGCACCCAGAAGCCGAAAACAAGTTCAGATTAAAAAGAGCAAATTGCGCGTTCCAAAGTATGTTCAAGGTAAATTATCAAGACAATGATTTTAAACTATGAATTTGATTAAATGCAAGTTTAATGAGGGTGGTAAATCTTGAACACACTACCAACCCCACCCTCGCATGTTTTTATTGTATTTTTGGGACAAATATGACAATGTCTTGATCAACTTGTAGGCACAATGCCTACATGGCCTAATAGTAGCTAGGCCACTGTATGCCCCTGGGGTCTATATAAGTCATGCCCTGCCCCTAATTAAGTTTCTTGTGTGAAATTACAATGCCAAGAGCTTGCTTATATAGATATTTGTCATGAAGCATTTTGTAGCAGACATCTACAAATATTTTAAAAATCATGCAGCTTGGATTGAAAAAAGACAAACCCTAGGGATGTGACTTTATAAGGACTATATAGCAATGTATCTCATGTTTAACCATTCAAAATACCAGCATTATTAAAGGGACACCTCTGAGGGTTTATGACATGATTGAAGTGGAAATAGTTTATTTCAAGATTGTTTTAACTATTGATATAATTAAGGTCTATACCATTTACTTGTATGTAAAAATTTAGACCATTCACTCACTCCATTTCACTTGTGCGCAAGTTGATCTATATCAGATTTTCAAATTTTAAATTTTTAGGGCTTTTAGACCACAGTGGTGTTCCTTTATGATTAAAGTTTCCTTAATCAGTAACTATGAATGTAATATCATAGTCTAGTACATGGCCATGTAACTCAGTACACAAATTATGTTTGTTAATCTAAACTACACAGTACTAAGTGAACACATTCACATTGACCTGCATCGTTGACATGGACATTTGTTTTTTAATGTAATTGGTAAAGTACACAAGTTACTTATTAAATAAACAACAGCGAGAAGGGAGGAAGTTTTATTAACAAAGGGAGGTAATATTGTGAAAAAATCAGTCAGTGCTGTAAATGTTTTATGTTAGAAACTAATGTCTATTGAAATGATAGAATATTATTTTCAAGAGCCAAAACATTGGAATTATTTTCAATTTTTAAAACTGTTAATTCAGTGATTTTTCTGCTTACATAACAGACTCCGCTAAAAGGCCAGGTCTTCCCAATTGAAATTATCTTTAAAATCATGCAGTTTTCCCAAAGATCTGAGCTTAAACTTGCTTTTTTATTTCCCAAATTAGCAATTTTAGCGATAATTTTTCCCAATATCAGAAGGCTAAGGCCTTTTCCCAATTAAGTGAGAAATATCACTGTACATGTACTAAGGCAGTGGAAGAGCTGCAAAAACCAGTACTGTACATGTTTGACTCTACTATTTTGCACGTTTATGATGAAAATGTACTTTGTATAAATCAATTAATTATTTACTTTTGTACTTGATTTCAGTGTTGAAGAAAATGACACACCTGATGTTATATGTCATAAACTTGGACTATGCTACACAGAAAAAGGAAGACAGTGCAATCTTTTCCCTTTGAAGATAAATGTACACATACTTTTCTGTTTAATAAATGTTTTATACATCTCATCTACATATTTGCTACAATAATTCTGAAAAATTCTTGGATATTTCAGATTTTTCTAAAACATATAAAAGTCACAGCGTTTTTAAATCAGATTAAAAAAAAAAATTGAAATGAAATTAGTTTATAATGGGATTTTTAATGTGCAGAATTTACGTGCATAGTATTTAAACCAGAGGGAAGTCAGTGTATGTGTGGTGCTACTTTGGTTTATAAAGGATTTAACCAGCATATTAGATATAAACACTAAGCCAGCTGGTAGCAACTGATTATACCTATACAACCAGTGCAGACCAAGAAGATAGTCCAGCAAATCCAAGATCATGGTCTGCACTGTTCACCATGCAGTCAGTACATATGAGCCGCGTCACGACAAAACCAACATAGTGCGTTTGCGACCAGCATGGATCCAGACCAGCCTGCGCGGCTCAGGATCCATGCTGTTCGCTTACCAACTCTATTACAAGTAGAGAAACTGATAGGGAACAGCATGGATCCTGATCAGACTGCGCGGATGCGCAGGCTGGTCTGGATCCATGCTGGTCGCAAATGCACTATGTTGGTTTTGTCGTGACGCAGCTCATATATTAAAAAAAAATTCCTGTAAATAATGAATAGTTTTGAATAGTTTTGTCCACACTGTTCCCCCCCCCCCAGTTGTTTATGATTATATTTATTCTCCATTTAATAACAGCTTGTTTTTATTCCAGCAAAGATTGTATCATTACACAGAGGACCCTAGACTAGTGAAAAAAGTGAAACATCTGCACATGGTAGGTTAACAAAATGAAGTGTCCTTTTCAAATCTTAATGTTTCAAGAGTTATTGCCCTTGAATATTAGACTGCATAGTTTACAAAACTAAGAAACTTGTTAATGGATATTATAAAGCTGAGAATAGATATGTTTAGAGATACACAATCTGAAATGCATATTTTTAAATCTTCTTGATATTTCAAGAGTTATTGCCCCTGAATGGATAGAAAAATAGTAGACAGCATACATTTCTAAGGAAATTGCTTGTGGATTTTTTATGAAGCTGAAAATAGATATGTTTAAAGATACACAAATTGAATGGCCTTTTTTAAATCTTCTTGATATTTCAAGTTATTGCCCCTGAATGGATAGAAAAATATTTGACTGCAAACATTATTAAGAAACTAGTGAAGAGATTATAATCAGGGTCTCTTTGGAATTCAGTTTCAAACTTTCCTGGTGTTCTTCATTTTTATCACGAAGGAAAATCTATTACAGTTATATTCCAGTACAATGTTAAAATTTTGGAGCAACTGGATGAATAGATAGTAAAATTATAAAAATAAGTTTTTTTTCAAATTAGCTGCTGCACATTAATTGTTAAAGGGCACTGATGGTTTTTGGCATGACGGGACTGCTAATTTTTTTTCTCAAGATTTTTCTCAGTGTGTTGAATCATTCGCTCACCCTGTCTTCACTTGAAAAAAAAACATTCAATTGTGAAAAATGACCCCAAAAGTGAAAAGCATTTAAAGGCATATCAGGCTTAAATGGCATTTATATAAAAGTATGATTTCCAGTTAGTTTTAAGTATATTTCTTCATTATCTTTTGCGTTTCTCTGTTATAAGTGCCCAATTGTTCTGTGCAAGAAATTCAAATTTTATGTTTTTAGACTGTTGGAATTTAAAAACGAAAAATTGTTTCCTCCTTTCAAACATATATTTAACAATATATAAATGAAAAAAAAAAAATTTGAATTTTTTGTCATTTCTCTACAAAATTATTAAAAAAATAAAATTACATTAAAGAAATGTCTTAACAACCAACATTTAGTATTTGATACTAAATGCGTGATTGTGGGTTCTAATTACTAGAGTCTATCCATCTCTTAGCTCAAGCAGGTGAAGTGGTTTTAATTCCTTGTTTAATGCTTAAAGTTTGTTACACCCTAGATTAGCCAAAATCATATTTTCTGTTTCGGCGCCGTAGGACCTAAATTGTGTTGGTGCCCTGTAAAAACCAAACAAAACAAAAACAAGCTGTAGTTGCCATCATGTATAATTATAATAAAAATATATTTTTTCAGCCCAGATTAGGTGCAGGGATATGTGATTTACCAGGAATCAAAGAGATTTGTGACTGGATTAATCTGTAAGTACAAAAAGATTTTGGTAAAGAAACTTGTGATTTTTACACTACTAAAATTTGTAAAATGGACTTGCTCGGCTTTTACATTGAAACAGTCCATTTTATAGAGCTGTCATCGGTAGAGACGGTATCGATGTATCGTTGATATTTTTCTGTCGATCAATAATCGATACACATTTGTAAAAATCAATAATGATGGTAAATTATTTTAATGACTATAAATTCAACCAAAACATATACAAAAGCAAGTGGCCATGTTAAACACCAAGCTGTTGTTACATATAAATGGACACATTTCATAGCAGTGGTGGCAAAAATGGTTAGGAAAATGTATCATAGGACATTTATAAACAGGACACAACATATTTGTATGAACAGAATATATACTGAACCAAAAAAGAAACTTTCGCAAAGTATGTGCCAGTTGTTCAAGGGTACCACTTAGATGTACACACATATATACATGTAGTAGCTTGTAAAACTCGTTTTGTTTGCAACTTATCCCCGTATAAAAGCCTGATATGTTTAATCAACGTAAAAAATCGAGTTTCAAAAGGATTTTAAAACTGTACTAATATATCTACATTCAAACTTGGAGAAAGTTTCTTTTTTGTTTCAGTACATATTTTACCAGGTATCAAAGTGAATTATGAATTATATACAAGAAATAAGGAGTATATTCAATTCAATTCAATTCAATTATTTTATTAGCATATAATTTCTGTTACATAAACATGTTCATCGCCATTCATTCAATTGCGGCAGTTACATACAACATGAGAAGAGCATGAGTATTAATACATCTATATCATGTGTTTACATTGGTGTATTGCTGATATTTGTCATCCGATATCGTCAATATACTTTGCTATGAATCAATGACAGCTCTACCATTTTATGTTACAGGGATTTCATGATCAAAATACATGTATATAAACTGAGCTGTCAATGATATAATTAAAGTCTTATTCTTATATGGCTCAAAATTAGTATAAAGATTTTGTAGTTTTGAATGTAGCATATGTTAGAATTGAGGAATTAAATTTTTGTAATTCTTTTGGTGTCAGAATTTGAACACCTGGTATAAGATCTCAGAATTTCTTGGGAAATTTTTTAATTAATAGATAACATTTTGCAGCATATTATATTAAATTTTGATGTAGTTTCTTGCATAGTCTAATTTTTGTTCAGAAAGAAATCCATAACTGCCTTGTCATAAAATATCAAGATAAACCAATCACAATTAGGTTACCAATTCACTGATAATTAAAAACTTCAAATCACTGATAATTAAAAAGAATCAAATCACAGATAATTTAGCAAATCAGATAATTAAAAAAAAAAATCACAGGTAATTTATTAAGCAAATCACATGTAAGTAGTTTCAAAAATTATTTTTGGTTATGAAAGTGTTTGCTGTTTTGGCAAATCATACAGCTAGATGAAAGTTCATTTTTTTTTTTTTGTTATTATTATTACCCCTCGCTATTTTTATAATGTTAATTTCCCATAGGCCAGTTGGAGTTATTCTTACTGTTAATTCAAGTAGTGTACCATGTGTCTTAAGAAAATTGCACTATTACGTAGGTAAAGGTACTTTTAGATAGTAAAAATCTGAAAAATAAAAACCTATATACTAGTAAACAGTGTCCCAATAAAGTATTTGTTTGGAGTAGTAAAATAACTAACACATAGGTTTGTTGTGCCTACATTAGCTTTGTAAATATATTGAAGACATATATTATTTATCTTTGTAGGATATTTTCTGATCATGAGCCTGCTGTGGACCTAGATGGTGACAAACATAGCCCATATGAGGTATTTGTACCAATAATAATAATAATAATAATAATAATGATAAAAAATAATAATGATAATTGATAATAACGATAATATCAATAACAATTTATTTAAAGAGGCAACACAGTTTAGGCAAGCCCAGTCTCTATGAGCCTCAAATCTAGTATTTGTTTATTGTCTAATTTTTATTGGGTTTTAAGTCACTGTGACAAAGTTTAAATCTTTAAAGTTTGAGCTTTTTGTGACGCCTCTACGGAGTAGTGGCAACATATAGGGATCACTTCTCCTTCGTCTGTCTGTCTGTCTGTCTGTCCGTCACAAAACTTGTCCGGACTACTCCTCATAAACTACTGGTGCAATTTCATCCAAACTTTACAGGAATGATCAGTACCAAGTCTAGCTGTGCATATTGTCAGCATTTTCCGGTTCAATGATTTTTGCCAGAGTTATGGCCCTTTAATAATTTTTTATTTTTAAAGTTTGTCCAGACTACTTCTCTTATACCACTAATGCAATTTCAATGAAACTTTACAGGATTGATCTGTAGCTCAAGTCCTTGCGCATATTGCACGGGTTTTCCGGTTGAATGATTTTTGGCCGAGTTATGGCCCTTTGATAAAAAGGTGTTTTTTTCTGTGTGTTGCCAGATACACAAAAGCTTGTCCCCACTACTCCTCATAAACTACTGGTGCAATTTCATCCAAACTTTACAGGAATGATCAGTACCAAGTCTGGTAAAATAAAACCGTTGTGCATATTGTCAGAATTTTCTGGTTCAATGATTTTTGTCAGAGTTATGTCCCTTTAATAATTTTTATTTTTAAAGTTTGTCCGGACTACTTCTCTTATACCACTAATGCAATTTCAATGAAACTTTACAGGATTGATCTGTAGCTCAAGTCCTTGCGCATATTGCACGGGTTTTCCGGTTGAATGATTTTTGGCCGAGTTATGGCCCTTTGATAAAAAGGTGTTTTTTCTGTGTGTTGCCAGATAAACAAAAGCTTGTCCCCACTACTCCTCATAAACTACTGGTGCAATTTCATCCAAACTTTACAGGAATGATCAGTACCAAGTCTAGTTGTGCACTGTCCGTCTGTCTGTCACAAAACTTGTCCGAACTTGAAATTGGCCATAATGAGGCGACACATGTGATCACTGATCGCTCTTGTACTGGTGGAGGAATACTGCAAATGGTAGGACCTTGCCATTCTGAGTGTATTGTTTCAATTAATTTATTGTTGATGTTTATTGGTTTTAAGTCACACTTACAATGTTAAAATTAAAGATTATTCTTGCACTTTTATTTGTGGAGGAATACCCAATATACTTGTGTGTGTATTTGCGTTTATTTATAGTCGCTACCGGTTGCCCATATGGGCGAGTCCTCCAGGAGAGTATTAGTCATTTTAGATTTTTGGAGGATAGTGCAATTACAGATACAGAAAGATGCCCCAATTCCAGAAGCTTCTCCTGGTTCTTTAGCGTGCCAAGTGTTTAAGCACCCATACACGGGACCTCGATTTTAAAGTCTCATCCGAAAGACTGATTAGTAATTTTAGTTGGCCAGCCCGGGAATCGAACCCACAATGTCGAGATTACAAGTCTCGCGCTCTAACCGATTGAGCTATGCGGGCTGGCTTTTATACTGTTCCGCACTGGCTTAATTATTTCATATTTTATAAGAAGAGGGATTTATAAAACTATATGGGACTCATAGCACTTACAGACAAATATTGAAAAGTTTTTAACCACACAACTCCGTAACTATTGATACAGGACTTTAAATCAAGGGAATGTAACTGGTATAATAAAAACTTTATTTTTCATAATTACCTCCCTTTTGGAGAATCAAGACCACTTTCTTAGCCTTGTTTCTAGTGTCTTTGGATTATGTTCCAATACTAAGCTCTTTTTGCCACAAGTAACTGCTCCACATTAATCACTTGAAATGGCAGTGACATATAAATACAATTACAAATATTGTTGTTGGACAATATTTTACAGAAAAACATATGCCTTTTCCTATAAAGATGCTTTGTGGTAAAGATTAATGGTGCAAATTAAACTGGGTTTTTAAGACATGCTTTCAACAGCAACTTGTTTTTAATATATGTTTAACAAAGATGATTTTTTTCATGAAGGTTGTACTATTTTATTTCAGACATTGAGGGGTTACTCATGGCGAGGTAAAGATTGTGATGATGAGAGAAGGAATATTCACCCTGGGGCAAGGTAATGAGCACTGGAGTAAGGTAATGTACACTAGGGCAAGGTAATGTACCCTGGGGCATGGTAATGTACACTTTGGCAATGTAATGTACACTAGGGCAAGGTAATGTACACTGGGGCAAGGTAATTTACACGAGGGCAAGGTAATGTACACTGGGGCAAGTTACTGTACACTAGGGCAAGGTAATGTACACTGGGGCATGGTCATGTTCACTAGGGCAAGGTAATGTACACTGGGGCAAGGTAATGTACACTGGGGCAAGTTAATGTACATTGGGGCAAGGCAATGTACATTGTATATGCATTGTTTATTATCCCCCGCCGAAAAATTTTGGCGGAGGATATAGAAATAGTCTCCGTCCGTCCGTCCGACCTTCCGTCCTTCCGTCCGTCCGTCCGACATTTTTGTCCGGAGCATATCTCTAAAAGTATTTGAGGTATCAACTTGAAACTTCATAGGTGGATAGACCTCATTGAGGAGGAGTGCAGTGCACAAGAATGATAACTCTACCTTGCATGATTTTTGAGTTATTGCCCTTTGTTATTTTTCATACCTAATTTTTCACCTGAGTGGAGCATAACTCAAAAAGTGTTTGAGATATCAACATGAAATGTCATAGGTGGATAGATCTTATTGAGAAGGAATGTTGTGTGCAAGAATGATAACTCTTCCCTATACAATTTTTGAGTTATTGCCCTTTGTTTTTTTTATGTTATTTTGTCCAGAGCTTACCTCAAAAAGTATTTGAGGTATCAACTTGAAACTTCAAAGGTGGATGGATATCATTAAGGAGGAGTGCAGTGCTTAAGAATGATAACTCTACCCTGCATTATTTTTGAGTAATTGCCCTTTGTTATTTTTCAAAATTAATTTTTGTCCAGAGCATAACTCAAAAAGCCTTTGAGATATCAAAATGAAACTTCATAGGTGCATAGATGTCACTCAGGAGGTGTGCACTGCACAAGAATGATAACTCTACCTTTTATAATTTTTGAGTTATTGCCCTTTTTTCTTTTTCATACTTAATTTTTCAATTCAATTTTTTTCTCAAAAAGTATTTGAGGTATCAACTTGAAACTTCATAGTTGGATAGATTTTACTGAGGAGGCATGCAGCACACAAGAATGATAACCTACCCTGCATTATTTTTCAGTTATTGCCCTTTGTTATTTTCAGCCATCAGTATTCACATAGGTTTCAAATCTGTAATCATTATAGCCATCTGTTTTCATTACCAAAAGACCTCTTAAAATGGAATTATTCCGCTCTACTACATATACATTCTTCCAATGAGCAAACACATTCGGCGGGGGATGGCCATGTTGACATGGCTCTTGTTTATATAGCTTTAAGTAACACAGACATTAAGGAGCGCCAAGCAGTGGTCTAATGGATATAGAAACTGCCTCTGAACCCAGGGATTGTGGGTTTATGTCCTAGTAAGGTCATTACAATGTTTCCTCATATAACAAAAGGACAGTAAAAGTCAAGGAAGCAGATTCAAAAGTGGTTTAAATAAGTTCATAGCTTACTTCATCAATGTGTTTCAATAAATAATGTTTAAACAAAACAGATTCTTTACTAGTCATATCAGACCTTTCCAGACCCCATTAATCCACGCTCTGTTACACACACATGCCTGCAAGCATTCAGCATATAGGTGAAATATGGAACATTTCTTAAGTAATAGTTGGATGAATCCCTCATTGCTCTAACAAGATTCAAATCTTAAGGGGTGAAGCCCCAACTGATATAACCATGCAGCCATACAAGAACTTGTATTTTATATGTTGATAGGTCAGAACTCTTTTGTTTAAAAATGTGCAGCTTAACTAAATGTCAATCTTCTTATTAAGATTAGTGAATAAAGGTCATATGTTCAAAATAACAGTAATTTCACTTCATGATTATAGTTTGACAGGATTCTTTGGTACATGTTTTTACAGACATACCGGTAAAAGGCTTTTATATGCAGGCTGCCATAATACTGTATGTAAATTGATATTTGTTGTAAACTTTTCACCCCTGTTCATTCATGTTAAAGAATGATTTATTTTCTGTTTTCACCCAGGCCTATAGATGGTGACAGAGAAATTGACTCCAACTGCAATGGAATAAAAGTAAGTTATTAAGAATGATAAGAATGACAGTGAGTGACATTTAATAAGGTAAGTTATGTAGAATGATATTTAAGTAGATTTTGTAAAATGACATTAGGTTATGTAGAATGACATTTAAGTAAGTTATGTAGAATGACATTAAGTAATGTAGGAAGACATTTAAGTATGTTATTAGAATGACATTAAGTTATGTAGAAATATATTTAAGCCATGTAGTTATGTTATGTAGAAAGACATTTAAGTTAGTTATGTAGAAAGACATTTAAGTTGTGTAGAAAGACATTTAAGTAAGTTATGTAGAAACACATCTAAGTTATGTAGAAACACATTTAAGAAAGTTATGTTGAATGACATGAAGGCAAGTAATAAAAAACAACAAATAATCAAATCCCATCAAGGGTGTGGATTTCTTTCATGAGAGGAAGCCATCCGGCTGGCATACAGGGGATTTGTTATTGCTACTGAGATGTTCATTCCTACTTGGAATTATGAAAGTGACATTATGCCCTTTCAAGGGCAATAGTGAGTGAACAGGTGAAAGACAAAAGAAGTTTTTATTTTGCCATAATTCCTGTCAAGTTTATAATTTACTTTCATGAACAATAAATAACTCACATGGCCCATGGAAATGTCTGTTGATATCAATAGAAATTTACCTGTAACATTTATAAAAAGAGTGGGTTTTTTTTTAATATTTTAGGCAGATTTATAATATATTATACATACATTTGTATTTATTTTACATATTTGTGTTAATTTTACTTATTTATGTTTATTTTACTTATTTATGTTTATTTTACATATTTGTGTTAATTTTACTTATTTATGTTTATTTTACTTATTTATGTTTATTTTACATATTTGTGTTTGTCTTACAGGGTCATACTCCAGCTTCTAATGTACCATATGAGAACATGTTCTGTGAATCGTCTCAGCCTCGTGGTATAGCTGTACTGGGTGACTCAATTAGTGCGCACTTTCATCTGCCTAGAGAATGGTTCAATTCTACTGAATTATCAGTGGTAAAGTTTATACATTTTTAATTATAGGAATGGCCTCCATCTGTCAGTCAGTCTGTCTGTCCGTCTGCACTACCGAATAGGGTTAGAGGGCAATTTAACTGTAAACAGAACAAAAGAGAATAATAGAAATAATTCCATAACAATAAAGGAAGGGGCCAATGTTCCTCTATTAAACAAAAGATACTAACAATAGAAATGGTCCTTAATCCCAAGTTGGTCGCACGTAGATCAGTATGTCTGTCCATCTGTTAGCATGTTCATATCCGGTCTGTATCTTTTGAACAGGCGAAAAGAAATTGAAACTACTTGGCAGAAACGTTAACCATAATGAGATGATGTGCAGAGAGCATGTTTCACCTTCCTCAGGTCAAGGTCAAGGTCACACTTATTCATTTTATATCAAAATCAAATTTTTTGTCTACTCTGTATACACTTAGTTATTTTATATCAATATCAAATATTTTTGTCCACTCTGTATCTTTTAAACTGATAGAAAGAAATTGAAACTTTTTGTCAGGAATATTACTTATATTGCAACGGTATGCAGAAGGCAAGTTTGGTCTTCCTAAGATCAAACTTGGCCCTGCCCGAGGGTTAATTGATTTATATAGACTTATATAGGAGTTTTCATGTCCGGTCTGTATCTTTTGGACTTTTGGAAGGACTATACTTTGCAAAAGTGTTAACCATAATGAGATGATGCACAGGTTTTACCTTTGTCAGGTAAAAGTCACACAAGTCATTTTGTATCAACATCAAAATTTTGCGTAAAAACTTGACACATCGGGACTTTGACTCATGAATAGGTCTCAATTTAATGACAAAATCTCTAGCCATTGACTCTCGACATTTACAAGCAAGTTACAAAAGGCATTACAAAAAGAAAGGGTGATAACTAAAACAGCTTAAAGTAAATATATCCTGTATGATTAATACTGGACACAGGATCACCGAAGTCCTCAAATGAAAGTAGTTCTAACTGTTTACTTTCAAATACCACTATGGAAATTTGAATGGTAACAATTAAAGCATTTTATCGCACATTTAACGCATACAAAGGCTGTTAGAACACACTGCTGTGTAATTAACACCTGTCATACAAGTTGATTGAAAATCATCTTCGCGGTCACACGGTGCATATCCATATCGGTACCCTCTTTGCGAAATCTGCTGAACTGTACCCTATCTGCACATGCACAGTTCATTCTCCGCTAAAAACAAACCAGCGACGGATAACAATCCAGTAAAATTTCATTGTAATAAGGAAAGGAGGTATGACACTTAGAAAACATATATACCACGGAACACTAGAATGTTTTATTTATGTGCTGATTTGTCATGTGCCCGTTTTTCATGTACTGCAACTTCACAATAAGCTACAAAAAACCGACAAGTCTTGCCTCGTCCATCACCTCGACATACTTTTCGGGCTGCAATGAACCTGTGGCTAAATAACAATAAGTTGTAAATAATGCATATAAAATGTCAAATTTTTAAGGCAATTTAAGGCGATGCTCTTGTTGGTATTAGTGGTTAAAGAATGGATTGTCTTCAAATTTGAGCACAACAATATTTTAGGATAGACCTTAAAGTTAACCAGACAGACCGTGACCTTCACTCATAAATTACCTTCATCTTAAAGGTAATAATTATTGAAATTTTATTTCTTTTGCTTTAACTGGCTATAACTTTGTTATTAATGAATGGATTGACTTCATATTAAGACACAACATTCTTTAGGATATACCTTCATGTATATAAAAACTCAATCCTTGGTAGGATTTCAATGATTTTCATGGGAATGGAAGTTACCACCGCTTGTTGTGCATATTGTGGGCACATTCAGCTTGGCTTCACAAAATGGCCTCCAGAGCTAAACATAGAAAAATCTTGTCCTGCTTTCACAGTGGATTTCTACGAAACTTCACAGGAGTGATCAAGACCATTCCTAGTTATGCATATCATGGGCATGTTCTGCTTCGCTGCACAAAATTGCTGCCAGAGCTTTTATATAAAAATCTTGTCTGGCTTTCACAGGTCAAACTGCTCACCTGGTTGGATTTTAATAAAACTTCACAAGAGTGATCAGTACCATTCCTATTGTGCATATCGCCAGCACTTTCGGCTTCACAGCACTAAATGGCTGCCAGAGCTATAAATTAAAACTCTAGTCCGGCTTTCACAGATCAAAATGGTGGTGGATTTTAATGAAACCAATACTGTCCCTAGTTGTGCATATTGCTGGCACGTTCCACTTTGCTCCACAAATGTTTGTTGGTTTTCAATGAAATGACACAGGAGTGATAAGTATCATACCATTTTGTGCATATAGCCGGCATGTTCTGCTTTGCTGCACAGAATGGCTGTCAGATCTGTAAAGAGAAAAATCTTGTCCAGCTTTCACAGGTCAAACTGCTGGCGGGATTTTGACCAAAATTCACAGTAGAATTAAGTGTCCTTAGTATGGACACTTTCTTAGTTTACTCCGGAACATTTACTGTTTTACTGTAATAGTTAAGATTAATACTGACAGATAACTTGAAACAGGAAGTTGAAATAATTTTGCTAAAAATTACCACAACAAAATGTGAGGACTCATCTTATTTTGAAACTTAGTTAAAAGAAGCACATTTTACAATTAAAATGTTTGTCAATGTGTTTGCCCCTATGACCCAAAATAGCCCTGCTCAGGGTTCACCTTTGTTACATTGACTTATTAAGGAAACCTGAGCTTTGAAATTTTCTCCTTGGAATTTAAATTGCTGAAAGCTTTGATATTTTGCTAGCATACATTTGTATAGCAATGGTTGTCTGAAACTATACTAGATTTATATTTAGAGAGATTAGATATTTAACATGTAGCATTGCCTATAGTGAACCTCTATAAAAATAAAAAAAATGATGCCCCTTTGATCCAAATTGGTCCCACCTAATGACCTACTTTAGCATTTAAGAATGTGTGAAGTCGAATAGAAATGGATATCAGCTGAGCGATGTAAGGCCATTATGGCCCTCTTGTTTTGTTTTTGACCGTTACATTTTTACGCTCCCGCTGAAGGGTGAGCATATAGTCGCCGCTTTGCCCGTTCGTCCATCCGCTATTCTCTTTGAAAGTCTCTATAACTTTGAAATCACAAGAGTTATCAACATGAAACTTTGTAGGACGATAGATCTCATTGAGTAGGTGTGCAGTGCACAAGAACCGTAACTCTGCCTTGCCTAATTTTTTGAATTATTGCCCTTTGTTTATTTTTACACTTTGAACTTTGTCCGGGACATAACTCTAAAACTATGGGAGGTATCAACATGACACTTTGCAGGTAGATAGATCTCATTGAGATGGTGTGCAGTGAACAAGAACCATAACTCTGCCGTGCCCAATTTTTGAATTATTGCCCTTTGTTTATTTTTACACTTTGAACTTTATCTGTGACAGAACTCTAAAACTATATGAGATATAAACATGAAACTGTGTAGGTAGATAGGTCTCATTTGGTAGAAGTGCAGTGTTGAAGAACCATTACTCTGTCTTGGCTAATTTTGGAGTTATTGCCCTTTGTTCATTCTTACACTTTGAACTTTGTCCGGGAAATAACTCTTAAATTATAAGAGATATCAGCATGAAACTTAATAGGTAGATAGATCTCATTAGGTAGATGTGCAGTGCTAAAGAACCATAACTCTGCTTTGCCTTATTTTGAAGATATTGCCCTTTGTTTGTTTTGACTTTTTGACTTTTGTCCGGGACATAACTCTAAAACTATAAGAGATATCAACATGAAACTTTGTAGGTGGATAGATCTCATTGGATAAAACTGCAGTGCTTAAGAACCTTAACACAATCTTGTCTAATTTTTGAATTATTGCCGTTTGATCATTTTTAGACTTTGAATTTTACCTGGGACATAACTCTGAAACTATAAGAGATATCATCACAAAACTTTATAGATAGATAGGTCTCATTGAATAGAAGTGCAGTGGAAAAAACCATAACTCTGCCTTGCCTTATTTTGGAGTTGTTGCCCTTTGTTCATTTTTTTATACTTTCCTGTGTCCAAACCCTTCTCAGGGAACATCACCCGGTTCAACTGGTTCTTGTTCTTATTGATCTGAGACATTGGTGGCTGCTGACTTTCCATAGTAACCAGTGCATTAAACAGGGTCATATACAGGGTACATATAATAAAAAATTATTAAATAAAAACAAGACAATATATATAGGGTACATATTAAAGAAGACTTTAATAATTATTGTCAACAATAAAAGATGAAATAAGTATAAAGGTGACAGCTAAAAAAATTTCTTACTGTATAAAAAAAACTTTGAAAAAAAACTTCATCTTATCAACTAAACTTTAAAATTATTTTCACAAGCAATATCTTCCTCTTCACAAGAGGCTCTTGACTCTAAAATGTTAAGTCAGATATTCAAATGCCTGAAGTTGGATTCATTCTTTCAGTTTCACATGTTTTAATGATATATCAAAATAATATGTACTAAAGTGTGATGACAGTCCTATCTTTTGACATTTGAATAAGCTTGATACACACAAGCAGAATATGATCATTGAAAACTAAAGTCTTCATACTTTTCTTTTTTTATCCAAGTTTATTGGCTAACCAGTAAGCCAGAAAGGAGCTTACATATATGGATGCTTGCTACATTGTTCCTTGCCCTTTGTTGAAGAGAAAGCATGTAGCAGTTTAATGCTTGTTGAGGTCTGTTTTCTTGTTCCATACATTGTCCTAAAATGTTTAGAGCTGTTTCTCTATGTTGTAGGTTTTCATCTGTTTCTATGGTTCTTATAAGTTTACAAAGTGCTTGTTGTTGATCTTGATGTCTATGTAGATGACTGTAGATCTTGTATTGTAGGAAGTATAAGAAAGGTAGAGAATCAACTACCGCCCAGTCCATCCAATAGTCATCATGCTCATCTCTGTGTATCATGTCATCTTGTGTAGATCTGAACATTTCATATTGTAGTTCATGAGGAACACAGTTGATCTCTCCCTGTATAAATATGACACAAAAAGCTGTCATATTTTTGAAATAGTCCTCACTTTGTTCACGACATATCCTCTGGTACTCTGCTGTTACTCTAGGGAAAAGCTTGAAACTGCAGCGACAGATAGGTAAAACAGGATAAGAATAATATTGTTGTTCTGTGTGTCTCAGAATTATTTCAGCTTTCTCCATATCTCCTGTACTGTAAAACACTGAAGCCAATTTAAGTCTGCTAGATGAGATATCTGAGTTTAAACCAGCTGATAGCCAGACCAATGCTTGAGGTGGCACTTGATTATTCTCACTAATGCTGGATGATGCTAGGATAGATCCATATGTGGTAAAAACAAAAGGTGCTAGTAACTTAAATGCAGCATGTTCTAATCTATTATCATTATCACTGAATGTCATCAATATAACTATATGTTGCCTTATTGTTGTAATGTTTTTATTGTGTAAATGGTCTAAAACTAGCTTATGCATTTTACTTATGTGGTTTGCAATGTTTAAATATACTGTCTTCATAACATGTTCATATATTTCAAGGGAAGCAGGAAAATAATGTGGTACCCTGTTCAGTTTAACTTGAAGTCTATAACCAAGATTATCAATATCAATACTAAGTAACCGTTGTCTATCATTCTGTATAAAATCACAAATATTTTTTGAAAGTTCATTTTTTGTCTCAGCGGTAAATTGCCCTGCCATCAAATTATTTTCAGGTATAATGAAATGTGAACAACAGTCATTCTGTACACAACTGTGTAATTTCAATAAGCAGTATGTTAAACATGTATATAAATTGTTATCTTTCCATATTTGTGACTCTGTGTTTTCTATACAATGTAATAGAACTGTTTTGCACATGAAACTTGATATATTGATTTCATTTTGAGGATTAAGGAAGGACTTAAGAATCATTTTCAATAGTACATAGCACCTAATTTGTGTTATATTTAGATTAAACATAACACATCTTTCTGCTGATGATGTAGATATTCTCCATTCCAGTTCAGGATATTGACTGACCTTACTTCCAGTTGCAACAACAAAACACCCAGTATTGGCTGCATATCTTCTCATCTCTTGTGTTGGCCATCTGCCAATACCCTGTCTATGTAACCAACCTGTTGCTGATTGAGGCCATGATTTACACGGATAAGCAAGCACCAAGTCATGATCACATACTCCAGGTTGTCCTTGTTCAGCAATAGATGGTCCATGCTGCTGCTGCGCACCCTGAAGTAAATCATGTATACTTGTGTTTTTAAACAATATTCTTCCTCTTCCATCAGTAATATGGTGTTCATCAGGAATGACAGTGATAGGAAGAGGTTCATCATGTCTGAGTCGTTGTAAGAAACAATACCCGGGGGTAGTGTTCTCATCCTGTATCATGAGGTAGTTTCTCTTGCCATGTTCCCACTCTGACCAGTCTTGTATTATATTGGCTTCATGATTACAGCATAGCATATCAAAGTCTGAATCAAGTCCTATAGTAGTTGTACCTTCACTTTGACTCCCTAGGTTATAGTAAGCTACATTTTGACAAATTAACCTGTCTGTGATATTACATATAGTCTCCATCAGCATGCTGTTTCTTCTCCTTCCCATCACCATTCTTTCATTGACACCAATGTCATGTAAAACCTCTGATAACATCAATGATAAGTTTTCTCTGCAGTCAGGTTCTTGAAACATTCTGTAATATATTAGTAAAAGAGAAAATTGTTTTGGTCAGCAGTCAAATTGGTTTTATCACATACTTCTACTTGTTACTAATTTGTCCTTAATCTGGACATTAGGAAACATAAGATAAATAAGTTCGGAAAGTTATCAATTGATCAAGATTATTGCATATTTTTCTTTATTTGGTTGTGGTATTTTTTTTATCTATTACGTAAATTTGAATATTTGTATATAAGAGAGACACTAAAATTTAACACTCATTCAATTATTCATGTAACTATCTCTTACATAATTCATTTAATACAAAAGGCAAATAGTGTGTATAAACAGGTATAAGTATATATGATAATAAATGAAGCTGAGTTAAAATAAAGTTTAAAACTTACTTTGAATTTTGGATAAAGATTTCTTAAAAATAATCAAGAGAACAATATTTCTTTTCATTTGACCAGATATGTGGAAATTTAGATTTATATAACACCACAATATATTGTGAAAAAAATACATTATAATGTAAAACATAATTATGTATATTTCTATTTAATTAAAATACATAATTTATTTTAACAAATATTTTATTTTTTTGAGATTGATGAAAAGGAGACACAAAAATTAAAAACACAGTGTCTAAAATATTGCCTGAACTACATTCTTACATAATTTATTCTATATAAATGAGAAACTGTGTATTTAGAATAAAGTTTTAAACTTACTTTGAATGTTGTATTTAACAGAATTTTGTAAAAATAATCAAGAATAACTGTTTCTTTCCTTTTTGACGAGATAGATGGAAAGTTTGCTATTTTTTCTTCCTCTCTTGGTTTTGAATGAAATGAAAGGGAAATAACTCACTTCCTTTCATAACAGTGGTAAGGAGAGTTAATTAAATAATGTCCCTTTTACATTTTTTAGCTCACCTGAGCGCAGCATGCTCATGGTGAGCTATTGTAATCCCCCACCGTTTGTCGTCATGTGTCTGTGTGTCATGCGTCATGAACAATTTCTTGACACAACATATCCTCTGAAACCAATAACTGCACAGTAACCAATTGATCCCCTGCCAAACTTGTGCAAATAGTTCCGGACTGTTGCATAAGTAGGTCATGGGGCCAGAAAAGGAGTTTCAAAAATGCAAACTCAAAAATCTTCTTGTCTGAATGTACATGACCCAGAGCTTTGATATTTGATATATGATATCATCTTTAGGTCCTCTAACAAAGTTGCCCCGAGTGACAAAAAAGGCCCTGCCCCGGGGGGATCATAGTTTTTCCTTATATGTATATATAGTTAAAACTTAAAAAATCTTCTCCTCTGAATTGACAAAGGCTACAGCTTAGATATTTGGTGTGAAGCATTGTGTAGTGGTACTCTACCAATATTGTTCAAATTATAGGCCTGGTTTTAAAATTTGCCCCACCCTGGGGTCATAAGTTTCCTTATGTGTATATAGTAAAACTTAAAATAATTTCTTGTCTGTAGGTTTATGGCTTAGAGTTTAGATATTTAGTATATAATATCATTAATAGGTTGGTCAAATTTGCCCCTAATGTCAAAATAAGCCCGCCATGTGAGGGTCATAGATTTTCCTTATGTGTATATATTAAAAACTTAAAAATTCTTCTCCTCTGAATTGACAAAGGCTAGATGTAAGGTATTTGATGTGAAGCTATTTGAAGTGGTACTCTACCAAGATTGTTCAAATTATAGCCCTGAGGCCAAAAGTAGCACCGCCCTGGGGGTAACGGGTTTTCTTTACATGTGTATAGTAAAAACTTAAAATATCTTCATACGGCTTAGAGCTCTGATATTTGGTTTGTAATATCATCTATATTTCCATCACAATAGTTGTTCAAATTTTGCCCCTAGTGTCAAAATATGTCTTCCCCGGGGATCATAGGTTTTCCTTATATGTATACTATGTATAAAGTAAAATTTTAAAAAACTTCTCCTCTGAATATTGAGAAGCTAGAGGTTAGAAAATTGGCATGAAGCATTGTGTAGTCAAATATAGCCCTTGGGTCAAAATTGACCCAGCCCCGGGGGTCATAGGTTTTCCTTATATGTATATAGTAAAAAGTTAAAAATATTCTTCATCACTTTGTCATGTTAATCACTGGAAGGAAACATGGCCTGTGAAATATTTGTTGTCATATTTATCACTTGAAGGAAACATGGCCTGTGAAATATTTGTTGTCATGTTTATTACTTGAAGGAAACATGGCCTGTGAAATATTTGTTGTCATGTTTATCATTTGAAGGAAACATGGCCTGTGAAATATTTGTTGTCATGTTAATCACTGGAAGGAAACATGTCCTGCGAAATATTTGTTGTCATGTTTATCACTTGAAGGAAACATGGCCTGTGAAATATTTGTTGTCATGTTTATCACTTGAAGGAAACATGGCCTGTGAAATATTTGTTGTCATGTTTATCACTTGAAGGAAACATGGCCTATGAAATATTTGTTGTCATGTTTATCACTTGAAGGAAACATGGTCTGTGAAATATTTGTTGTCATGTTTATCACTTGAAGGAAGCATGTCCTGTGAAATATTTGTTGTCATTTTAATCACTTGAAGGAAACATGGCCTGTGAAATATTTGTTGTTATGTTTGTTTCAGGCAAACTTTGAGCCATTGCCGTACATTGCTGAAAATGAGCTTGATTGGCCGGAACTCTCTTATGGAACTGGTAATGATACTTTCTTGTATATATAAGATCGTAAAGTAAAGATAGTTTCAATAGATCCAATATTTGAGCAATATTATACAATTTTTGACTTAAGTGAGCCATCGAATATGATGTGATATTCACCAGCAGACTGAGGTGATAGGGCATCAAACAAATAATATAAAATGAAACGTGATTAAGCATTTAAGGATGTTATGATCATCGAATATCTGATTTTGTTTTAGAATCAGGGAAAATCCTATTCAGCCATTTAATGATTTTATTTCCAGGGAATATGATTTATTATTATATTGAATGGATATTGAATGAGTGTAGATTAAATAACATGTTGAATAAAATCACATTCTGCAGCCTCTGCTTTGTATAGTTGAGATCTCTACTGATATTTTTAGGATTTATGAATGCTACAGAGGAACTGAGTAAAGTTATACATGGTCATACTGATTCTTTATACCTGAGACTATGGCAACGGAACAGATGTAACTTTAGGGATTATCAGAACATTGCCGTGAATGGTAAGTTTCGATTTTAGTGTTTTAATGTATCTGTATTTTTTAATTAAAGGTCAAGTGATGAAGGTCAATGCTGTGTATTTAAGTCATTTGCTCTACAATCCTACAGTTTTCTTAATAGTCTTAGGGCCAGTTACACTGAGACGGTCAGTCCCCAATCGGTCATTTAATTTTAAATTTACTCGCTGTTATGATCGGTTGTCATCTGGTTTTCTGTGTAAACGGCCATCGGTGACAGAAAGGAACTCAAACGGGATTGGATCGGTGATAAAAATGCTGAAAAACTATCGGTTTTTATCGTTTGTAAATCGGAGCTAAATCGGGCGTTACGCTGATTAATCGGTGTTTGATAGCTAGTCATCAGTGGACACTTTCCGTCAGATATGGCCGGTGATTCATATTTGGTTATCTTTGTCCGATCGGCGATATCGGTGATTAAGAGCTTGCATATCTCGTGATATAGGTTGCTGTCGGTTATTTGTAAAATATTTTCACCGATCGAGAATTTTAAACATGCTTAAAAATCCCAATTAGTAATTTTTCACCGATAAAACTTATCTTTCCTCAATAGCATTTGATAAATGGAAAACAGGTTACCAATAGGTGATATCGGTGTTAAATACGGTGTCATCGGTTCACTCCATAATTTGGCTAAAAAAACTACCAATCAATCACTGATGGCTCTGTGTAACTGGGGTTATCTCGGAAATTAAGAATTTTTTTGGTTTTTTCCAGTGTATCAGTAGGTACAAACAAACTTTTACAATAACAGCTTCGATAATAAGCACAACAGGTTGACTGATCTATTGTGATGGGTTATGTGCATAGTGAAGCTAAAACGGTTAAAGTTTGTACCTACGGATTAGCTGGGAAAAACCCGCATTTGCTGAGTTCTGGATAACATCAATTCTGTAAGTAATTATATTAAAAACCAAACTTAAAAAAAAATCATATAATCTTTTGATGTTTACTTAAATGCACCTTTTCATGATATCAATTAAGGAATGGTAAGAATATGATACACTAGATGTTGTAAAAAAAACATTTTATTTTCTATTAGAATAGCACTTTTGTCATATTTTCATTTTTTTCTTTCATTGTTTTTTTGTTCATATTTTAATCAGGAGCTAGAGCTAGCTCAATGGTTGATACCATTGAAAAAAGGTATATATTCAAACCTATGTTAAAGACCACCTCTAAATATAAAGACCACCCATTCATCACTCCTAGTTTTCATTCCAGATACATTTGATTTTCACTTATGAACTTCAATCTGTTGCAAATATACAGCCAAACCCACTTTATCTGGGCCTAACCTTTTCCATTTTTTTATTCTCAATTAAATGTGGTCTTTAATGTTGAGTTTGACTGTCCAATGTATGATGAAGTAAAGTATGTGATTATAGTACATAATTATGACGTATATAACCCTAAATTTTGGCTGCGAATGTGTTTTTTTAATGGAATGGTACAAAAATTTAACAAGCACAGAAGTCTTGCTGCTTTCTAAAACATTCTATGTTGTGCTTTGTATGAGAGTTAGTAAACTGGTTGATTCTATGTGATATTATGGGATGTTTAAATGTTGTTTGCTCATCATTAAATATCAAAACCAACAAACTTTGCTTACACAAAAATTGTTTGCACATATAGTTTACACAGTACAACAGTACATAGATATAACACAACATATATAAAGGTTACACAGAACACTACACATTACACATTTAATGATGGTTGCATGCCAGACTTTGGGGTAAGGCACCACATAGAAGTTTAATTTACATATACATGTAACATTAATCTAACATAAGGGTTTAATAAACAGTACATGAAGAAAAACAAAATATCAGTTAAACTTCATGTGAAGTCAGCATACAGAATACACATTATATTAAAAAAACATAACTTACACATTACGTAAAGAATACATACCCTTTATGTTACATAAAGAAAACATATCTTTCAGATAACATAAAGAATACATACCTTATATATTACATAAAGAATGCATATCTTACACATTACATAAAGACTACATGCCCTACACATTACATAAAGAACACATACCCTACAAATTACATAAATAATAAATACCTTACACATAACATAAAGAATGCATTTCTTACACATTACATAAAGAATATATACCATACAAATAAATACCTTACACATTATACAAAGAATACATGCCTTACACATTACATAAAGAATACATAAAGTACACATTACATAAAGAGTACCTAAAGTACACATTACAGAAAGAATACATGCTGTACACATTACATAAAGAATACATGCCTTACACATTACATAAAGAGTTCATAAAGTACACATTACAGAAAGTATACATGCCTTACACATTACATAAAGAGTACATAAAGTGCACATTACAGAAAGAACACATACATTACACATTACATTAGAATACAAACCTTATAAAGTACATAAAGTGCACATTACAGAAAGAACACATACATTACACATTACATTAGAATACAAACCTTATAAAGGTTATATTCCTACACATATACAATGTATGAGGAAGATATATATTAAACTTAGATCTCAGGTATTTGATTGGTCAAAAGCTGCCATGGAATATACATTGACCAATGAAAATCCTGATATTTTAGACAGAACTCAGAAAGAAAGAAAAAATACCTGAAGGCCAGGTTTCTTTCCACATAATTTTTACACAGTTTGTAAAACATTTCATAGCACATAATTAGGTAACACAAGACCTATTCAAATTGCACATCACATCAAGTTGCATGGTGCATACATATTATGTAGCACAAATAAAACTTAAACAACAAATAATGGAACTCTACACTTGTGGCACTGGGCACTCAGTATTCACCAAGTGAAAACTGCTGTCAAGTCATGGAATTTACTTCATATGCATTATGGTAATAGAGATGTCCATATTGCTATAATGTAAATAAAAAATGCGATATGAACAATTTTTCTTTTATTGTAATGATTGGTATAATGATTGATATTCAAAAATTCAGAAGTCATGTACATGTAATGTCATCAGTAAGAAAATGGTTTCTGAAAACAACAAATAGCATGTATTGATTATTATTCCTGCATAAAAAATTCCTAATATCCTGTATATATGTACATGTTTGTATGCATTTGCATTGAAAATATTGGTATTAATACACTTGTTACTATATATAGTAACAAAATTGCCTATGATTTCAACTGATTATGAGTGTCACGTGACCTATTATGAGTTTGTGGCCCGGGGCCGAGAACTAGTTATCAGCCCGCAGAACATGTGCACGTGCACAAACTGAAACAATGACGTCATATTTTACGTCATCAAACAGTTAACTGTAAAAGTGAAAGTAGGTTGTCAGCACGAATCGCTTTATTTTTATTATGAGAGCTTAAGCGTATTTAGTACAAACACATTTTTGTTACTTTTGAAATTTGAAGAAATAATACGACAAATTTATGCCGAAAAAAAGAAGAAAGAAAATAAAACTTGCTTCTTATAGATTCTACTGCTTTGAACACACAAACAGTAAACATCTCTGCACAGAACAGTAGAAGAGTAGACAAGAATTTCAACAAAAGAACTTTTTTTTTTTTTTTTAAAAATGCTACTATTAGATCTACCAAGTGTATTAAAGACATTAATACACGTCAGAGTAGGGCCGGAAGATGATAATCGGCCCTGAATGAATAATGGCCCTCGGGCTTAGAAGCCCTCGGGTCCATTATTTATTTTGCGGGCCGATTATCACCTTCCGGCCCTCTCCTGCCGTGTATTAACCTCTTACTCCTTCATTATTTCCCATGAATACTGATTCTGCATCTCATTATTAAAGATCCTGAGTGTATGTTGTAATTAAGGTTGTTACCACACTTAGGGGAAATTTTATATATGTATATAATTACGCTTCTAAAACAATCTTCAAACACCAAAGAATATGTAAAATATGAACTGCAAATATTTGTCCACATTACATGTAATCATTTCAATATATGCATTCATTTCTTATTGAAAAATTTGACTTAGACTTTATAGAAAATATATTTCTAATTATATCCCTTTATTAACATGAAATGTAAATTCGTTAATAGCTTTACAAATAATGCTTTTTGGAACTAACAATATTGATGAATCTTCATTTGAGCATTATATTTGAGCCGCATCACAACAAAACCAATATAATGTGTTTGCGACCAGCATGGATCCAGACCAGCCTGCGCATCCGCGCAGTCTGATCAGGATCCATGCTGTTTGCTATCAGTTTCTTTACTTGTTATAGGGTCGGTATGCGAACAGCATGGATCCTTATCAGACAGCGCGGATGCGCAGGCTGGTCTGTATCCATGCTGGTCGCAAACACATTATGTTGGTTTTGTCGTGACATGGCTCATTTATGATATAAAACCATAAAAAATTGTGTTGCAGGATCTTTAAATGACACAGTGTCCAGGACCCATAAAATTGATTATTTGTTTATTCATGAAAATGAATTGTTCTATTCATAATATATCATATTAAAATTTCAAACATAAAGTATGTTGTATATAATAATTTGCTTATTTACACAGTCATACAGTATATCATATATTAAAATTTTGCTTCAATTTTTATTGCACATAATTTGAGCTGTGACATGACTTTTCCAACATAGTGGTCAAATTTGACATTTTACCTTTTTCAAAGATACTATAAATGCATTCTTTTCTGAAACATTCAAGACAAATTTATTATTTCTGGACAATAAAATCTTGATTTATAATGCTATTGAACATTATTGGTGACATCGTTTTATTTGGCAAGATTGTCAAATATTTTTAGTCACTATCAGTTACAACACCAGTGGTATGTTGTGCTAAATCCTGAGAACTGATTGAAGACATATCGAAATAATGATATTATATTTTGACGTACATTTATCTCATGTCATACTGTAGGCATAAATATGGAATAAAGAAAAGTAGCAAATCTTTAAAACGTATATCAAAATATTGAACCCAGAACTGTTGATATGATAAAATACATGTACTCGGTAGCACTTTGCAATTATTGTTAAATTAAACTTAGGGGCAATTTCACATGTGAAACATGTTGGATTTTGTCTAGAAATCTAGAAATATTCGCGCTAACATGAATTTGCAGATCGAATGTCATCGTGAAGATCACGAAAATTTGAGGCCCGCAAATATTTCTACACAGACAGTTAAGTTCATTCAGGAATGGTAAAGAAAATGACGTCAGACATTCAATGGCTGCGCAAAACAATAGAAGTTACAGCATAGAGTTAATGTTGCGGTTTTATTATTTTATCGCAGGTATTGTGAATATGCTTTAAAAATACACAATACATTTTTAGGACATTATGGGAATCATAAAATGATACGTAGGCCACAAAAAAGTTCCCAAAAACTTTGTTCAAAATGCCATGAGTGATATACTTTGAGTGATATGGGTTTTATCTCACAAAATAAAAACCCAGACTTTCACTTATTTGCATAAACTATTATAACAACTTGACAGAGTACATTTAAAATAACAACGCAAAATATTGGCAAAATGAAACATCACCATATGTCTTCAGCATGACTGATGCAGTAAGGGCTATATTGCTATTTTAAAAAACCTTTTTGGTAATTTACGTGGATTGTATGCAATGTGAAAATTATTTCCTTTGTATGCTTCACGATATTTTACTTTAAAATACATTTTCTTTATTATTATGAAAGTAAGTATGGATGTTGAGTCATGCTACTTACATTATGTTTAATGATATAATTTCAAGGAAATTTTGTTTTCCACTTACCGTATAAGTACTTATTTCTGCGGGCTTAAAATTCTGCGATTTTGTTTAAAATAAGGGGTTTTAAATTTCTGCGTATCTTATTTCTGCGGTGTCATCATTCTCGCATTGATGTTTTTTATTTCTGCGTTTTAATTTAGATACTTTTACAAAAATAACCGATACAAACAGACAACATTTCAAGATGTAACATGTACATTACTTCCGTTAACCATGCAGACGACTTATAATGTGTGTTCATCGTTATCACCATGTATCAGTATATAAAATATGATAAACAAGATCAACAAGGAAAGGCGGCGTTCAATGAACGCAATAAACAAAACGTTAATAAACAAAAATCATCAGCATGCAATGACAACAATTAATTGTAATACTGTATGTGTATAAATATGAAGTGTGAAAAATAAACAATGGTAATATCGCACTTAGACACAATATATTGTACAAATACAAAGGGGTATGTTTATTGCACCCGTCAAACTGTAATAGTTTTATTTTTAAAATACACAATGTAAATCAAGCTTAGGGTGAGCGAAAATCATACAAACATGATATTTTTTTAAACAAAAAGAACAAGTAAAGTAACTTTTTTTCTAATATTTTATTCATGACGGATACATAAAGAAGAGTTATTCCCATCTACAAAGCTGATAACGGTACATGGTATTGTAATTATACAATACATGTAGTTGACATATTCCGACATACATGTAGACATAGCGAAAGGCTTAATTTTCTGCGGTTTTTAAATCTGCGGTGTCGTTATAAACCGCAGATATAGCAGAAATAAAGTTCCCGCAGAAAAAAGTACTTATACGGTAATTTTATATAAAGCACGACGGGATTTCAACAACTTCAAGCGTCTTACACCCACATCTACTAACGTGACAATTGTCTCTCAATTATATACTGTTGTTTGGAGTGTCCGCTATATAAAACAATAATGACATGTGATTTGATATCTTCCTTGTTCTGTTAACATTAAAGTGTTTATTCAAATATCAGCCACAACATTATAGAGAAAGAGAAATACTTGGAAAAGGTCATCTTGACACTGGAAATAAAATAACAATCAAAAGAATACATGTAATTATTGTTTAATCATTTTAAGAAAGTCAAGCCCCGAAAGTGCTTTCTGTATAAGGACAATATGTCAAGAGTCCTTTGAATTGATAAAATAAGATTTTTCAACTAATATCTTCCTTGAAATTTTCTTTCTTGGTACTTATGATCACGATTCAGCAAGTGTTATGTCTGGGGTTCAAGGTTACCAGAACAAGTTTATCAGTGCAGTTTATACTTTACCTCTAGGCTGTAAAAAGGAGTCATTTCTACCCATATCTTAAAACTGCGGAAAACCGTCATCATTGTGGTGAACAGTTTTATAATTTTAGTGCAGTAACAAATTTTTTTTGCTTACATACAACTGATGTGCGTACTGTTTAAAAACTGCACAGTTCCGATTGGAAAAGTGCAAATGGTATAATTTAAAAAATTGTTTCTACGATTTCGTCATTTGACCGCTATGTTGGAAATGTCATGTTTACGGCTATTATGTTATTTCCCTTCAAAGGTCAAGATCACTGTGACCCAAACATTAATGTTGACCATGAAATAAAAATTTTGGCAAAGCCTTTTAACTCAATATCACATATGTATGCACCTGGATGAGCTGAATACCAGCTAGATTCACTTAGAAACCATGAGGTCAAAGGTCAAGGTTATTGTGATCCAAAGTAGCAAATATTTATGTTGACAATAAAATAAAAATGCTTTTGTCCAAAGCCTTGTAACTTCACACATGTATGCACCTTGGTAAACAGCTGACTACCCGCCGGTTATAAGGTCAAAGGTTAAGATCACCGTGATCCAAAAAAAAGCACACTATTAACCTTATTAAAGCCTTAAAATGAAAGTGATTCCATCCAATGCTTCAAAACATTACATTCATATGAACTTAATTTGTGTATAAATTTGTAATATAAAATCATATTTCTAGATTGAATTAGAAATATAATAGCAACTTACTATACTGTGAATTTTAGTAATTTAAATTTATGAATATTTTACTTTTCTAAATTTTTAATAATTCTATTACTATTATGTTTCAGAACATCAAAAGAAAGAAGAAAACGATTATTTTCAATTTTGTAATAAAAAACATTACACATTAATTATTTTTCTCATCATATGCCGTATACCGTATAATTGTAATATGCGTAAATAACTTAATATACATGTATTAACATGGACAGGTTGTTTATTTTCAGTTTATTTAGGAACAGGACCGGAGATTATCCGTTGATTGTTATATATGCCCTGGTGGGAAATGACGTCTGCAATGGGTAACCTTTACCTCTACCTGTTTATAGTAGATTTAGAGATAATAACATGCATGCCCCACCCACTTTATCTAAAATTTACAAACATCTTTTGATGATTTAATTTAGGTACATTAGTACAGTAAAGTTTGCTTTACAACCGACCCCTTATTGCCAGCAAAATGATATTATGTACCGCCCCCTTTTTTCCGGTCCGTATTTTTTGCCTATCTAATTCAATTGCTGTAAGACCCGAAATTACGACCAACCCGCTTCTACGTACATTGTAATATGACCTTTTCTAAGTTGTATGATTTTAATCAAGTCACAAACAAGCCAAATTGAGCTTTATACGTCATATCATATAAATATATTTATTCTATTCTTATTTTGTTTCATAACTTCAATTCTTATTTCTAATTTTGTTTTACGAAAGGTATAAGAACAATCATAATAAGAAACCCATTTATGATTCTTTATCAGTTCCATTTATGACATTTGCAAGAAGTAAATATGTTTTGTGAAGTATTGTTTTTGCACCGGTTTCAGACATCCGGATACTATTGCACACATGACTACTCCTGATGAAATGAAGAAATATGCCACGATGACACTACAGTATCTGGTTGGTTGTTTTGTTTGTGTTTTCAAATTTTAGCTCACCTTAGCACAATTTGTGCACCGAGTTAAGCTCTTGTGACTGTTGATTCTTGCATCATGTGTGGTCTATCCATGGCAATGTTAGCCACATTTCTTTATACAACATGCTTGTTGAACCGTCATTGATAGGTTTCTTACTATCTTTAGCTCACCTGTCACAAAGTGACAAGGTGAGCGTTTGATATCACAACTAAGCTCTTGTGATTGCCTTTTGTGTGTTGATTCTTGCATCATGTGTGGTCTATCCATGCCTTGTTAGCCACACTTTCTTTATACAACATGTTTGTTGTACCATTATTGATAGGTTTCTTACCTTAGCTCACCTGTCACAAAGTGACAAGGTGAGCGTTTGTTATCACAACTCTTCCAGCATTCATCTGTCGTCCGTCCATAAACTTTTACTTTTAACGACATCTCCTCATAAACTGCTGAGCCAGTTTCATCTAAACTTCATTGGAATGTCCCTTTGATCATCACTTGTAAAATTAATTGAAAGAATTTAATTCCATACAGAACTCATGCAGAAAAAAATAAAAAAATCTTCTTTTAAAAGCACCAAAGAGCTAGAGCTAAGATATTTGGCATAAAACATTTTCTAGTGAGTGTATCCTCAAGTTTGTTCAAATAAAAGCCCTGGGGTCAAAATTGGCCCAGCCCCAGGGGGCCATTGATTTTCCTTAAATGTATACAGGAAAAACTTAAAACATCTTTTTAAAAAAACCAAAGAGCTAGAGCTTAGATATTTAGCATGAAACATCTTCTAGTGAGTGTCTACCAATTTTATTCAAATAAAAGCCGTTGGTTCTAAATTACCCCTGCCCTGTGGGGTCAGTAATTTTTTCTTATATGTACACATCTTTTGGAACTTTTGTTTTCCCTTAACATTGGCAACCAGTAATGTTTTTACACATGCACTGTTTCAGATACAAATATGAACTTTGTGATATCAGTTTAAGATTTAGATTTTATATCTGCTTTTGTTAATAGTTTACAATATTACTTGTTCCTTGTCATGGAGAGTTTTTATATTCAGCTGAGCAATTTCAGGGATATCATGGCCCTCTTGTCTTATTTTTAGCTCACCTGGGCGCAAGGTGCACCAAGTTTAGCTCTTGTAATTGCCTGATAAATGTCAGTCCTTGATTCTTGTGTTGTCTGTCCATGTGTTGTTATGCTCTACAATTCCATTCAACAACATTTCTGTCCCAACTACTGTGTAGATTTTCCCCAAACTATATTACAAGTAATTATCTTATAATGGTCCTTAAATTTACAAAGTCTTATAAATGGTTTAGTCCTAAAGAAAATCATTTTTATACAATGTAACTGTAGTTGAGATTATAATAAACTTGACAGAAATTATCCTTAGGTGGTTCTTTATAATGATTAAGTCTCATAAATTAGTGTTTGATGGATAAGTAGGTCACCTGGTGATAACAATGTTGTGCAAGGATAAGTACTTAAACATGGCGGAATAAGTAATAGAAAGAGCATCGAAACATGAGGCTATTTGATTAGTACTTGAGGGCATAGCCCCCAAGTATAATTCAGATCGCCAAGTGTTTTGATGTTCTTTCTCTATTGTATCATAGGCAAAAATAAAAAAAAACATATTCCCTCTTGTCACAATATAAAACCCCTGAAAAAAAGAACCAATGAACGAGTACCTGAATATGATATTGCTTTCCCTATCCCTTTGTGCACAATAAGTAAACCCCTGAAAAAATTAGCCAGTCAATGGGCATGCTCTGGAGTGCGGGTAACTAATACCTGCATACCAGTTAACCCACTGTGCATGTATATGTATACAATTTAACTCTGACATATGTTCAACAGAAAGGTCTCCAAACTATGATACAAGTGTTATTTAATTGTTCTGCTCTGAATTTGAAACTGTTCAATTAATATAGATTACATATATAGATTTTAATATTTCCCCAGGGTAGTAAAAACTTATTACTTTATACAACTTTATTTTAGTTTGCTTGTATTATGTAAAGCTGTAGGCTAAATGAAACACTTTCAAATCTGTTCCTGGAACAAACCATTCTTCGACATATTTCACCATTTCCTTTCTCATTTGTTCAATTACTCTTGCAGGAAAAGAACATTCCAGCTGGAAGTTTTGTGTTCTTTACGGGTCTTGCAGATGGGCGTGTCCTTTATGATAATCTGAAGAACAGGATACATCCGATTGGTTCACTCAGGAATGATGTCACATATTCACATTTTTATGACTATTTCAACTGTCTAGAGGTATGTCATGTTTCTATAATTTGCCCATTTCCACATTTCAATGCAGCTTGGGTTCTTAGTTCATTGTTAACAGTATGGGTAGTCCTTTCAATAATTTTGTTACAAGCCATTAAATTCTTATACATTGTATTTCAGATCTGTAAAGTAATAAAAAAAAATCATGAATCTGGAGGCATGCTTCTTTAAAGATTCAATATAATTGTAATCATACAAACTAATATGGATTTGATATGACATATAAATTTCAGATTTTTCTACACTTGTGTCAGCAGACTTGAATAATATAATTTCAAGATTACATCAACTAAAAGGTGTTGTGACTGCATGACTAGTCACTACTGTTTTATTTTTATTTTTTATTTTTGGCAGATCACTTCGCTAAAGGCTTCAGTCTCAAAAACTTCAGTTACAATTCCATTCTCAAAAACTTCACTAAAGGCTTCAGTCTCAAAAACTTCAGTTACAATTCAATTCTCAAAAACTTCACTAAAGGCTTCAGTCTCAAAAACTTCAGTTACAATTCCATTCTCAAAAACTTTGTCTCAGAAACTTCACTAAAGGCTTCAATCTCAAAAATTCCCTTCAAGGCTTCAGTCTCAGAAACTTAAGTAACAATTTCATTCTCAAAAACTTCACTAAAGGCTTCAGTCTCAGAAACTTCACTTCAAGTTTCAGTCTCAGAAACTACTCTTAAGGATTCAGTCTCAGAAACTACACTAAAGGCTTCAGTCTCAAAAAGTTCACAAAAGGCTTCAGTCTCAAAAACTTCACTTAAGGCTTCAATTTCAAAAACTACACTAAAAGCTTCAGTCTCAAAAACTTCACTAAGGCTTCAACCTCAATAACTTCACTCTGAAAAGCATCACTAAAGGCTTCAGTCTATAAAACTTCACTAAAGGCTTCAGTCTCAAAAACTTCACTAAAAGCTTCAGTCTAAAAGCTTCAATCTTTCACTATAAGCTTCAGTCTCAAAAACAGCACACAAGGCCTTAGTCTAAAAACTTCACTAACAACTTCAATTTCAAAAACTTCACTTAAAGCTTCAGTCTCAAAAACTTCACTAAAGGCTTCAATTTCAAAAACTTCACTTAAAGCTTCAGTCTCAAAAACTTCGCTAAGGCTTTAGTCTCAAAAATTTCGCTAAAGGCTTCAATCTTAAAAACTAAAGGCTTCAACCTGTTTAATGTTTATTGGCTATTTAAAGGCTTGGCTACTGTAATGCTTTGTCAAATTCTAAGTGATGTGTGTTTTTATTTCTTAAATAATAGAGTTAGTTAGACATAATCTGCACTGTTATCAGCCTGCAGTATGTTCTGTATGTCATATGTCATTCTGCAGATTGTTCAGTATTTTAGATATCACCCTGCAGTTTGTTCAGTATTTTAAATATCACCCTGCAGTTTGTTCAGTATTTCAGAAATCACCTTGCAGTTTTTTCAGTATTTCATATGTCACCCTGCAATATATTATGTTTTTCAGATATCACCCTGTACTGGTTGGATGAATACAAATGAAACTTTGCGGGACCTTACTACTAAGGTTGTGTTTTTTGGTTCTTAAAGTTCTTTAAAGGGACTCCACTGAGGTTTTTTGACATGATAGGACTGAAAATATTTTTTCCAGATAAATTTATCATTTGATGTAGGTTTAGATCACTAATCTTTTTGCAAAATTTCAGATCATTCGCGCACTTCGTTTTTCCAGAATAATTATTCAAATTGTAAAAAATGACCCAAAATGAAAAGCGTTTAAAACGTTTTTTACTCAAATCGGGCTAAGAAAAGCACAACAATACGATTTTTAATTTATTTCAAAGTATTTTTATGCCCCCACAATGTGGGAGCATATAGCGTTGCACTTGTCCATCCGTCCGTCAGTCCGTCCGTCCGTCCATCTGTCCGCACTACCGAATAGGGATAGGGGGCCATCTAACTGTAAACAGAACAAAAGAGAACAATAGAGTTCATTCCGTAACAATAGAGTAAGGGGCCATTGGCCCTCTATTAAACAAAAGAAAATAACAAAAGAAATGGCCCCTTGTTCCATTTCGGCCGGACGTCCGTCCGTACGTCCCAAAATCTTGTGAACGCAACTCCTCTTAAACCGGATGGCAGATTTTGCTTAAACTTACAGGGATGAACAATCTTAATGTGTAGATGGCAGTAAAGGAATGAATTTTCGCTGCGACCAAATTAAACAGAATTATGGCCCTTTGTTGATTTTTTCACTATATACTATGTAGAAATTTTGTGAACGCAACTCCTCTTAAACCGGATGGCAGATTTTGCTTAAACTTACAGGGATGAACAACCTTAATGTGTAGATGGTAGTAAAGCAAGAAATTTTGCTGCAACCAAATTAAACAGAATTATGGCCCTTTGTAGATTTTTTCACTATATACTATGTAGAAATTTTGTGAACGCAACTCCTCTTAAACCGGATGGCAGATTTTGCTTAAACCTAATGTGATGAACAACCTTCAGGTGTAGATGGTAGTGGAGGAAGGAATTTTTGCTGCAACCAAATTAAACAGAATTATGGCCCTTTGTTGATTTTTTCACTATATACTATGTAGAAATTTTGTGAACGCAACTCCTCTTAAACCGGATGGCAGATTTTGCTTAAACTTACAGGGATGAACAACCTTAATGTGTAGATGGTAGTAAAGAAAAGAATATTTGCTGCAACCAAATTTAACAGAATTATGGCCCTTTTTTGATTTTTTCATTATATACTATGTAGAAATTTTGTGAATGCAACTCCTCTTAAACCGGATGGCAGATTTTGCTTAAACTTCCAGGGATTAACAACCTTAATGTGTAGATGGTAGTGAAGGAAGGAATTTTTGCTGCGACCAAAATTTACAGAATTATGGCCCTTTGTTGATTTTTTGTTTTCAACTTGTGGCACATGTAGTCCAAAAAATATTTGACCTAGAGTCATAAGATTGACAGAACAGTGGCGTGTGGGGGCATCCGTGTCCTATGGACACATTTCTAGTTTTATCTATCTTTGCATATATTTCCGTTTAAAGTGCTCCAGCTCATCTATGTAAGAAATTCAGATGTTATATTTTTAGGCTTTCAAACCTCGGTGGTGTCCCTTTAAACATTAGCTACATGGTAGAATTTCGATGTTTGATTTGTATGTAAGGAAAAACAGTCAATATCAGTATGAAAGTCATTATAGTTTAAGGATGTTCATATTTTACAACATTAAACATTAAAAAAATAGTATAAAATAATTTGTTGTACATAATTATACTCTCCCGAGCTTCAGCATTCTGGTTGATATCATGGTTATCTGAACATGTGCATATTTGCATATATTGCGCCACCTATAAAAATGGCAGATTGACCTAAATTTTATTGTCTTTGATCATTCATTTAAATTATGATTGATATTTGTACTAAAATTAAGAAAAATGCAACAGTCAATATCAATTATTTAAAGCAAGTGTTTTTCATTCTTGCAAATTTACAGAAATATTATATAATGTGGTGGCGTCCATGGCCGAGTGGTTAAGGTCGTTGACTTCAAACCAATTGCCCCTCACTGCTGTGGGTTCGAATCCCGACAGGGACTTTTGATTCTTTCATGTGAGGAAGCTGTCCAGCTAGCTTACGGACTGCGGTGGTTCTACTCAGGTGCCCGTTCGTGCCTGAAAAATTGCACGGAGGGGCACCTGAGGTCTTCTCCACCAGTAAAGCTGGAACGTCGCCAAATGACCTATACTGTGTCGGTGTGACATAAAACCTAAGTCAAAAAACCCAAAAATATAATGCGGTCCCCCATGTGGCTGAGGGGTTGCCTTAATGGTTAAGGCATCAGAATTGCAGCCACCGTTTATCCCTGTGTGATCAAAAGAGGCGACTAAATTGGTTTGAATTACTGGAGTCTATAAATCTCTTAGCTCCAGCAGGTGAGGTGGTTTTGACCGCAGGTGTTGCTTTAAGTATGTAACCCCCGAGGTTAGCCAAAAATCATCTTTCCTGTTTCAGCTCCATATGACCTAAATTCTGTTGGTGAGCCGTAAACCCAAACAAAACCAACAATATACCGAAGAACCCGAAGGCTCCATCCTATTTAAAAGCTGGTAAATCTGATGACAATCTGAATTCACATAAAATTTCACATTTCCAAATGTTTTTATTTTAGAGGGCTGTAGAACTGAGTGCTGCACTGCAGGAAATTGTAAATACTTCTGCTGGGAATTACAAGAATTTCAAACTTTATTACAATGAAAATCCAATAAATAAAGGTAAAATATAGAAGAATTTTATTTTGATTTATATTTAATTTGCATCTGAATAGTTATCATTTCAAAAACATATCATTGCCAATACATATAATTCATTATTAATATACTTACTACATGTACACATTTATGACCCTACAAGTACACAATTATGACCCTACTAGTACACATTTATGACACTGTAAGTATGAATTTATGACACTACAAGTACATGTTTATGATACTACTAGTGCAATATATATATTTATGACACTACAAGTACACGTTAATGATGCTACTAGTACACGTTTATGACACTACAAGTGCAATATATACATTTATGACACTACATGTACACATTTATGACACTACAAGTACATGTTTATGACACTACATGTACACATTTATGACACTACAAGTACACATTTATGACACTACATGTACACATTTATGACACTACAAGTACACATTTATGACACTACATGTACACATTTATGACACTACAAGTACACATTTATAACACTACAGGTATACATTTATTACAATACAGGTACACATTTATAGATATGTACATATTTATAACTGTACATGTACACATTTATGACACTACATGTAGGTACACATTTATGACAATACAGGTACATATTTATAACAGTTCAGGTACATATTTATGACATTACAATAACACATTTATGACATTACAATAACACATTTATGACACAAGTGCACATTTATGACTCTACAAGTACTCATTTATGACACTACATCTACATATTTATGACACTACAGGTAAGCATTTATGACACTAAAAATTTCACATTTATAACACTACAAGTACACATTTATGACTCTACAAGTACTCATTTATGACACTACATCTACATATTTATGACACTACAGGTAAGCATTTATGACACTAAAAATTTCACATTTATAACACTACAAGTACACATTTTATGACACTACAGGTAAAACATTTATGACACTACAAATTACCCATTTATGACACCTACATGTAACATTTAAACACTTCATGTACACATTTGTTACATACAAGTACACATTTAATGACACTACAGGTACTTTTCTCATCACACTACAAGTACTACATTTATGACCTTACAGGTACTTTCTCATCACACTACAAGTACCAACATTTATGACACTAACATTATTACACATATATGATACTAAAGTACACATTTATGACATTTACAAAAACTATTTTAAGACACTACCTGTACATTTAGTCATTACTTTATCTGAAAGATATCACAAGAAGTACATCTAACTCACTTTCTTTTAAATGATTATCACTAAAAATATATGTTTAGCACTACATTTGAGTGTTATCATTTTTGTGTCGCCTCTACGGAGTAGTGGCGACATATAGGGATCACTTCTCCGTCGTCCGTCTGTCCGTCCATCTGTCCGTCACAAAACTTGTCCGGACTACTTTTCATAAACTACTGGTGCAATTTCATCCAAACTTTACAGGAATGATCAGTACCAAGTCTAGTTGTGCATATTGTCAGCATTTTCCGGTTCAATGATTTTTGTCAGAGTTACGGCCCTTTAATAATTTTATTTTTAAAGTTTGTCCGGACTATTTCTCTTATACCACTAATGCAATTTCAATGAAACTTTACAGGATTGATCTGTAGCTCAAGTTCTTGCGAATATTGCACGGGTTTTTCGGTTGAATGATTTTTGGCCGAGATATGGCCCTTTGATAAAAAGGTGTTTTTTTCTGTGTGTTGCCAGATACACAAAAGCTTGTCCGGACTACTCCTCATAAACTACTGGTGCAATTCTATCCAAACTTTACAGGAATGATCAGTACCAAGTCTAGTTGTGCACTGTCCGTCTGTCTGTCCGTCTGTCACAAAACTTGTGACATAACATAACAACATAAAATTGGCCATCATGAGGCGACACATGTGATTACTGATCGCTCTTGTTGATGATAATCACTACAAGTACACATTTATCACAACATCTGAATGGCAATAAATGTAAATACATGTTTATCACTACATCTGATTGGTTATAACTACTGTATATCATGTAAATCACTACATCTGAATGGTTTATCACTATAAAAAAATTGTGCGCTATTCTTGCCTGAAAGAATATGTCTAAATTCCATGTTTCGTTACCTATTTTTAGTATAAAGAAACCATTGCTTGTGCCATGTTCTTTTTTTCCACATGCTAGTGTGATGGCATTTGATAGTTATGTTTTGATAATAGGAGCTATAATAACATTTATTTTACATTACATTATGCCCTGAGTCATGCATATTAAAAATGTGTAACTATGATGCGTAATCATGAGAATCTTAATGCATGTTTTCTTTTTTGTTATTGTATCCTTGCACGCACAGTTTTTATGCAAGAATACTGGTTTTCTACATATTAAACACTTATACATACATACTTGTATATACATGTACTCTATTCTAGTTATAAATGAATGGAAGACAGCTGGGAAACCAGTTTATGAACTTCTGGAACCAGTTGATGGTTTCCATGCCAATCAGGTCAGATATTGTTCTTAATTTGAATTTAAACTGTATGATGTGTCATTGAAAGGCTATGAAAAAAATAAAAATATTAAAATTATTTACATGTAATATGTTTAATAATATGATAATTTCAAGTGTAGAGCTTGAGTTGATGTCTGGATACAGTTTTTGTTTGTCAGTCTTTATCCAACAGAATACACTGGCTAAAAAAATTATTGAATGGTTACGGGGTGGACAGCTGCATGTTAGCAGTTTCTTCTGTGCACAACTCCTTTATTTCTCAAGAAATTTTAACAAAACTGTCTCAGACTGATTATTATCAAGTGTCCTGGGGCATATTATGGATATCTTGTGGTTTTACATTTATTTGGCAGGATTTGTTGCCATTTCATTTTCTACATAATGTAATATTGGCATACGTTACCTGGGTTTTATGATAATTTCATACCTTTTCTTTTCTGAATTTAAACGCACAACATCATCTAATATTCAAATGCAGTTGCTTTTTATATTTTAGAAATACTTTGTTTGTTTCCAAGTGTAAAAAGTATATTTTCTTGACTTTTTTCACAGAGAGGAAATGCCGAGGTAGCAAGAGTTGTGTGGGAGGAGCTACTTCAAAAGTGGCCGGAGTCTGTGGGCAAGGAAAACCCCTTCAATGAAGAGATCAAGCAAATGTTTGGTGATCAAGGCGGCTATAGATAGAGTATCAAAGATATTACTACATGAAGCTGTTTAAATATGCAGGATTTGATTCTTAAGACATCAGTTTAGAATATAACCATAATATTTTGTTGTTTTTTTTGTCTTTAAAAAAAAAAAGCAATTGTTTCGATCATGATTGAATAATTTTATCAATTCATTTTTAATCAGGAAGACTTTTCTTTAGTAAATGATTGTTGATCTCTGATTTCAGGCAGTTTTTCAATTTTTTTAAAATTTAGAATTTTGGGAAAAAATTTGGGGAAAGCGTTTTACAAGCGTCTTAGTGTCCCAAAAACCCTTTTCGACTTGGTAAATTTTTTTATGCTTACCCCGTTTTATCTCCAAAACATTAAAGGGAAATTTGGGCTTGAACTGAAAATACTATACTTTGTTTTCTTGTAATTCTGACATTTTTTAACACGGGCCCATAAATTTGTTTTTAACCGTTTCACAGAGTTTTTTGCCCTTTTCTTATTTGTAAAACACTGAAAAAATGGGCCGGGGCGCGATTTTGTTTTTCCCAAAAACAGTTTCTTGTTTAGGGATTAAAATTTAAAAACAATGTATATTGGATGTTTAAATGTTTTAAATTTGTTTTTTTCCATGAAAAAATTCAATCGCAATAATTATCTCAGGGAAATTGTTCTGTTAATTAATTACATTTTTTCCCCATTAATTGAAAATCTTTTGTCTTAATCTTTGTAAAAAATGTCCTTGTTTGTATTTGACCAATAGTCAATATTATTTTTGATTTTTATTGAAAAAAGTAATACTGATACAGAAAAATGATTTTAACATTTTTACGATTGATTATTTCATTGCTGTAATCTTCTTTAAGTAACCAAAAAACTATTTTATTATAGAGACAATGTGTATGATAATTTACAATTAATAATGATGAATAATTACATGCAGCCCAGTGGACCTATAAGTCACCATATTAAAGTATGTATATTAATAAAAAAAATAATGAAAATCAAATTGTGGACCAATTTACAAACTACTATTGTATTTTAATGGAATACCTTTGTAAGCAAAAGGTTCATAACGTTCCATACATCAGTTTGAGAGTCTGGAAAATAAAAAACAACAAAAAGGGTAAATTCAAAAAATGTTTTTTTTTTTGAGGGTTTCCCTTTTAAATATTTTAAATTTTAAAAAATTTCACCAACCAGACAAAACTTTTGGGTCCCCTGCCATAGAACTTGTTTTTAAAATGCCCAGGCAGTTTTTGGTTGAAATAAACTTTGTGATTTTAGAGTGTTTTAGAATTATTATTTATCTGTTGCAAAAAAGGGGTTTCCCAGGTATCATTTCCCTTTTTTTTATACTTTTTTTTTTATTTGTTGGGGTTTAAAAACCCCCATTATGCTTCAGAAATGCTTTCATTTGTATTTGTCAAAAACTTTAAATAACATACTTTTGCTATTTTTGCTCTGTTTGCAATTGGTACATGTATTTCCTATAAAAGTGAATTAGTATTTTGTATGGAAGTATGGAATACTACTTCGTTTACATTTTGCTAACTTAACAACACATTACTGCACATTCAGCCTACTTTCTTCAGTCTAAAATGCTCTAAATTCATTATTAAACACATGTTTGAGATTTCTAAAGAATTAAAAACATATATGGATTTCTGAGACATAATGTGCCTTTAAGTTTTATGTTTGTTATAGCCTGTTGTTTTGATATTAACTATTATAAAGATGGTTAAAAAAACAGTGTTGAAAGGACATAGAAATCTATATTCAGATTTATGAAGATAAGTTTTAAGACTTTAATGTGTTTTTCTGCAAAGAATTGTTCAAATTACACACCGTTGGCTGACCAACAAACAAAATAACAAAATTAATGTTCATTGTTATGTTTCTAAAATTCATAAAAGACTTTTGCTAAAGTTATAAGGAATACATCCATGCAGGAATTTTAGCAGGATGTGGAGTGAAGTTTAAGGAAAACAGTAATATGGAACAGATCCAGGTTATTTTAATGCGTTGGTAAAATAACGCCCAGTAATAAGGTAGTCTTACTGCAATGCTTTCCTGCCCAAAAATTTCTAAAGTCAGCCAATATTGTTATAAATCGGTCATTTCTTTCTGGAACATTATTTTTCACAATTTTCGGAATTCAATAATTTTTAACCTTTTATAACCGGAATTAAGTACATAATGATTAAGGATGAGTGATTTAAAAAAAATGTAATGCCAAATGTTTTGAAAAAATAATATTCCGGAAATAACCAACTTGCTACGATATTGGCTGATGTTAGAATTTTTTGGCAGGAAAGCATTACAGTATTACAGTAAGACTACCTTTAATGCGACTGAAATGTAATAGAACTGGGAAAAATACTCATAATACTGTATATTTGTTTTATTGATTTTTGTTGGACAATTTTGATGTTTATATTATTGATATATTAAATTGGCTGCTGCAAATTTATTAATTATTTTCTGCTGAAATCATATCAAAAAATAATTGTACTGAATATTTGTAATAAAGATTTTTGACAGGTTATATGGCCATATATTATTTTTTTAAAAGTGCAAGTGTCTCAGGTAATATAAGCTTTCAACCCAACTGTTGATAATCATTAATGTCATATAACCTGTCAAAAATCTTTTATAACTCATTAATGATTGTGCATAGATGAACATCATCACTGGTGCTGCAAGATGGAGCACTTAGTACATTTCCCCATTCATTTTTTATTCTTGTGTTTGGGAAAGAATTAAAGGGAAATTTTTCAAAATACCCCGGAAAAAACCCTTTTTTTCTTGTGGCTAAAAATTTTTGCAAAAATTTAGCCCTTTTTTTAGCCTTTTTGGGAAAAAAAAATTTTCAAATTTTTAAATTCTGTTTCCTTTAAAAAATTCCGAATATTTAAAACTAAGGGGAACATCTTAAATAAAAAAAAAAGCTAAATTTTATCCTTTGCTAAAATTTCTGGTTTTACAGGATCATTGTTTCATAATATCTTTCTTTTGTAAATGAGACAAGAAATTACCAATAATAAATGTATGTACTTAAAGTCTTGTTTTGTTTTGTTTAATACAGATTCAATATCTCACAATTTGTTAAGTTTTCTGAAAAATTTAAGAGGAGCCTTTTGTTACTGATTTTGACCCACCTGACCCGTTATCTTTTTACTGTTTCTCAAAGCAACTTCATTTATTTACTGATTCCAAGGCTATTTGATATAATTAGGTTTAGATTTTTAATTTTCAGTGTGGTTTGCAATTAAATTCATTATGAAACAATAGTATTTTTTCCCTGAATTTCCTTTATTTTCTTCCTCCACCAGTAAAGCTGGAAAGTTGCCATATAACTTTACTGTATTGGTGTGATGTAAAACCAAACAAAGAAAATCTAAGGAAGGAACCTTAGGGATTTTGTTTTTGCAAAAACCTTTTTTGGTTTTTAGGGGGAAGGGGGGGGGGGAAAAAATTTCCCGGGTTTCTTTTAAAAAAAATGTCTACCCTTTACTTATGTGTTCCTTCATTTGGGAATGTGTTTGGTATTTGGTTTTGTATGTCTTTGCCTCTGTCTAGGGGCAAGAGGGGTAAAAAAACCCTTTTTGTATTTTTTTACCTTTTTTGAAATTTATTTATTGACCAATTATTTAAGTTTAAAATTTTTTGGGTATGTTTTTTTTCTTGAATGAGCATTAATTTTAAGTTGTAAGGAGGGGGGTGGGGGATTTCCCTTGGCCCATGGTTTTAAGGTTTGCTGACTTCAAAAAACCCTTGGGCCCCTCACCGCTGGGGGTTCGAATCCCGACAGGGACTTTGGATTCTTTCATATGAGGAAGCTATCCAGCTAGCTGACAGAACGTTGGTGGTTCTACTCAGGTGCCCGTTCGTGCCTGAAAAAATGCACGGAGGTGCACCTGAGGTCTTTCTCCACCAGTAAAACTGGAACGTCGCCAAATGACCTATACTGTGTCGATGTGATGTAAAACCCAAGTACAAAAAAAATTTGATAAGGTCAAGGGTCACAGAAGCTAGAAATATGTTTTTCTACCTTTCCCTATGATTTGATCTTCCATTACATTTACATTCTGTCTATATTTCACCTTCATTTATCGGTTTAATTATATCACATATTTGGTATGTTTTTGACTTCCTTGAACTTCTACCCTTACATGGGGTTTCAGGTTTATTGATTTTAGGTTACTTCTTTTATGTCGTCTGCAATTTGTTATGCGGTGGCATATAGCAATTCAACTCTGTGTGTGTGTGCGTGTGCGTGCGTATGTGCGTGCGTGAGTGTGTTTTTGTTACATGGACTATATAGTAAACTCCTTAAAAACCACCAGTCCGATTTCAACCAAACTAATGCCAGGATTGTCCTTTTGGTGCTTCCAAAGTTGTTCACACAATTTGATTCCATGTAGAAACTGAAAGGAATAATAGAAATTTAAAAAGTCTTCTCTGGAACTAAAAGACCTAGAGCATAGATATTTTGCACAAGGCATTACCTCTACCAAGATTATTCAAATTATTGCCCTGGGGTCAAAATTGATCCCGCCTCAGGGGTAATGTGATTTCCTTATATGTATAAAGTCAAAATTGAAAAAAAAAATCTTTAAAACTACATGTGCTAGAGCTTAGATATTCAGCATGAAACATTGTCTAGTGACTCTCTGTTAAGATTTTGGAGTCAAAATTGGCACTGTCTCATAAGGTCATGTCTTTTCTTCAAATAATTCCCCTTGCTATAAAATCGTCCAGCTCATGAGGTTAATAAATTAAAAGGGAAGCAACTCATATTGGAATGTCTTTTATACATGTGTACATGTTATGCAATTTTTCTGGAAAAAAAACAACAAAAAACATTTAAAAGCTTGGAGGTAGTCTAAAGGTACATGTAATGACCTCTATCTAGCAAGACTGATTTTTGCCCTTCAGAGATATTCATGAAATAATTTGAGGACATTGGTTTAAACATATTTTTATTCAAGGTAATATATACATGTTAATAATTTACAATTTAAGCAGAAGGGAATTGGACCGAGAGCTACAATAGCTCATGGTAGTCCTCTCCTTTAACAAAAGCAATATGTTCATATAATACAATAATATTGGCTTATTATAATTTTAATTAAACCCTATAAAGAAAGAAAATGAAGAAAAAAAATACAAATACATGTATGCAATTGATAGAAAATAATTAAAAAGTAATAATTTGAGGACATTATGATTCACACAATGTATATTTTTTCTCTCGTAAAGGAAGGTAGTAATAGTTTAACTTAGATATCACACATTGTCTTTAATGATGGTTTTAAATCGTAAATCTTTTTTTTTGCTTGTTATGTTTTCAGATATAGATAATGCTTAATTAAAAAAATAGTGGTTACGAAAAATAACTGTAACAGTATTTTAAGTTTAATACAGCTATGTAAATGTCTGAATTTTTATCATTGAGTAAGAATACTTTTATTTGAATCAATGACTACACTATGGCTTTTGTACACATCTAACTTTGACCCCTAAATTCACTAGACACTACTGCATTATAGCAAAGGTCCTACTATTTAGTGTTGTATTAATGTGGTGGCATCTAGTTTTTGCTTGGGTTTTAAGTTGCACCAACACAGCTTTAAATACTGGTGGCTGAGGACCTCGGGTGCATTTCCAGCTGTGCATTTCTTCAGGCATGAACTGGCACCTGAGTAGAACCACAGACGTTACATGTGCTATCTGGATCATGAAGTCCCTCATGTGAAAGAACCCTTAATCTTTGTGTGAGAGGCAAGTGGTTTGAAATCAACAACCTTAACCACTCGGCCATGAACGCCCTGTTTAAGTTACTGATGCTAAGAATAGTATGTTGCAAACTTACCCATTTCATTGTAGTCTACACTTTTGTTTTATTAAAACATATAATGTAAGCTTATTTGTGATAAAATCTTTAAGCTTAAAGAACAACACTCCAGCCTGCGTACTGGAACTAACCAGTACACCATGTTCTCTGAGAAAACTTGGTTGTGACACCAATAGGGCTCAAAAAATTGTCCTTGGGTTTAGAAGGGGACACCCTGAATACAATGGACCGACATAATAGTAATGATCTTTTCTTAGGTCTTAATACGATCTGATCTCTAGGATAATTTCAATATCGAATAACAAGTATAGTATAATGATATATATTTAGTACCCTGATACCTAAATATGAATGCTTACGGTACCGTGATAGTACAGGTTTTAATCATTCTTTAACCGGTGGTGTAGTACAAAAATGCCCGGAAGAATGGCTACACGTGTTTCTTGTGGAAGAGATTTTCACTGCGTTCCAGACATAAATACAGCTTTAGATACTGCATGCAAAGCAGGGTAGCAACAAATTTTATGATATTAGTTTAAAACGTGTTTAAAATTTCATTCAGTTTTGTGATATTATTTTCATGTTTTGTTTAAAATTCGGACACCCAAATTTCGTCTAAAAGCGAATATAGTTTAGCATGCATTAAGGCCACCACGGTTACACATGTAAACGGATCCGTTTCGATTTTATTTGTTAACGTTCATGATTTTTTTAATGTTTAATCGAAATGACAAGGGCTCATCTGGAAGGGCGATTCAGGCAAAAACTTTGCCAATAATCTTAATTCCCAAAGAGTAATTATTTGGCGATGTAAAGAGCAGAGATTGTATCCGCCCATATGACGACTGCTAATGATCATTATCCAATCAGAGCGTCGCTTTATACTACCCTTATACCTGTATGCGAAGCGATAGACCGCCTACTCTAAACAGTAAATAACGAGAGCATCGGCCCGAAACTGGTATAATTGTGTGACAGTTTTGCGAGTTTAATATGTGATTAGGCGATAATTATACATTGTTTTTTCCCAATTATCTAAACAAGTGCAATATTCCCTAATTGATATACACAATGCACTCGATAATGGTGTTTAACCCGAGTAAAGGCGAGGTGCAATGAAGTTTCACGGCATTCAAAAAACTGTTAGTCAATTAAAAATGATTAATTTCATTAATGATCAGCGACTGGATTAAATTGTTAATCATAGCTTTGAATGATTTCAGTCCGTTAACATCAATATTTTACTGTAAAAATGTTATGTCGCTCACGTCATGGCTACAGGGCGAAATGCCCAAACCTAGCAGTAAAAGAAAGTTAGATGAAGATTCTGATACACCTACGTGAAAATTTAAGAAAGCCAATTCGCAAAAATCGTTTGATTGGTATGTTGTAGACAGTGCTTACGCACGTAGGCAAGACATCCCGGCTAAAACTACGAATCATGATGTAACTTGTAAATATCGAATACATGTATATAACAATAAAATTTGTCAGGAAAGAAGTGTTCTTTTTGTTTCAATAAATATATTTGTTTAAATGTCATAAATATGAGGCTCAGATTAAGATTTATCAATATTGTAAATTTCAAAAAGCATTATTTATGAAGATATTACCGAATTTGACATTTCATGAAAATAAAGGGAGGTCATTAGAAATTTATTCATATTTGTAGCTCAAAAACATTTAGATGCCATTGCCAGATCTACTATTAATTAATAAAGTGACTGTAGAAATATTATAAGTGTTGTTAATTGTGTTTATATTATAGTTAAAGGATGTATAGCCATGCATGTTAATGCATACATATTGGGTTGTTTCACTTCTCCCTAATTTTCGCGAGGAAGTCCCTTCTCCCTAAAATTTCCCCCCAGGATGAGCCCTGATGACCATATTGTCTTACAAAATATCTTAATCATAATTGCCTGTAATCATAGATTTTATCAACTCTAATTGGTTTCCAAAGTAAAAATACAGAAAAAAGGGGTTTACAACCGTCCACACAAGATTACTGTACAATTATCGCTCATGACATAAAACATTTTTGGTAAAGTTGATTTTCCTTTGATCTTTCAAAAGAGCGAAATGGGGATACAATGCAGAAAATGTTTGCAGACTCAATCGTGATGAGCCCTGAACATTATTTGTACATGTATTAAAGATAGAAAGTAATGTGGTGTAATATAGTACATAGAAGTACCACCGTTTAAACAGCATCGTTTCGGTTCTTTTCAATCGTGTAAACGTTAACAAAAATAGTAAACGTGGGAGCCTAAGCAGGCATCTGTGAATCCGAGCAGTCTGATCAGGATCCATGCTGTTCGCTATCAGTTTCTCTACTTGTAATAGAGTTGGTAAGCGAACAGCATAGATCCTGATCAGACTGAGCGGATGGCAGGCTGGTCTGGATCCATGTTGGTCACAAACACACTATGTTGGTTTTGTTGTGACGCGGCTCATATCATAACAATATATTTTATTCAACATAAAATGACTCGTCAATGCACCCATATAATTTACAGTCACTATCACACTGTTCAAATCAGATACTCAGAAATGAGTGTAATAAAAGTATTATCACATGTTACTATCAAGTAAACTTTATATTAAAAAACTATAAAACAATTGCCAAAGGCATGTGTTAGAATCTCCCGATTTGCACGAAGACAATACTGATTTCAAAATATACCCCTTTATTCTTTTTCATATTTAATTTAATCCCATATATCATATTCAAATGACTTAATTTATAATGAAACATTGTTTTTTCAATTTCCTATTATTTTCCTGATAGTTCTCTAAATTCTTTCTCATGAACATTAAATTTTGTTGAAGTTAACTTGCATTGTTAGCTAGCCTACAGATTTGATTGTATGTATAAAACTGTAATAAAATGTTCTCAGTTTACAGACTTCCCGAAAGTTGAAAAAAACTGTCAGACATTCGGTCTGACAAACCATGAAAATCTGTCAGACCGAAACAAAATCTGTCGGACTAAATAAAATTGATCAAAATCAATGTAAAAATTGTGTTTGTATTTCTAAGACACTTTTTGTTTTTTATTTTTTGCCGTAAAAATAGGCACAATCCGTACAGCGCATTTTCATCTCCTCCCTGTCATACACCAACAATTCATGGTTCTGCTTCCATTTTTCATTAAATTTTGTCTCAGGTCTATTCTTTTCATCCTTTTATTGCTGTTCTGCGCACTCTTCTGACGTAGATTTTCGTTTTTTCCCAGGTTTGGCACCTTTAGCGACGCCATTTTGTATACCAATCTCCTACGCAGTGATCTCCCCTTATCAGTACAGAGATCTCTGCCATCACAAACATTGGAATATCAATATTTGGATATTTATATTTTTTAGCTTTTTAATTTATTTTTCATTATTTTGTATACTTTTGATAATTTTTTGATAAAATATAACGAACGTAGGTACAAAAAGTTAAAAATAAAACAGAAAGAGAAAAATGACGTTAGATTTTCTATGTAACGGTCGGTATTTACATTTGAATTTCGACGTTACGTCATGTGACTTTCATCATCATGTGACGTCTGTGAAGGCAGTGATTACAATTCTGTCAAGGGAGGTAATCAGTGTGAGGAGTTTGTTTGTATACATGCGGCTTGGATAAAAGCCGGACAGTCGGACCGATCCGAAATAAAAAATTGTCGGACCTGATCAAAATTTATCGGACATGTCCGTCGGACCGACGTATTTAGGGAAGTCTGAGTTTAATTCCAATAAGGTTTCAGGTTTACATTGTAAGTCAAAATATGTATTTGTTTAGATAAGGTCTCAAGTACATTTGTGTATCAGGTAAAAGCATGACTGAATGCTTGTATCATTATATAATTTTTATTAATAGATATGAATTTAATTATAATCTTCAATACTAATTTTTCAGATTTGATTTTGTCTGTCTGCCTATAGTAAACCCACGTTTTAAAAGAGAATGCATTCAAGGACCTGCAAAGACCAGACCAGGGGCATTAACTCGCTCAGATCTCTGTTTAACGAGTGGGGACTGGAGCAGTCTCATTGTAGGAAAAACATCGCCATGGCTACAGTTAGATTCAGATGTGGACGATATCAGGAAAAATTCTGAACAGGTATTATTGCAGTGTAATGAATATATTGATTTCTATACCCCTGTTTAAACGCTCGTGTAAGCATTTGTATGAAAAATTTACAATGAATGATTTATGATGTTTTAATGTACTTTATTTGAATAATACTGATTGCAAGTCTAAAAGCAACTCTTTAACAGGACAAAATGAAACCTCTTAGTTGCTCCTCAAGCAAGAAAAAGTGTTTAAATAACAACTTTTCATTTACTTATTGAGACCATTGTTGTATAAGGATAGTATTTAATAAGGTTTTTATGTAAAATGTATGTTTTATTTGTACTTTACAGGCATTAATATTGTAAAATACATTACAGGCACTTAAAGAGGAGATGAATTATGCGACACATCTAGGCATGCCGGCTGTCATGCTGTATTTGAAGAGTAGGAAGATCACAAACTTGGCCAGGTGTCTTAATGAGCATTTACTCAGTGGTTACTTCCAACAGGTAGGTTGAATCAAGCTGAGACGATGTTCAATGTATAAGAGCTAATTATGTCCTACATGTACAATATATTAGAACCAATTTTGTCCTACTTGTACAGTGTATTTTGTCCTAACAAGTACAATTACAGATTTTATCATACTGATAACAAGTACATTACAGATTTGATCATACTGATAACAAGCACATTACAGATTTTATCATACTGGAAAAAAAAATACATTACAGATTTGATCATACTGATAACAAGCGCATTACAGATTTTTCCATACTGATAACAAGCACATTACAGATTTTATCATACTGATTACAGATTTTATCATACTGATAACAAGTACATTACAAATTTTATCATACTGATAACAAGCACATTACAGATTTTATCATACTGATAACAAGCACATTACAGATTTTATCATACTGATAACAAGTACATTACAGATTTTATCATACTGATAACAAGTACATTACAGATTTTACCATACAGATAACAAGTACATTACAAATTTTATCATACTGATTACAGATTTTATCATACTGATAACAAGTACATTACAGATTTTATCATACTGATAACAAGTACATTACAGATTTTATCATACTGATAACAAGTACATTACAGATTTTATCATACTGATAACAAGCACATTACAGATTTTATCATACTGATAACAAGTACATTACAGATTTTATCATACTGATAACAAGTACATTACAGATTTTACCATACAGATAACAAGTACATTACAAATTTTATCATACTGATAACAAGTACTTTACAGATTTTACCATACTGATAACAAGTACATTACAGAATTTATCATACTGATAACAAGTACATTACGGGTTTTATCATACTGATAACAAGTACATTACAGATTTTATCATACTGATAACAAGCACATTACAGATTTTATCATACTGATAACAAGCACATTACAGATTTTATCATACTGATAACAAGTACTTTACAGATTTTACCATACTGATAACAAGTACATTACAGAATTTATCATACTGATAACAAGTACATTACGGGTTTTATCATACTGATAACAAGCACATTACAGATTTTATCATACTGATAACAAGTACATTACGGGTTTTATCATACTGATAACAAGTACATTACAGATTTTATCATACTGATAACAAGTACATTACAGATTTTACCATACAGATAACAAGTACATTACAGATTTTATCATACTGATAACAAGTACATTACAGATTTTATCATACTGATAACAAGTACATTACAAATTTTATCATACTGATAACAAGAACATTACAGATTTTATCATATTGATATAGAAAATACAAGGTTGATGTCGGGATGGAGAAGGTTTATCCGTAGAGAGAGAAATTGTATCTAAGCGAGTCAAGATTCACTTTCGCAGTGAACCGGATAAACCTTCTCCAGTCCGACATCAACCATGTATTTGATTTATCCTGCTTTTAATAATGTTTTTAGAATAATTAAATGGAAGCATTCTTCTTTTTCCCCCGATAAAATAGCATCTATATGTAGTTTTGTTTTGCTGCTCAACATGTGACATCATCATATGACGTAATGACTGGAGATAGATAAGTTTATCCGGCAAGGCTTTATCCAGCAGATGATATTGATAGTAGCAGGATAAAAAAACATTTACCGGTAACTGAAAAACAAAGATACAGTAAACTTCACTTGTATCATAGTTTGGGGACCTTTCTGTTGCAAAACTGTCAGAGTTAAATCGTATACATATACATGCACAGTGCGGTAACTGGAGTGCAGGTATCAGTTACCCGCACTCCAGATAATGCCCGTTGATTGGTTCATTTTTGCTGGGGTTTACATATTGCGACGGCAGAGAAAGGGAAAGGGAGCAGAAATATCATATTCAAATGCTCGTTCATTGGTTCATTTTTTCTGGGGTTTCATATTATGACAACAGGGAACGTGCTGTCATGTTTGACTATGATACAAAAGAGAAAGAACACCAAAACACTCGGCAATCTGATTTATACTCGGGGGCTACGCCCCCTCGTACAAATCAGATAGCCTCGTGTTTCGGTGCTCTTTCTATTACATATAGCGAACATGGTTATAGCGAACTTCCGGTTATAAGGGACAAAATGTTTTGGCCCGATTTTTGCCCTTCTTTATTTAATGTAAAAAAATATGGTTACAGTGAACACGGTTATTAGGAATTATCGCTTATAAGGAACTCATTTTTAGTCCCAATGCCATAAAAAAGTACAGAAAATTACACTTTTATAACGAACTCCAAAATATCGGCTATCTGTAAACAGATCACGCATTTTCTACTTTCGTTTTCATCGGCACAGATTAAAACTTTGCCGAATGTAGCGGATATATTAGAAATAAATAATGACGATGACAGTCAATCTTCCAAAGACGAGATCTATTTAGATGATCTGTCGGTTGGGTCAAAAAATTAAGCTATTGATTGTTTGCAAAAGATTAGGTCATACTTTGAGTCTAATGCACATGTTGAAGAAACAGTTTTTAAAAGTTTATTGGGTATTGAATTTAACCTGAAGAGTTGTAAACATTCCCAAACTAAAATTAGCGACTTCTTCAAAGCAAAGTGATTATTTTTGTGCATGATACTGTATGTTAATGAATAACAATATTGCATATAATTATGGTACATATCATATAATTATCTTAAAGAGATATATTTATCCATAAAAATTATATTAAAAAGAAACAACATTGCAATTATTCCTTTTTTTTCTTTAATGAATCAATATAAGGGAGACAACAATGACGAACCCAAGAGTTATTTCTCTTAATCAAATACTCTTCTAAATGGAGGACAATGGCAAACAATTAGTTCGTTATATGTAAAACTGTTCGCTTAAAAAACTTCTGATACAAGGAACTAATTCGCAATATGCTTACAAGGAACTCCGGATATAAGGATATTTTGAATGTCCCAATAAGTTCGTTATAAGCAGTATCTATATTTCATGCTTTAAATCTGATAAATAGAAAATATTGATAACAGCATTACCATCTTGTACTATTGGATTTTACAGCAATTTTGGGTGCATGTTCCTCTAAAAACGCCAGGGGATTGCTTAGAGGACGTTATTGATGGGGAGTCAGTAGACGAGGATCAGAGTACAGAGGACCCTTGGGAATGGTAACTATTTTTAGCTCCACTTATAGAACAAAAAAAAGAACAGATGTTATTGTCATGACCCACTTGTCAGTGTTCCGGTGTACCCTCTTGGTTAAGTTTTCATTATGCTTATTATTAGCTTGTTTGTTTCAAAGGAAATGTTGAGCTGTTATGATTGCTGAGGCATTGGCATCAATTTGTTATATGTAACACATAGTCCCTGACACTTTAATAGAATTTACTTACTTTCTTATTCTCCTGTAGAACAAACCGGAACCTCTCTATTTGACTTATAGGCCCAATTTGGCCCAAGGTGGCTGAGTGATATAATTATGCCCCCTTTTGAAAAAAAGGGGGTATATTGCTTTGCACTTGTCGGTCCGTCGGTCCGTCGGTCCGTAGACCAAATGGTTTCCGAGTGATAACTAAAGAACCCTTAGGCCTAGGAACTTCAAACTTGGTATGGTGATTGGTCATGACAAGTAGATGACCCCTATTGATTTTGGGGTCAAGGGTCAAAGGTCAAGGTCACATTGACCTTGTAAGCAAAAACGGTTTCCGATCAATAACTAAAGAACCTTAAGGCCTAGGAACTTCAAACTTGGTATGGTGATTTGTCATGATCAGTAGATGACCCCTATTGATTTGGGGGTCAAGGGGTCAAAGGTCAAGGTCACATTGACCTTGTAAGCAAAAACGGTTTCCGATCAATAACTAAAGAACCTTAAGGCCTAGGAACTTCAAACTTGGTATGGTGATTTGTCATGATCAGTAGATGACCCCTATTGATTTTGGGGTCAAGGGGTCAAAGGTCAAGGTCACATTGACCTTGTAAGCAAAAACGGTTTCCGATCAATAAGTAAAGAACCCTAAGGCCTAGGAACTTCAAACTTAGTATGGTGATTTGTCATGATCAGTAGATGACCCCTAACGATTTTGGGGTCAAGGGGTTAAAGGTCAAGGTCACATTGACCTTGTAAGCAAAAACGGTTTCCGATCAAATAAGTAAAGAACCCTAAGGCCTAGGAACTTCAAACTTGGTATGGTGATTGCTCATGATCAGTAGATGACCCCTAACGATTTTGGGGTCAAGGGGTCAAAGGTCAAGGTCACATTGACCTCTTGGGTAAAAACGGTTTCCGATCAATAAACAAAAGAACCCTTAGGCCTAGGAACTTCAAACTTGGTATGGTGATTGGTCATGATCAGTAGATGACCCCTATTGATTTTGGAGTTAAGGGGTTAAAGGTCAAGGTCACATTGACCTCTTGGGTAAAACGGTTTCCGATCAATAACAAAAGAACCCTTAGGCCTAGGGACTACAAACTTGATATGGTGATTGGTCATGATCAGTAGATGACCCCTATTGATTTTGGGGTCAAGGGGTCAAAGGTCAAGGTCACATTGACCTCTTAGGTAAAAACAGTTTCGGATCAATAAATAAAGAACCCTTAGGCCTAGGAACTTCAAACTTGGTATGGTGATTGGTCATGATCAGTAGATGACCCCTATTGATTTTGGGGTCAAGGGGTCAAAGGTCAAGGTCACATTGACCTCTTAGGTAAAAGCAGTTTCCGATCAATAACTAAAGAACCCTTAGGCCTAGGAACTTCAAACTTGGTATGGTGATTGGTCATGACCAGCAGATGACCCCTACTGATTTTGGGTTAAGGGGTCAAAGGGAAAGGTCACATTGACCTTGTAGGTAAAAATGCTTTCCGATCAATAACTTAAGAACCCTTAGGCCTAGGAACTTCAAACTTGGTATGGTGATTGGTCATGACCAGCAGATGACCTATTGTTTTTAGGGTCAAGGGGTCAAAGGTCATGTAACATTGACCTTGTAGGTAAAAACGGTTTCTGATCAATTAACTAAAAACGCTTAGGCCTAGGAACTTCAAACTTTGTATGATGATTGGTGGTGACCAGCAGATGACCCCTATTGAGTTTTGGGTCAAGGGGTCAAAGGTCAAGGTCACATCGACCTTGTAAGTAAAAACGGTTTCTGATCAATAACTTAAGAACGCTTAGGCCTAGGAACTTCAAACTTGGTATGGTGATTTTCATGACCAGCAGATTACCCCTTTCGATTTTGGGATCAAGGGGTCAAAGGTCAAGGTCCCATTGACCTTGTAAGTAAAAACGGTTTCTGATCAATAACTAAAGAACACTTGGGCCTAGGAACTTCAAACTTGGCATAGTGATTGGTCATGATCAGCAGATGACCCCTATTGATTTTGGGGTCAAAGGTCAAGGTCACATTGACCTTGTATGTTAAAACGGTTTCAGATCAATAATAAAAGAACCCTTAGGCCTAGGAACTTCAAACTTGGCATGGTGATTAGTCATGACCAGCAAATGACCCTATTGATTTTGGGGTCAAGGGGTCAAAGGTCAAGGTCACATTGACCTTGTAAGTAAAAACGGTTTCTGATCAATTAAGTAAAAAACGCTTAGGCCTAGGAACTTCAAACTTTGTATGATGATTTGTCTTGACCAGCAGATGACCCCTATTGAGTTTTGGGTCAAGGGTTCAAAGGTCAAGGTCATGACCAGTAGATACTTGATAACCCTTATTAATTGTTTGATCACTGGGTCAGAAGTCATGCATAATTACCTTATCACATGAATAATTGGCTGCTGATAGGGGGCATACATGTTTTACAAACATATCTTGTTTGTAATATGTAACACATAATCCCTGACACTCAACAAAATTTACTTACTTACTTCTTCACCTCTAGAATAAACATAAACTTTGGTTGGTCTGACTCAGAGTGCCCTCTTTTTTTAATATTTAAGATAATCATTTTCAGGTGGAACACGTTCAGGACAATGTGTGATACTAATAAACGTATAAGCGTTGCCCTGGAAATAACAGAAAATTTGCCGGAGGATTATGTATTACAGCGCTGGTTAGCCGAGCCTATCAAGGCCGTCGTCATATCAACCAATCTCTTCCTTACCAACAAGAAGGGATATCCTGTACTCTCCAAAGCTCATCAGGGATTTCTAAGAAGTTTGTTCAAGGTAGTGTTTGGAACTGTGGCTGCGGCATCAGCGTTGCACTTTGGTTAAGATTTTTGCATGCAAATTGATATCTCCAAAACTGATGAAGGGAATGGGTTGAAAGTTCACAAACTTATTTGAGAGTATAATAGGAGGTCACTCTAAAGGGCTCATAACTCTAACATGAATTTTAAAAGACAAATGATCCCTTTTAAACTTTCTACATTATCTTTGCAAATTACTTATTATCAAGGCACTTGTTTACCTATCAACCTCTGAGAATAGTCTAGCACGCTGTCTTGTTTAGAAGTATGCTTAAAAGAATTATTGTTGGGAAGACATGGTACGAGGGAGATACGAAATTATTTAAGCATACAATGAAAGAGTTGTGATGAATATATAGTCTAGTCTTTGATAAGAAACTATGGTGATTGAGTAAAATCTACTAGATACATCTTATATGCCAAACAAAATGTTGTTTGGACAAGCATGTATTGAATATCATTAGTAAGATGTTGCCATTTTAATCAGTTGCCCATTTCACCTAAATGGGTTATCACAATTTTAGGATGGAAGAATACGGGCTGGACAAACTGATGTTGACCAAACTTTTGCCTTACGGTTGGCTTGATCTCAAAAATACAAAATCAAGACTAAATAGTTAATGCAAATCTTATTACAGATTGATTAACATGGTTTTAATTTTTTTGGGTTTTTAAATAGAAAAAAATAAAGTGTAAATTATTAAAATTTTAGAAAAACGATGGGTTTTAAAACCATGATTATTATTTCATTTGGATTTCAGTTGATTTTGACCGGTGCCAATAAGCATGGGGATAAGGGCATTCACTCGTACCAGCAATATCTGGATCACCTTTGGCAGGTAAGCAACTCATTTTAAATTTATTTATCAACCTTAATCAGTGCTATCATGTACAAATGTAGTGTTTGCAATGGAATTGGAATTATTCAAATTAATAGTAAAACGAAAGTGGACTTTTTCAATCCATTATTCTAAATGACAATGGAGTAATGGCCAGAAAGAGCAGGTAACTTTCTTCCCGACTTGCTAGCATGATGTTGTCTTTTCACACCAAAAGCTGGTTGTCAAATTGGAAAGTAAAATCCCATCTTGAAAATTGTCAGGGTAGAATTATAATATTGCCAATTTGGGGAAAAATGTAAAGGCAAATCGCAAAAGGCTCCATTTTGATACACTGTTTAAATTGAAGGATAATGTAATGTTGCAAATATTCCCCCCCCTGCCCCAGCTGTATTAAATCTTCCTTCTTCGGGAACCGGCTTAAAACCCCAGAAAAATAACATTAAAGTGAGTTTTGGAACATTTTTTTAAAAGGGGCCCCCTCACAGCTTTTGACATTGTGTTGTGTATAAAAATTTGGGAAAAAAGGGGAAAAACCCCTCAAAATTGACAAAAAATCTTTTGGGAAGATTAGAGCATTGCTGTTTTGATGTTGGTTTTTGGGGGTGTCTACTGTTAAAGTATTAAAAAATGTTTTCCCTTCATGAAAAAGTTTGGGAAAAATTCTTTCCCTTCTAGTTTTTTTTCCCTTTGGGAATGTTAATTGGTATTAAAAAAATTTTTGCCCCCCTTTTTCCCCAAAAACATTTGGCCCCAAAGGGGCCCAAACCCCTTTCCCCACCCCCCAAAATCCCTTCCATTTTTCCCCTTTTAAAAAGAAAGGAAACTGACAATTAATTCAAAAATGATATGGTTTTTTGTATTTTTTTTATCGGGAAAGGGGTTCCCTTTCTTAAACCCAAGTAATACAATTAGAGTTGATGAAATTGATGCTTTGGCAAACTAGAGAGGTATAGACTCATGATTTTATACTAAAGATATTGAATGAGTGTAGTTCAATACTGAATTTAAAATTGCACAAGTTGAATAAAATTATATTATGCGACCCTTGGAGAGCATTAATTATTTTATTCAACAAGTTCTTTGATTCAGTTATGAACTTACATGAATTTAATATTCGAATTTTCAATACGGAAAATAAAGACGTTTTAATGTTAAAAGAATCATATTTCACTGACCCAACTATTTATAATGTGAAAACATTTAGGGCGTCTTTACACTATGGTTTATAAACCACAAATGATTTTGTGTCAAATTTGCACAGCCGTTCTTGCAAATACTAATTTTTGTTGTACAGTGTGTTAATGATTGTGGGCGCTGGTAGAGGCCCACTTGTAAGAGCATCATTGGCCGCAGCAGATCAATATGGCTCATTTGCATTAGTTTCTTAGTACAGATCATGCAGGAATCAATATTAGCAAGCAGTTCACTCAATTCAAATCTTCAAATTGTAGAATATTTCTACAGACCGTCTGATTTTGAGGCCAGATCAGTGTAAAGGATTTATATACAAAACCTTTATTAAAAAGGCTGGATTTTACTATCCTGTATATCAATAATACTGCAGAAACACTTTTACTCTCAGACCACTTATTTACAAAGATCATTTTTATCCCCTTTTTAAGCAGATTATTCAACCTATTCTACTCACCCATAGGTCTCTATGGGCATAACTTTTGGTTTTAGTTTTTTGTTCATTAACCACTCAAGATATTTTATTGAAACTTCACAATCATATTTATGGGATCATTTTGGTAGATGAATCATTTTCTCATTCATTTGTCTATATTTTTCATTTTATTACAGACACTACCAACCCCTGACACAGTGACTCAGTTTGCAAAGGGATATGAGGATTATTTACAGTGCCCGCTACAACCATTAATGGATAATCTAGAATCTCAAACATACGAGATATTTGAAAAAGATCCAATAAAATATGCCCAGTATCAAAAGGTTTGTGTTCAGATAGACTTTTCTATTTTAGCAGAGTTCATAGTACATTGTACATTAGAGTTTATAACACACCAGTTCATAGTATACAGAGTTCAAAACACAGCAGAGTTCATAGTGTATCAGAGTTCATAACACACCAGTGTTCATAGTATATCAGAGTTTGTAACACTGTTGAAGCAATGTTTACTGATAAGAATGTTTTCATTTCTATTTCTGGTTGCTTTTTAGCTCGACTATTCGATAAGAATAAGTAGAGCTATTGCAGTCACCCGAGCGTCGGCGTAACCACTTATGTTAAAGTTTTTGTAATAGTTCAAATATTTTCAAAGTCCATAGACATATGGCTTTGAAACTTTGCACACTTGTTCACCATCATAACCCCAACCTGTAGACAGGAGGAGGTAACTCTATCAAGCATTTTGACAGAATTATGCCCCTTTTTCGACTTAGAATTTACGTTAAAGTTTTTGTCATAGTTCAAATATTTGCAAAGTCCATTGACATATGGCTTTGAAACTTTGCACACTTGTTCACCATCATGACCCCAACCTGTAAACAGGAGGAGGTAACTCTATTAAGCATTTTGACAGAATTATGCCCCTTTTTCGACTTAGAATTTACGTTAAAGTTTTTGTCATAGTTCAAATATTTGCAAAGTCCATTGACATATGGCTTTGAAACTTTACACACTTGTTCACCATCATGACCCCAACCTGGAAACAGGAGGAGGTAACTCTTATCAAGCATTTTTTTTACTAACAAGCACTAAGAATAGTCGAGCGTTGCTGTCCTACCGACAGCTCTTGTTATTTATAAATGTTAGAGACAATCATTTTAGTATATTAGGAAAGACATTTCAGTGCTTAAGAAGTAGCACTTTAGTGTTTTGAAATCAAGGTACATTCACAGTAAAAGCCGAAAATTAACAGTATTGATTAAAACATAACCTAGAAGATTTATAGAAAAAAAATACGTTTGGTAATTTTAGGCTGTGTATTGTGCCCTACTTGACAAGATCAAACCTGAGAACAAAGATAAAGAATCAGTGTAAGTTATCTTGTTATCTCAATATGTTGCTTATCTACCTCTCATATATAAGTATGAACTTTTGCTTGCTTTTTACATTGTACAAATGAGATATTATATAAAGTAAATTTATTTTGATATCTGACCATTGTGTTGTATTCATCCTGTGTTTCATTTCTACCTCTTAACAATTCTTGTATGTTTTTGCATAAAAAATTGCAATTCATAATCAATATAGTTAGTTGAATTACATTTATCACACAAACCATAGCGCAGAAGTGTACAGTAATAAACCCATTTAATAAAAACAATATGTGACATCATTTGTGTTATAAACAAACATATTGTTAAAGCACGCTAATGTTAGCGCAACACTATATGCGGGTCAACGAAAATTGACCCTTTTTAACTGTAAAACTTTATTTGACCAGTATGTGATAAATTTATTGAACTCCTTGAATAAAACAATATTAATATTATTATGAGTCTCTACTTGTCCAATAAATTGATATTAAATCTAGACTCATTCAAAGCTTACAGAACGTCGGTGGTTCTACTCATGTGCCCATTCATGCCTGAAAAAATGCATGGAAAAGCACCTGAGGTCTTCCTCCACCATTAAAGCTGGAACGTCGCCATATGACATATACTGTGTAGGTGTGACGTAAAACCTAATCAAACAAACACTCATTTAATACCTTCTATGTATTTTGCCAATGTTATATTTTCTTGTTGTACAGTGTGTTAATGGTTGTGGGTGCTGGTAGAGGTCCACTTGTACGTGCATCATTGGCCGCAGCAGGACAAGCTGACCGCAACATCAGAAAAATTTATGCCGTGGAGAAAAATCCAAATGCAGTTGTTACGTAAGAACAGTTACATTTTTTATGTCCATTTTCATCTTTTCTTGACATCATGACCCATCCACTTAGCCCAATGTGGAAAGTATTGGATTTGTAATCCAGGGGTCACTAGTTCAGTTTCCCTGTAAGCCTAAAATTCTTTGTGACAATTGATCCTGTACATTAAGCCTTATGGCCATTTGTCTCCCACTGCTGATTCAGAAAAAACATGAATTGTGTAGAAATTGGTTATTACTGGTTAGTTATCGAGAAAATGTGAGAAAAGGCCAAGCAAAGATTTACTGATGAAACTGAAGAATATAAGACGGCTTTTACGTTGTTCTTTCATTATAACATTTTTAAACTAAATTTTTTACAGAGAACTATAACATATGGCAGCTGGTTTTTATCTCCTGTATTACGCTAAGCTTATATGCATTTTTTGTTAAAGTTTACATAACACTTTGCAATGGTCTGTCCTTTTAGATATAATATTTACATTGGAAGTCATAAAACCCAGAATTAATCAAGGAATCAGACGGAAATATAGAGATTGATTTCATACAGACAGTCTAAAAAATCATATGCAAAATCAATAACGAACTTGTTTTTAATGAAAAAGCTATTTATTCTTGATACAGATTAGAGAACCTGCGTGATGAAATGTGGGGAGATAAAGTAGAGGTGATATCATGTGACATGAGACAGTGGAATGCCCCAGAGAAGGCAGACATATTGGTCAGTGAGCTCCTCGGATCCTTTGGAGATAATGAACTCTCGCCAGAGTGTTTAGATGGTGCTCAGAGGTTTCTGAAAGGTGAAAATCAAAGTGTTATGATTTCTGAAATTGATTTTTTTTTTTTTGGCTAATTTATCACTGAATTTTCAATTGTTTTGATTTTGTTGTGCTTAGCTACTACAGTAAACATGTATTTCCCTGCAAGAAAGTGTTAAGCTACATGTATGTATGTAAACATGTATTTCCCTGGGAGAAAATAAGGAATTCCTGCATTATCCAGGTTTTCTTAAATTTTAAGCACCAAGAAATATCAAGCACTTTATTTTTCCAGCAACTCTTATTGCATGGCATAACTTCAAACAGTGGTTCATGTCTATTTATGATCATTCTGTCTATATAATGTTTCAGATGATGGTATCAGTATACCATGTGAATATACGTCATACTTGGCACCATTACAGTCGTCTAAGTTATATAACGAGGTCAGAGCGTCAAAAGATAAAGATAAGCCTCCTGAGGTGAGTGTTGTTGAATATTTACTTGCCTCAGTGGCCTTGTGGTTAAGGAAGCTTATGAACCCAGTAGTCCCTTAGCCATCAGGAACTTTGGATTCTTTCATGTGCGGAAGCTATCCAGTTAGCTAACAGAATGTCAGTGGTTCTACTCGGATACCCACTTGTGCCTGTAATAATAAATGGATGGGGTACCTGAGGTCTTCCTGCACAAGTAAAGCTGGAAAGTTGCAATTTGACCTTTACAGTATTGGTGTGCCTCATAACCCATCCAAAAGAAATACAAATAAAATTTATTTGATGTTTACTATACATAGTCTACTTGATAAGGCTTCAAACTTGCAACATACTAATGTTCATATCAAGATCTCTAGAATGTTTGATGTAAATTAGCTATCCAGTTAGGCTGTGGAAGGTTGGTTGTTCTACTCCAGTAGCCAGCCATGTGTGATATACTACAGAAGGGGCATTTTAGCTTAATTTATGCTACAGCTAGAAAGTCCCTGTTGAATCTTTAAAGGGTCTGATTGCTTTAAACTGTGGCAAATATTTTTAGCATTGTCAGTTTTAATCTTCTTTTCCTGAGGTTGTAGAGGAGAAATGGTTAAACTTGGACAAGGTTAAACTCTGAAAACATTGAAATAATTAACAATCAGAAAATCAGATTTAACAATGTCATTATAAGTAAATATGTTATCTGAAAAATAGTTATGTAGTCCTTTTCTGAAGGGGAAGTGACTAAGCAAATGTCCATTTTTTTTGTGCAACATAATAATGCAGATAGGTTTCATCTATAAATGATATATATATATTTAGGTAACTATCTTTCAGTAATATGAAACATTTAAATTTCAGACAAATTTTGAGATGCCATATGTTGTAAGACTTCACAATTGTCAGATACTGGGGGACCCTCAACCTGTGTTTCACTTTAAACATCCAAACAGAGGTACAGTGTATTGCTTATAAACTGAACAAATCTATTTCTACATTATGTAACCCGAAAGAAACAGGACTTTGACGTGTCAGAACTTGACTTTAGTTTAATATTAAGCATGTGTAATTTTATATAGGGGATATTTGTTTAGTTCAGTGTAAGATTGGAATATATTCCACCAAGTGCCTGCACCACTCGTGAAATATAAATTTTTGGTGTTCACGAAGTGAAATATATTTCGATCTTACACTAAACTAAACAAAACTTTGTTTTATTATATGCAAAGAAACGTTTAAAAAGACATTTTAACATAATAGATCTACTAGATGAAAAGTGGTGCAAAATAATAATACACGGTATAATCATTTACAATGTCAGTAAATTGGTTTCCAGTACTGTGCATGCTGGTATTTCACTAAAACAATGTAATGGGCTTAAATTCAAAACAGTGAAAAGTACCAAATTCATATTTTCATTGTTTCAAACAGTGAAATATCAGTTTTATATTTCATTGATATATTTCTATAAACCACCAAAAAGCATGTAATAAAAAAAAAATGTAACTATTAAATAGCATTAAAAATCAATTTTCTAGTTTTGGAAAACAACATTTTATTGGGATCAGTTGAAGGTCACTTGCTGAGAATATAGTTTTTACTAGTTAGACATTCAGGAAAGTCTGTATGGATTGTTAAGAAAGGAAAAAAAAGAAAAACTGGCTGAAAATTAAATAGAAATTACATTTTGCTTTTACTGTAAATTTCTTTGCCTCAGATGTCATTATGTATAAAGGTGGCGAGGGAAAAATAATCAATAAATAGTTAACTCCTATTAAATTTAGGGTTAAGGTCGTTGAATTCAAACCACTTGCCCCTCATCACTGTGGGTTTGGATCCAGGGACTTTGGATTCTTTCATGTGAGGAAGCTATCAAGCTAGCTTACGGAACGTTGGTGGTTCTACTCAGGTGCCCGTTCGTGCCTGAAATAATTCACGGAAGGGCACGAGAGGTCTTCCTCCACCAGTAAAGCTGGAACATCGCCAAATGACCTATACTGAGTCGGTGTGACGTAAAACCCAATCAAGACAAACAATTAAATTTAGAAGGACTTAACGGGTTACTGCAATAAAGTGGCTATATGATTTTAAGATTATTATTATGCCCCCATTTCGAAGAAAAGGGGGTATATTGCTTTGCACTTGTCGGTCCGTCGGTCTGTCGGTCCGTCGGTCCGTAGACCAAATGGTTTCCGAGTGATAACTAAAGAACCCTTAGGCCTAGGAACTTCAAACTTGGTATGGTGATTGGTCATGACCAGTAGATGACCCCTATTGATTTTGGGGTCAAGGGGTCAAAGGTCAAGGTCACATTGACCTTGTAAGCGAAAACGGTTTCCGATCAATAACTAAAGAACCTTAAGGCCTAGGAACTTCAAACTTGGTATGGTGATTGGTCATGATCAGTAGATGACCCCTATTGATTTTGGGGTCAAGGGGTCAAAGGTCAAGGTCACATTGACCTATTAAGCAAAAACGGTTTCCGATCAATAACTAAAGAACTTTAAGGCCTAGGAACTTCAAACTTGGTATGGTGATTGGTCATGATCAGTAGATGACCCCTATTGATTTTGGGGTCAAGGGGTCAAAGGTCAAGGTCACATTGACCTCTTGGGTAAAAACGGTTTCGGATCAATAACAAAAGAACCCTTAGGCCTAGGAACTTCAAACTTGGTATGGTGATTGGTTATGACAAGGATATGACCCCTATTGATTTTGGGGTTAAGGGGTCAAAGGTCAAGGTCACATTGACCTTGTAGGTAAAAACGGTTTCGGATCAATAACTAAAGAACCCTTAGGCCTAGGAACTTCAAACTTGGTATGGTGATTGGTCATGACCAGCAGATGACCTATTGATTCTGGGGTCAAGGGGTCAAAGGTCAAGGTCACATTGACCTTGTAGGTAAAAACGGTTTCTGATCAATAACAAAAGAACCCTTAGGCCTAGGAACTTCAAACTTGGTATGGTGATTGGTTATATCCAGCAGATGACCCCTATTGATTTTGGGGTTAAGGGGTCAAAGGTCAAGGTCACATTGACCTTGTAGGTAAATACGGTTTCTGATCAATAACTAAAGAACCCTTAGGCCTAGGGACTTCAAACTTGATATGGTGATTGGTCATGATCAGTAGATGACCCCTATTGATTTTGGGGTCAAAGGTCAAGGTCACATTGACCTCTTAGGTAAAAACGGTTTCCGATCAATAACTAAAGAACCCTTAGGCCTAGGAACTTCAAACTTGGTATGGTGATTGGTCATGACCAGCAGATGACCCCTATTGATATTGGGGTTAAGGGGTCAAAGGGCAAGGTCACATTGACCTTGTATGTTAAAACAGTTTCCGATCAATAACTAAAGAACCCTTAGGCCTAGGAACTTCAAACTTGGTATGGTGATTGGTCGTGACCAGCAGATGACCTATTGATTTTGGGGTCAAAGGTCAAGGTCACATTGACCTTGTATGTAAAAACGGTTTCCGATCAATTAACTAAAAACGCTTAGGCCTAGGAACTTCAAACTTTGTATGATGATTGGTCGTGACCAGCAGATGACCCCTATTGAGTTTTGGGTCAAGGTGTCAAAGGTTAAGGTCATGACCAGTAGATACTTGATAACCCTTATTAATTGTTTGATCACTGGGTCAGAAGTCATGCATAATAACCTTATCACATGACTAATTGGCTGCTGATAGGGGGCATACATGTTTTACAAACATATCTTGTTTATGTTATACATACCGCCTCCGTGGTCGAGGGGTTAGAGTCGATGACTTCTAATCCAGTTACCTCTCTGGCGTGGGTTCGATCCCCGGGAGATGCTTTAGTAGTTTAGCGCGGAGGAAGTTAGTCTAGTACTGGTGTAACTCTCCAGGAACGATGGTTAGGAAACTACCCGCCTATATGACTGAAATACTGTTGATAAAGGCGTAAAATGAAACAAACAAACAAACAAATGTTATACATATTACAGATGAGGTGATAGACAATACCAGATATAAAAGAATGGAGTATGACATTGACAACACAAGTATTCTCCATGGATTTGCAGGATACTTTGACACAAAACTTTATGCAAACGTTTATTTAAGTAAGTAATTATTACTATAATCACAAAAACTGTGACGCAGGAGTGTAATAAAGCCATTTGATAAAAGTGATATTACTGTAGTGTAATAACACTTTGATGTGATGTCATTTGCATTATATAAAGACATAGCATTGTGTGCTAATGTTAGTGTTACACTATAGGGGCGACAATGAAAAATGACTCTTTTTTAAACAGTTTACTGTTCTTATTTTAAATATGTAATAAATAGAATATTATATTCATGTAGGTTTAATACTAAATTTATTGAACTTGAGGTAAAAAACAATATTAAGCTCGCCAAAGATTAAGCTCGCCAAAGAGAGCAGAAAAAACCAAGGTATTTGTATACATATACAACATTTGTTAGGGAGGGCCTTTGTCCTACACTCGCTTTTCAAAAGGCTGATATGGCAGAAACTTACTAAACAACTTTCTTTACTCTGTGAGATTGGTTTATGTCTTTACCAATTTGACTACTGCAAATGTTTTTTCTTCAGATTCTGAGGTTTTAATTGACTTGACCCATTATGTGGTCATTTTTTATAACATTGACCCATTTAAGAAAACTTTGAAAAAAAATCACCCAGATTAGACTTAAAAGAGCCACCATGGCCCTCGGATTGTAATTTAGATAACAGTATAGCAGGATGATATCAATCTGTTATGTTGCAGGTATTGTACCAGAAACACATTCACCGGGCATGTTCAGCTGGTTTCCTATACTCTTCCCAGTAAAGGTAATTTTCAATATTTTTCTTAATGATTTTCCAGGAGAACCATTACCCGATTCAGTTGAGATTTGCTGATTATGCCTTTTGCTTAATATCTTAACAGGATGAAATAAAAAAATGCCACTTTATGTATAATAATTGACAGTATATGCTAAAGTCAGTCAAAATTGTTTTGTCTAGCCAGACAGTATAAAATGGATGTTGAAATGCAGTTAAATTTGTTTTTAAATAAATATTGAGATGGAATGCTTGCCTATTTTGTTTAATTTTCTATTGCCTTATAAAAGTTGACTTTAAAATCATGACATTTACTCTTTATTACTTTTTATTTCAGACTCCACTTTATGTGGAGAAAGGTTCAAAAGTGGTTGTAGAGTTTTGGAGGCGAGTCAGTACAAAAAACGTCTGGTATGAATGGTGTGTTTTAGAACCGAGCGTGTTGCCAATACATAATCCGAAAGGACGTTCATACACCATTGGACTGTAACTGAGGATTGCATTAAAACCTAAAATTTTTATCTTGTTATCCAGAATTTAATTGCTATGTACAAAGGAAGTTACAATATCAACAAAAGAAATGTTTTCAATAAGATATCAACACAAAAATGTTTCCAGTTAGATATCATCGCAAGGAAATGATTCCAGTTAGATATCACCACAAGGAAATGTTTCCTGTTAGATATTAAAAGGAAATGTTTCCAGTTAGATATCATCACAAGTAAATGTTTCCTGTTAGATATTAAAAGGAAATGTTTCCAGTTAGATATCACCACAAGGAAATGTTTCCTGTTAGATATTAAAAGGAAATGTTTCCTGTTAGATATTAAAAGGAAATGTTTCCAGTTAGATATCATCACAAGAAAATGTTCACAAGGAAATGATTCCAATCAGATCGTAACGCAAAAAATGTTTTCAATTATATATCAGCACAAGAAAATTAATGTTTTCAATCAAATGCCAACATAAAAAATTGTTTCTAATCAGATATCAGCATAGATAGTAATTAAGTACTTCAATTTGAACCATCTGTTGTTAATATTAATAAATGTGACACATGCTTTGTGCATAATACTAACAATTGAAATATAATGAAAATTTGTGATTAAAGGAAACCAATCCCGGTAATTGTATTTTGCTGAAGTCAGTACTCAATTCAAGCAAAGATTTTTTTTATAAACATTATTCATGGAAATTTGTTTTTCTTTGGCAACATTCATACTTTGAATTAAGTGTACATTATTGTTTTTATACCCCCAAAAAAGGAAGTTTGGGGGGGTATATAGGAGTCACCCGGTTGGTCGGTCGGTCGGTCCAGACGTCCGTTGCATTTTCCTTGTCCGGAGCATAACTTGAAGACTAATGGTTGGAATTCCATATAACTACATACAATGGTCAAGCACATTGAGAGGAAGTGCAGTGCACAAGAACCATAACTCTATTTTGACTAATTACAGAATTATTGCCCTTTGTTACTTTTCGTTGTCCGGGCATAACTTGAACACTACTGGTTGGAATTCAAAACAACTTCATACAATTGTCAAACACAATAAGGGGAAGTGCAGTGCACAAGAACCATAACTCTATCTAAAGTAATTACAGAGTTATTGCCCTTTGTTACTTTTCCATTGCTTTTTTTTTGTCCGGAGCATAACTTGAAGACTAATGGTTGGAATTCAATATAACTTCATACAATGGTCAAGCACATTGAGAGGAAGTGCAGTGCACAAGAACCATAACTCCATCTTGACAAATTACAGAGTTATTTCCCTTTGTTACTTTTCCTTGTCCAGAGCATAACTTGAAAACTACTGTTTGGAATTCAATACAACTTCATACAGTTTTCAAGGACATTAAAAGGAAGTGCAGTGCATAAGAGCCATAACTCCACTTTGACAAAATACAGAGTTACTGCCCTTTGATACTTTTCCTTGTCTGGGGCATAACTTAAAACGTACTGGTTGAAATTCAAAACAACTTCATACAATGGCCAAGCACAAAAAGAGGAAGTGCAGTGCACAAGAACTATAACTCCATCTTCAGTATTTATAGAGTTATTTCCCTTTGTTCCTTTTCTTTGTCTTTCTGGACTTATTACAGAGTAATTCAATAAAACTTCATCAATGGCCAACCACATTGAAAGGAAATGCAATATACAAGAACCACAACTATCTTTAATTGCCCACAACCATAACTCTATATTTCAATTCTTTTACAAGATATTCTGTTACTAGTAACATCCTCATTTCCGAAGCAGTCTTGTGGGGGTATTAATCACATTTAGTGATAGTTCTAGTTGAATTTGTCCGGAACATTACTCGGAAACCATAAGAGATATCAACAAGAAACTTTGTAAGTTGATAGATAACAGTGATTAGAAGTGCAGTGGAAAGAACAATAACTCTGCCTTTCCTAATTTTGGAATTATTGCACTTTGAACTTTTTCCAGGGACATAACTCTGAAACTACAAGAGGTGTACTTTCCTATGTCCAAAACCTATTCGGGGAGCATCACCCGGCTCAAACCGGGCTCTTGTTTTAAATGTACTTGAAGAAAAGTTGTTCACAAAATAAAAATCAAATAAATGATTAAAAACAATGTTGTATTGTTTTCTTTTATACAGCATGTTCCAAATATTGCATTTATGTGGTACATTTTTTTCCATATCCTTCTTTGAAATACTAATCATATGAATGAAAACATTTAATTGACAAACTTGACAAGTAGTTCAAATTTGTATAACTACCTCATAAAGCTGCATACTGCCAGATAAGCTAAACTATTTCAAGGTAATTTCAAGAAATTTGTACTAAGACTTGAATAAAGATTCAAGTAATAATTGACATGTTCTGTATGATTAATAAGTGATTTTTGTGTCGCCTTCAAAAGGTGACATATAGGGGTTACTTTTGTCGGCGTCCCCTAAAGCTTGTCCGGAGCATAACTTGGTCACTATAAGTCTGATTGACTTCAAACTTGGTATGCATGCTTCTTTCAATAACCCGAAGTGGAGTGCACAAGGACCGATACACTGCAGTTCTTATTTTTTTGAGTTATTGCCCTTTGTTTATTTCATACTTTAATTTTGTCCGGGCCATTTCTCTTCAACTAAAAAAGCTATGGACTTGAAACTTCATAGGATGATAGATCTCATTAAGAAGAAGTGCAGTGCACAAGAACCGGTACTCTGCATTTCTTAATTTTTGAGTTATGGCCCTTTGTTAATTTTCATACTTAATTTTTGTCCAGGCCATTTCTCCGAAAGTATAAAAGTTATGGACTTGAAACTTCATAGGATGATAGATCTCATTAAGAAAAAGTGCAGTGCATAAGAACTGATACTCTGCATTTCTTATTTTTTGAGTTATTGCCCTTTGTTGATTTTCTTACTTTATTTTTGTCCTGGTCATTTCTCCTCAAGTATGAAAGCTATGGACTTGAAATATCATAGAATGATAGATCTTATTGATAAGAAGTGCAGTTCACAGAAACTGCTGCTCTGCACTTAGTATTTTTTTAGTTATTGCCCTTTGTTATTTTTCATATTTCATTTTTGTCCTGGCCATTTCTCCTAAACTACATTGTTCACAAGGCCACACATCCGACTCGCGGAGTTCTAGTTTGAAGTATTTATCACCATATTTTTACTGTGTTACTAACGATGTAACAGCTATTTTAACATACTTTGACCTTTTTAGCTCATAAAAGTGACAGGGTGGGCTTTAGTGATCGCTTTTCGTTTGGCAATCTCCTCATAAACCACTAAGCCAATTTCATCCAAACTTCACAGGAATGTTCCTTTGGTGGTCACCTTTAAAAATTGTTTAAAGAATTTAATTCCATGCAGAACTCTGGTTGCCATGTCAACCGAAAGAAAAAACTTTAAATATCTTCTTTTAAAAAACCCCAAGAGCTAGAGCTTAGATATTTGGCATGAAACATCTTCTAGTGAGTGTCGACCAAGTTTGTTCAAATAAAAGCCCTGGGCTCAAAATTGGCCCCGCCCCAGGGGGGCATTGATTTCCCCTATATGCATATAGTAAAAACTTAAAAAATCTTCTTTTAAAGAACCCAAAGAGCTAGAGCTAAGATATTTAGCATTAAACATCTTCTAATGAGTGTCTACCAAGTTTGTTCAAATAAAAGCCCTGGGGTCAAAACTGGCCCCGCCCCAGGGGTGTCATTGTTTTTATATGTGCATAGTAAAAACTTAAAAAATCTTCTTTTAAAAAACCCAATGAGCTAGAGCTTAGATGTTTAGCATGAAACATCTTCTTATGGGTGTCTACCAAGTTTGTTCAAATAAAATCCCTTAGATAAAAATTGGCCCTGCTGGGGGGTCGGGAGGGAGGACACTCGAAGGTCATTGTTTTTCATCATATGTGTGTAGTAAAAACTTAACATCATGAACATTTTCTAATGGGTGTCTTCCAAGTTTGTTCAAATAAAAGCCCTGGGGTTTAAACTAGCCCCGCTTCAGGGGCCTATATACAGGTGAGCGACCTCAGGGCCATCATGGCCCTCTTGTTAGGTTATTTACATGGTATTTATGTGTACATTAATACCTTCGTTCCCTTAACAACATTTTACTTCTAAATGCATTTTCAAGTTTTTTCATAAAAATTAGCATAAATACGGAGGCATAAGCAAAACACTATAATTGTGACATTTTAATGGAATATAGAAACCTCTGCAGTTGCATTTATACCTCTGCAATTGCGTTTATACGGCAGTTATCATTGAACCGTTTACGTGACTGGTACTTGCAGTTGCAACCAGATCTGTCCCGAATTAAAAGTATAGCATAAATATATATTCAATACATGTACTACGAAAACAAGAAAACAATCGGCAACACAAAATAAAATGAAATTTTTGAAAAGTTTTATGAAGCCCGCTTATCACTTGGAAATACCTCAAAAGGAGACAGCATGTCATAAGGGCAATTAAACATTAATTAATTGGAGAATAATGAAACCACCCAAAATGAAAAGAAACTAAAATAACACAAACACAAAAGTTATGTTATGCTGAGCGGTCATAAATCTTGTAAATTTGTGTTCATTATTAAATATGAGTTTGTAAATACCGATATCAGTTTTAGTACACAATATATTAGTATACACAGTTTAAAACTTTCATGTACACATTAATACTTGGTTATTACATGCAAAAACTAATAACAACTCATCCTCATTGTCCATGTTCAATAATTAATTAGCAGCAAATGTTGAAAGCTCTTTCATAAATGAACATAGTTTAAATGAATTAATTCATGCGCATGTTATTTCTTCACAGCAATGAGCGTCTCAATCACATTCTTTCAATTTCTGTTAATTTGTATATACCTATACATATATTTACCGGTACCGTTGGCCTAGTGGTTAAGGCGTCCGCCTTCGGATCGGGAGGTCGAAGGTTCGAGCCCCACGGGGAGCGTTAATTGAAGGATGAATGTTTCTCGTGGGACTCGTTCCGAAATGGCCGCTTCGTGAGCCGCGAGGTAGTTAAAATGAATGGTTACTGATTTCTATCCGCCTGGCTCCTGGCATAGTGATAGGAATTGGGAGGTACATGGTATGCAAGCAAAAGGTGTCTCATAAGTCAAAATGGCTGGCCCTTTCAGTAGGGGTGACACTATAATAAACAAGACCTTTACCTTTTAAATTTCATTCAAATCATATACTTTTAGAAAGTTACAAAATTTACCACTCCCAACATATAAATTGTTTTTATCCCTATCTAAAGCTAAAGACCAAGGGCAGTACAGTCCGTCCTTTTCTTCAAGTATCACTCTTGTTGTTTCAAGATTTTCTGATATCAAAAGAATTTTGTTGTTTCCACTGCTGCACACCAATATAGAGCCGTCATCAAGAACAACCATACCACAAGGTTGAACTAGGCGTTCATCTTTGTACCCCTTCAATACTTCTCCATTAAGATTCATACTTGTAATTGTATTTGTACTGTAGTCTGAGATGTAGAATTTCCCAACACCAACTGTAACATATGGGAATTCAAATTCATTACCATAGAAATCTTTTTTTATCGACTGATAAACATTGCCATCTAAATCCATAATATGTACCTTATCATAAAATTTGAATGTAACAATTAATCTATTATCATGGTAAACTAAATCGTTACACCATCCATCTACTTCAAGATGCCGGACTTCAGACAATCCATTAGCTATTGATAAAAACGTTATCATCTTAGAACAACTAAAAGATACTGCAAGCAAACCATCAGGAAGTAAATCTAAATTACTCAGACTTTCGCTTAACTTTTTCTCGCAAGTTATCTTTTTCGTCTTTGTATCAACTATTTTGACAGCACAATTAATCGAATCAACAAATGCAATGCGATGCTTAGCAATAAACACTGCTCCCAGAATACAACAATCGCTGTCATCTGACGGACTTTTGACATTTATTTCATCTGAATACGTGACACGAAGCGTATTAAAGTAACCTGCATCAGCTTTTACATTTCTTACGATGTCACTGTTTTGCAGTTCACCAATTCCTGTTTCTGATTCGAGTATTTCCTTTAAATCAACATTTGGTGTCAAGCTGTTAACGTAGTTGTCTTTGTGTGCTTGTTCCTCAGCAGAGGTGTAGCTCTGTATAGTTTCTTTGTTTTCTTTGGAACGGATGAATGGTGCATTACATTGATTTGCCATTTCCAGTTTGCTGATGTCATTCCGAAGCTGTTCAATATCTTTCTCCAATTTGACAGAATTTAGTGCTAAAGATTCCATTCTTGTTGACTCCTTGGTAAATATATCATTAGCACGTTTCTCAAGACTTGCTTCAAGCTTGTCAAACATAACGTTGATTTCTTGGCGAAACTTCTTAATTTCATCTTTCACGAAAGACTTGTGCTGCAGGATTTTCTTTTTGTTGGCCTTTGTTTCTTCAATTATTTTTTGGAACTGTTTCTGAAGGGCTGCTAGAGATCGTAGAGGCTCTCTGTACTCGTCACTTGTCCTGTACTCTTTGGAGACGTCTGGTTTGTACTCTTTGGAGACGTCTGGTATGTACTCTTTGGAGACGTCTGGTTTGTACTCTTTGGAGACGTCTGGTTTGTACTCTTTGGAGACGTCTGGTTTGTACTCTTTGGAGACGTCTGGTTTGTACTCTTTGGAGACGTCTGGTTTGTACTCTTTGGAGACGTCTGGTTTGTACTCTTTGGAGACGTCTGGTATGTAGTCTACTTTGCAGTTCCTATGGTTCAGTGTTATACATGGACTACAGCCAAAGATATTGTGATCATGACAGATGTACTCAATCAGTTTACCTTTATGTAGCCGACACTGTTTCGTCAGGTCATTCTTAGGAACTTTAAGATGTCCTGAACTCTGGGTTTTTGGCATCTGAGACTTGCCTAGTAGTACATGGTTCCTGCATGGCGCTCGTTTTCTATGCGTTTTGTAACAGCTCTCACATAAATGTTCCATACAGTTCTTGCAGAAGCCATGTGCGGTTAATTTTATACCATCTTTGCAACATGGGTCACAATAAATCTGTGCATTTACCCCAACTGCAGATCTTGAATAACCTTTAGCGGGGTCTCTCTTTTTTCCAGACACTTCCATCTTCAATTGAAGTTATTCTGAAAATATGCAAAACGTTTTTAAAAAAATATTGTTATAGCTTTATCACATACATATATATTAAAGATACCGTATATCATAACAACTGGAACTATCACTGCGTTTGATAAATAGGCCTTGCAAACATCTTTAATTTTTCTGATAAAAATGATCAGCTCATGGACAAAACCTAACTTTTTATTTATTATCAAGTGTAAAATTCACTGATAGAGGCCTTTATAAGTGAATGTCTGTCAATGGTTAAGGTCAGTTTTTGAGTAACATAAATTGAAAGTTTGCTCCTATTAAAATGTCGCTTTGTCCAAGCATAAACCAAATACATCATGTAATAACAGAGGTGAAGCAAACAAATGCCTTATTTTTAAGATCATTTTAAGATTAAAATCATTTTCACGTTAGGCAATCATGATGCTGTTTCACAACGTGATGTCGCATGAAGGTTTTGTCCAATGTCTTCTTATGCCCAAATATTCGTATGAATTAAATTCGTTCATTTATAACAAAAATGAAGATAAGAAAACCACAGGACGTTCCCTTTAAAGAGCGAAAATATTTGAGATTGATGTACATTTTATTTGCTCTTTTTTTGATATTTCAAAGTTTCGTTAACCTTTTCCCTCATATAAATGTGTTTTGGCGGCTTTTTGTCCCCCCCCCTTTTCTGAGGCCTCAAATAGTGAAAAAATGCCCTATTTATGCCCAAAAGACTGTTTTTTCGTTTGAGAAATGTTGTTAAAAAAGTAACCACTTTTTCGGCACGGCCCTCCATCCAAATGATACATCAGGGGGTTGCCAGAAAAGGGATGTACCCCCTTCTGTTTGGGGGTTTGAAGAGGTGGTAGTCCTCCTCATCGCCAAGAAAATTTTGGACATGTGACAGGCTAAAAATGGCCTCAGGTCGATCTTAAGGTGACGTGTAACCAACGCTGAAAAGCCTTTTACTCTTTTTCATTGCATTTAGAAGTTGCAGCACTTTGAAATCAGTTTTGATGGAAAAAACAATGCAAACTAGTGATTTTTCGCAATTTTGATACGTTGCCATGGTAACAGGAAATTTAAGATTGAGCATGTTGTTACAAAGCTTATGGTTCAGACAACATATGTGCCAAGTTTCATCAGTATTGAAGCCTTTTTCATATTTTGATAACAGTGTGAACTTGTAACATGAGGCTTTTCGATGAAAACGGCCATTTTTCACAATATGCTCATGTGGTAAAAGGTTAAATAATGAATAGCTATTTGATGAAATGTATGATAGCTCATTTACTCCACTCATTACTTATATAGTGGGTATTCAAGTGTTTTTTCTATAAATACGGATTTTTTTTTTTCGTGGAGCGGTAGTCGCGTGCTGTACAATGGCACGGTAAAGATGACGTCATTTTACCGTTATGAATGATTTTGTAATTGATACGCTGTTGTAAGAAAGTAGTTACGGTTGTATTGACAAAAAATTTCATTGAAAATAAAGATAAAAAAAATTAAATTATAATGGAATATGCAAGAAAAAATAGTTGACATGTTTGCGGTTCGGATCGGAATATCCGTCCCGAGGGACGGATATTCCTATCCGAACCACAAAATATGACAGATATTATTCATAATGCACAAAAAATAAAATAAAAAAAGTCTTTGAGAAATGAAACTAAAAGCATTTCTATGGAATCACCTTAGGTAGCACTCCACACTAAATTTCAAGTTTCTGCCGTCAATGTCCTACAAGCAATATGTCTGATAAATCGATCTGATCCCAAACTACACAACCTGGAAAAAGAACACATTTTGTTAAGAACATATATGTCATAACATTGCAAATCTGTAATGAAATCATCCCATGTGCAACAGTCAGGCAGTTAAAAAAATTCCAATTCATTCCGTAAAAGCCAAAATTCTATAGTGGTCCGAGACCCAAAACAACATTTTTCGTCCCTCCGGCAAAAAATACCTGCAAATATACGGTCTACAGAAACTCTGTCACTGCTTTAGCAACTCCCTATGCATGCAAAATATGACAAAGAAATAGGTGCTTGGCCTTGTAGATTTTTTGCTATTGCTGAAAGTTTGTACCCACCTGCAAAATTACTTGTTTTCACCGAGCATGCTGTTTAAAAGCAATGTTTACAAACAATGGCGGCCTTGACATCTATAATTAACAGCATGTGATTTCTAACCATGTTTTCGAAATTTGCCAATGATCATATTAAATGTCACAAAAACAAATTTCATGCTGAAAATGCATTTTAAAGACAACCAGTCATTTAAATCCACAATAGTCACTATTATCCATGAAATCCTGGCCATTCGAAGCTGTGGCTTCATTTAGTGTGGTGTGCTGCCTTAATTAAAGCCGTAAACAAAGTATACTATAGTACATTTAAACATGACTAGAATAACAGAGACATATTAAAAGTAGAACTTATTGTTTTATCTGGGGAAACAAATTCCGCCATAAGCATAAAGGATCAGGTGATATTGTATTTGTTCTACTTTCGTTTTCATATTTCAAAGTATGAATTTTGCATTTAATTTCTAAATGTGAACATATATACAGTATACCTTTATAAAAAAAGTCAGAGAAAATAAACAATTAATATCCCCCAAAATTTGTCGGAACAGGTAGAAATTTAAACCCGAAATTTAAGATTTGCCTTTTATTTATTTATACTGTTCTTTCATTTTCAATATTAACCGTCGTAAATTAGGGGAGACCTGGGCACTCTGGGACAAAAATCATAATTTTCAATCTCCTACTTAACATATCTTAGAGATTGATGCTTTCTTTCGTGGATTAAAAGGACAATATGTACTGGATGTAACAGATAACTAACTGAACCTAAAATAATTAAGTTGACATGGAGATATGCATTAGAATACGGTCATTAAAATGTCCCAGAGTGCCCCGAGCTAGGGGCACTCTGGGACACCATATATGGTACAGTGGGACATGCTTGGGTACTTAGGACAATATGTATAATTACATTGAAACTACAAAATTACTGGAAATGAGAATCTGCGGTTGTTTCAAAAATCTAAATTTTTCCAGTGCATGTTAAATGTGGAATTCTGCTTAAGCCGGTGGGGGCGGGGGAGTGGGCAGTAAATTGCACATTCCATTACTGTTTATGAACAGGCTCAATCAAACTGGGCCTGCAACATTTTCAATTTTGCCATGTTTGGCTTTCTTTAGGAATTCTGTTGAAAATTCTATATTTTTATTTCAATTTTGATAGGTGCGTATGGTCACACTTGTTTTGTCCAAGCATGAATCATTTCCATAAATGATTGACAAAGTTAGGAAAATATAATCTAAATTCATTAATTCATTTGACATTCATTGTCATTTAAAGATCCTGTATGTTTTGTAATTGAGATTGTATACCACTCTTCATTGAATTATATATGTATGTAATTATGCAAATTTGTCAATTTTCAAACATGGAAGAATATGTAAAATATGTATTGCAAATATTTATACATATTTAAGGTACTCATTAAATTATATGCATTCATTTCTTATTGGAAAAATTGACTTAGAATTTATAGAAAACTAAATTCTAATTACCTCCCTTTATTTACATGAAATATTAAATTCGGTAATATCTTTATAAATAATGTTTTTTGAAACTTACAATATCGATAAATCTTAATTTGAGCATCATAATTTGTATATAAAACCATAAAAATAATGTGTTACAGGATCTTTAAAGATCAAGAACATAAAATTATCTAAATTATTCCATATGTCTGTTTGATCACAAGTGTTGTTATGTCCACATATGAGTCAAATTCTTCCATAATAAAAAAAATATGACAATCAAAATTAAATTCAATAACTTAGCCATGACGGTCATGGTCATTTAAAGGTCAAGATCAGTTCAACCTTTTAGAAGTTCTTGTCCAAAATTTTGTTTTTCTAAAACATGAAGATGATTCATTTATTAATATTATATAATCAAAGTCTGCCCTGCATATAATGTAATTCTAATATACCTAATATAACAACAATAGTCTGTACTGGTGATCTGAAACAGAATGTGGTACACTTCCCAGAGTGTATGGAATCCACTGTCCCAGAGTACCCCAACTACCCCCACAATTTTTATGTGACAATAATTTAAAAAGACAACCAAAGCAAGATTTATTTCAAATCAGAAAATATAGGCAATGTTTAGCACATTATCCTTTACTAATATGATACAAATGAGTATTCAATTATTGAATATAGAAGATTTTGAAAACAATATGTGTCTTTTCTAGAATTTCACTTTGAAAGGTAAAAAGTACTCGCCAGACTGATTTTTACTCAATTTGCCGCCATGAAACTTTTGTAGGGAAAGAAGCTTGACAAGGTCAATCATCTGCATGAATCAGGTTTAAATCATAGGTAATCGGCGCGTTGATTGGTCACTACCCCCGCACCCCCACACCCACTCTACAGCCCTCCTACCTCTCAGAGGTAGGAGGGCTGTAGAGTGGGTGTGGGGGGAGGGGGTGCGGGGGTAGTGACCAATCAACGCGCCGATTACCTATGGTTTAAATCAAAGAACAAAAGGTATCATATCAAAAAATCCCATAGTCCCACATGCAGTGCCCCATGTCCCAGCTAGAGTACCCCAGTCTCCCCCTATTCTTCTGACATAATAAAATGTAGATCCAATTTGTTATTTAAAATGTTGTTTAACTTTAAATTATTCTTGATGTAATGAAAACTATTCACAATCTTTACCTGATTATTCAATTTCTGGTGAAATAAACGACTTCCTGTTTTGTCCTTGACAACGGTAATGTTAAGCAGTGTGGCAATACCACGTGACTATGACGTCATTTTCGGCATCATTTCCAAGACAAATGTTGCTCGATTCGGAAAAGAAAATAGCCGTAAATATTTTATTTCTGTACCAATTTCTTTGGGATATGCACCAGTCTACGGGGAAAAATATTATCAAACACTTTGCATAACCTTGGAAGTTGCAGTTGCAAGCTATTTCGTTTTCTGGTCTACGTCATGATTAAAAAGTCAGGTTTACATCAACCGGGAGTACGGAAGGCAAAACTCTACCTAAATATGTTCATATTTTTATTATGAATGACATAAATCTTACATTTTTCTTCAATTGTCAATTCTGGCACCAGTTCCAAGTCGAAAAAAAGGACTACAGTTTAAAGCAGATTTTAGAATCCGTTGCAAATGCAAAGCAACATGCCTACCATTCTCTTTCTGTTAACCATGAAAAACATTTTATTTACTATAAGATTTACTTAAACGCAAATGAATATTTAGATATAAATGATTTTTACTCGCTGCGCTATAAGTGATTATAAAAGTCGTAAAATTGTTGTCCATTTGTAAAGAAATTGATTTGCTCTTTAATCTTTGTTCTTTCACGGTAATGATTATGAAAAATCTATTTGTGTCATGTAGCAATAGATCTACTAAACGTGGAATTGAAAACAGAAACCCTAAATATCGCCCAAAACGGCAAAATTGAAAATGTTGCAGGCTCGGATTGACTTAGCTAGCCTGTCCAATGAACGTGCACATTCAGGATCACTTAGATTTGTATGCTGTGAAAAGGGTTACGCCTCAACGCGGCAATTTTAAAGTCAAAGGTTATTCTTTTGTAAAGAGTTATTTATACGTATAACCACATATATATAAAGAACCTGTAGCAATGTTTTAGTATGAATGAATCAGCTTTTTAACACAGTGGCACTCGTTGATAAAAAATATTTTTACATCCTGTTTCATACCCACGGTAACCGTTTTTCGTGAACTGGATATAACTTCGTTCACTTAAGAACACTATTAAACACACTATTAAACACTATCTATTTTATAATTGCATTTATTTCTGTTGATAAACTGCATATCTGACAAATTTAGTTAATTATATCAGTCAACTTAGCTCACCAATATACATTGTAAAGAAAGGAAGGGAACGGAATATTTTTGGTTTGAAAACATTTAAATCGAGTAGAACTGTTTAACAATAATGTCTCTTTCAACTGAATAAAAACGATAGGGCTATTTGGGACTATTTTTTATCGATGTGGTCATTGGCTTTAAATGCATGGATTATTGCACGCGGCATGACCTGCAAATGTCCAGGATTTTTGTAGCATTTTAAGATTTAAAAAAGGACCACACATTAAAATCTAAAACATGATAAACATGACGCATATACTAAATAAGTGAATTATCTGATATGTAAATAAAGAAGTAATTAAGTCATTTGACAGTTGAAGGATAAAAATTGAATATACTCTTCAAATGTAATCGTAATTTTACTAAGCTTATGTAAGCTATCAATTATTCAATGGACGCATCAGTGGCATATATGGACCCCAGTCATAGATCTTGCCGATGTTGCTATTACAGATGTTAATGTAAATATTTATATAATTATTGATAATCATTGTTATTTCCGTCTTTTTGAATGTTTTGTTTCAAGAAATGTGACTGTGATCGATGGCTGTTGGTTTGTAAAATCATTTATCTGTTTACTATTTTTAAATTTGTTTACTCCACATGGCGTCCATTCTCGTTCTTATTCATGGCTATTTTGGGTCTTTTCTATATATATATATATATATATATATATATATATAGAGAGAGAGAATCACAAGTAATGCAACTAAGTAACAATACTATCAGATTTACACGGCAAAGTTCCAAGTTCAAATTGTTATTTCGTTTATCAAACTCTATAGAAATTTATTATACAACAATTCCAGAAAAAATATATACCTTTTAAAAGTCTCTCTTTTGAGGACAGAAGAACCTATTCGTCACATTCAAGAGTGTCAGTGTTAGTCAGTTACTCTTTACAAAAATAAACTGAAAAATACCTTTAGCTTTACAACACTCGCGTTAAAGTGTAACCCTACCCATAGCATACAAAAGTGTTTTTTTTTTATTTTAACTCTTACTCTCACTGAGACCACATACACATTATATTTCTTATCAATTTCGCCATTGTGAAATAGAATAAAACACATTTTACTACATAGGATAGAATGAGCAATACTTTAAACATCTTCAAAACGAAACCAAAATATTATTTTCCAACGTACAGGACTAAATTTACGTGATTTGACGTGCACTATTGCGATACAAGTAAGTGTTATTGCTTTAAGGAACAATCAGTTTTTTCACAATCTCTCTGTGAAAGATCAACAATGAAAAAATAAATTGTAGAAAGAGAACGGTAGGCATGTTGCTTTGCATTTGCAACGGATTCTAAATTCTGTTTTAAACTGTAGTCCTTTTTTTCGACTTGGAACTGGTGCCAGAATTGACAATTGAAGAAAAATTTAGATTTATGTCATTCATAATAAAGTTATGAGCATATTTATGAGTTTTGCCTGACTTTTCAGGTAGAGTAAACCTGACTTTTTAATCATGAGGTAGACAAGATAACGCCAGAAAACGAAATAGCTTGCAACTGAAGCCCGCTCTAGTACAAGCAACTTCCAAGGTTATGCAAAGTGTTTGATAAAACGGCTTATAAACTGACGAAGATCCAATATTCTGTGGAAAGCTTATATTTTCCCCCGTAGACTGGTGCATATCACAAAGAAATTGGTACAGAAATAAAATATTCACCCGAATCGAGCAACATTCGTCTTGGAAATGATGCCGAAAATGACGTCAATGTCACGTGTTATAGCCACACTGTTAAGGGAAACTACTCCGTTGTTTCAGAAACCGATCGCAACTACTCGGCCCTTTCCGTCAGTCTTCGGATAAGGTTATTATAGATAATAGCCGAGGCAGTTCCGAATGTTCAGAAACGCAAATTCCGCGCACCGGTTACGGTAATCAAGTTAGGGGAGATCATAAAATATATGGAAAAAACAATGTCAGCTGCATAAAGGTAAACTGATTGAGTACATCTGTCATGATCACAATATCTTCGGCTGTAGTCCATGTATAACACTCACCCATATAATCTGCAAAGTAGATTACATACCAGACGTCTCTAAAGAGTACAGGACAAGTGACGAGTACAGAGAGCTTCAGACCTTCAGAAACAGTTCCAAAAAAAAATTGAAGAAACAAAGGCTAACAAACAGAAAATCATGCAGAGCAAGTCTTTGGTGAAAGATGAAATTAAGAAGTTTCGCCAAGAAATTAACGATATGTTTGACAAGCCAGAAGCAAGCCTTCTGAAACGTGCCGATTATATATATATTTGCCAACGAGTCAGCAAGGATGGTATCTTTAGAAGCAAGGTCTGTCAAATTGGAGAATGATATTGAACAGCTTCAAAATGACATCAGCAAACTGGAAATGGCAAATCAATGTAATGCACTATACATCCTTTCCAAAGAAAACAAAGAAATTATACATAGCTACACCTCTGCTGAAAAACAAGCGCACAAAGACAACTACGTTAACGGCTTTGTCTTTACACCAAACATAAATCTAAAGGAAATACTGGGGTCAAAACAGGAATAGGAGAATTGCAAAATAGTGAGAGTGTAAGTATTTGCAAAAGTGTAAGAACTGATGCAGGCTACTTTGAAACAGTTCATGTCAAGTATTCAGGTGAAATAAATGTCAAGAGTCCATCAGATAAAAAAGATTGTTGTATTTCAGCAGCAGTGTTTATTGCTCAGCACTGCGTTGCATTTGTTGATTCGATTAATTGTACTGTCAAAATAGTTGATACCAAGACGAGGAAGATAACTTGCAAAAAATTATCTTCAGAAAAGTCGTGAAAAAATATATTCCTTCCAAGTGTATCCATCTATTCTATTGTCTATATGGTATACTGTATGCCAAATGTGAAAAAAACACGTGAAAATAAATGAAAAGCTCGTGTCAATTTTTTGTAAAGAAGTCACAAATATACGTCTAATGTCCTGGCAGAACATTTCCACTCCACGAAGAACTATTAACATCTTAAAAAAATACCTTGCGAGTTCTAAAGTGATTCAGTTCACGTAGAGCTTTAAACGCCTTAAAATTCAAATAAAATGTATATTTGTCAATCCAAGCACACAATTACACTTATCAATATGAAAAAAAAAACTCACTTAATATAAGCTGTTTTGAAAAAAAGTAATATCATATTTCAACGTCTATAATTATAGACGAACGCCCAATTAAGTTATAAAAGGTATTTTTAATGATGTTCTTCTCTATAATTATAGATGCTAAAATTTGATTTTATTCCCAAACAGCTTATAAATAGTTATAACTGTACGATGGCTTGCTCACTCACTGTATGATTGCTTGCTCACTCATTTAACGATTGCTTGCTCACTCAATCACACTCATTGTACGATTGCTTTGCTCACCCACTGCATGTACGATGGCTTGCGCACTCGTTGTACAGTTGCTTGCTCACTCATTGTACGTTTTCTTGCTCGTCATTGTACGGTGTCTTGCTTTTTCATTGTACGGTTTCTTGCCCATTCGTTGTACGGTTGCTTTGTTCACTCATTGTACGGTTGCTTGCTCACTCATTGTACGATGGCTTGCTCACTAAATGTACAATTGCTTGAGTGCCAACTATTTTTTTATATATATTTTATTTGTTTAAGCTATTGTTAAGGAATTAAAGATCCTAAATCACATAAAAACGGCGATTTTACATGTCAATGCTTTGGAAATGGGCAATTATACCAATATTGTACGGCTAATTTTTGTAATGCTTTGCATTAAAGAATTGTTCTGATATAGTTCTTCTGTATCTTATTTCATAGAGCGTAGGGCAGGATTTGGAACCATGTATCCGTCATCCGAGTACGTTGTCCATATGCGACACACAAGTTCAGATCCC